CGAGCTACTCCCAGCCCTCCCCCCAGAGTCTCAACTACTCTCAGCCCTCCCCCCAGCAGCCCCCAAAATACTCTCAGCCATCGCCTCAGGCCCCCAACTACTCCCAGCACTCGCCTCAGCAGCCAAACGCCTCGTCCACTGGTTACTCAGCCCAGGTGTCACCGCAACCAGCCAGAATCTACCCTCAGCCCTCCCCCCAGCCGTGTCCTCTCCCAGTTCGACCACCAGCGAACTACTCCCAGGCATCTCCAAGAGCACCAGCGCAGTCGACCCCTCAGACCTACCAAAAACCTGAGGAATATGCAGCTGGGGGGAGTTACCCCCAGGGCTTCAAGTCCAACCATTCTCCGTACGTTCCACCAGTGTCAGCTGCTCCAGTGGAAGCTGAGAGAAGAGTGGAGTACCTCAAACCAGAGGAGAAGCTCCCAGTGCAGCAGATGGAGACCCCCAGGAATTTCACGTCAGACCCACCACTGGGACTTAATCCGAATCATCAAGTATACCAGTCGAATCAATTCCCACCAGCATATGGGAACAATTACTCCGCGACTGGTGATCCACAGAGGCCAGGGTCGAGGTTGAACCCTCAGGAGACCCCTCAGCAGCCCCAAGACAGACACTTCGACCCGGAAACCCTGAAGTACCAGCGTCAGGATCAATCTCAGTTGTTGAGCTTCCAGCAGAACCTCCCAGGACACGACACGATATATCAACCTGCAGGTGGCTTCCAGGCGCCGCCGTACCCCATGCCCAACCCCAGCTGTCGTCCAGTCTACCCCAGCCCCCACTACTACGACGCCAGTGCTAAATCCTCGTCGTCTTCAGTCCCAAGCTCAGGAGCTTCGACACTAACTCCTGTTAAGAAACGAATGTACAACGAACCAACTAGTGACTCTACAAGGGCACTGCCTGAGCAACAACCTAGAGGGACTCAGGAGCAGTTTGGGTACGACCAGATGATGACGCTGGCTACATCGGAGCCTGGACAGAATCTCGTGTCTGGACAGTTTGAAAGTGGATTCGGTTCACTGGACTCTGTAGCTGGTAACTCAGCGTATGCCAGACTGGGACTGGGACTGGTGGGAAGGAGTTCGAAGGATCAGCAGCAGCTGCTGTCGATCCCCAGACCCTCCAGCAAGGATGCATTGTCCTACAGACAGCCAGGGGCCTCAGACCTGGATCTGAACCTCCTCCAGAGCCTCCAGAATGCAGCTGCCAAGACGATTCCAGCAACCCACTCGAGGAGAGAGCCAGCACCAGCTCCAGCACCGACCAAGGGGAGGAAAAGCAAGAAAAAAGCTCAGGCCCAGGCTCAGCAGCAGGCTACCATCACCGAGCAGCAGATGCCAGGCTTCTCTCAGTATTCTGGGAATCCTGGGGATCCCATTGGACTGAAGAATGCACCGGCAATCCCACCAGGAGGCAGTGCCTTCAACTTTGCTACTCCAGCTGGTGGAACCAACAGTTCACCATTCTACGACAAGGATGCGTCAGCTGCTGCTGCTGCCTTCGCCTTCCTCGACGAGTTCAGGAATCCAAACAGCTATTACAGCATTCTGAGGCAGCAGCAGGGACAGCCCCAGGCCACCCCGGTCACCGAGGCTGGACAGCAGGCGAATAAACTGAATAATCAACCCCCCAGAAATTACCCACCTCATCCCTTCCTTCATTCCCCTCAACGATCAGCACCTTATGGACCACCAGTGTCGGCGTATGTCAGCCCCCATGGACCAAATCTAGGGGTGGATCCAGCTGCTTATCAACAGTACATTCATTCCCTTTATGCACTCCAACCACCCTCACATCATCATCGACCATCGTGGCTCTAGCCGGAGAAAACATTGTGAAAAGACATTCTTCATCGAGTGAAATAGACTGAGTGCATTTATCAGTTTTTTTAGTTGAGGTCAATAGTGAGGTGGTTGAATGTAACGAAGGTGAATGGGATAATTCTTCACTTCCTGATGAGTATTAAATAGGTATTTTTCCTCTGATGCTATGCGAAGACTTAAAAAGTGCCACGAAAGATTTTTTCTCTTAGAATTGGGATTTTTATGCGTCAGGAGAAATCGGGGAATATGAAATCAGCATTGGAAATATTTGACGATTTTTTTTCATTTTGCTACAACCAATGGGGTTTCTGCATATTTTGTTTTTCGCGAGGAGGGGAAAGGTGAAACTTGATTGAGAAATATTGAAGACGTATTTTTGTTATTTTGAAAGATGAAAAAATTGTAAATTTCAAACCAATTGAAAAAAATTGAAAAAAACTGTATTATGACGTCGAATATTTTCAATGTTCAATAACTCATTTTGTACTTGATACTTTACGGAATAAGGCAACGTGACTCACGTTTTTAATTATGTTTGATTTGGGTGAATGACGAAAAGTATTGCAGAAACACAATTATAATTAAAGAAAACAATGCAGGAATAGATGCATTAATACTGAATTTGTTACGTTTTGCCACTTCACTACTGATTCATTATCTGGTTTTTTATTATATTTTTTCTCCTCAATGATGCAAATCTACGTTTTCTATTTTATTATTCCCGGTGACAGTATTTTCATTTTCGTTCCCCTTTTATACAGTATGAAAAATTATAATTTTTTTCGAGCAATCTGTTGCTAGAGGTAGCTCTCTATTTCTTCCTGTCAGTAATTTAATTTTTGATTTTTTGAGTTTGTGTTTATTGAATAGTTACTGGGAGATTTTTTTTCGAATTTATAGTGGAGGAAGATGGTAATGGAGGTTGACAGAGCGATAATTAAGTTGTGACAGTGGAATATACTGAAAATTATCGATGGATTTTCTTTTTGTATTGATGAAGTCATGAAATGTGATGAGATGATCTTATCATTATCTTAAAATTAAGCGAAAAATGACAGGACATTTTTTTTAAATTTTTTTTTACATTTCCCCCACAGCTAATCATTTTTCAAATAACTACAAAATTTAAAAAAATGAATAAATAATGCGACTTATTCATTTTTATCGATTTTGTAATTGTTTTTTTTTTAATTCATTCGTTAAAAAATGATTGACACAAAAAACTCTGGATTTTTTTTTGTGGAGAAGTTTTGCTTCAAAATCACTCGCTCCTGAGATCATTACGAAATTAATGAAAATAATAAGTCAATTTTTCAATGGTTCTTTGTAATTATTTCGTTAATGACTGGCCTTGGGAGAAAAATCAAGCGACTCCTCCCGCCTATTGGAAATATTTCTCTATATTTCGTTCTCAAATAATTTGTTCTGGGATCATTACGTAATTATTATTAAAAATGAAAAAATCTACTCATGACATCTCACCACTTCGTTTTAACGTTGTACCGTCTGAACGTTATCCGCCAAATTTTATAATTCTTTTTTATTCAATGATGAAAAATACTGAGCAAATTCACTTACAATTAACGTCTCGTTTATACCAATTCAGCGATATTTGAGAGTATTCATGTCTCAATGTTCAACAATCACTGAATATCTCACGAACAGAATTTTATACACATTACAATTCTTAATTATTTAATTAACTTGTCCTTCCCCGGAGCTAATTACTGTGTAGCTATATGTAAATAATGATAAGTGTCCTCAGGACGTGAATCGAAGCTTGTGGTTTCAAGTACCAAATAAGAAAACTAGGAAACCCAACAAGAGAAATAAAAAATCATAAAGACAATTACCAAAAAAAGTAATTGTCAATGAGCGATTCACGTCCAGAGATATCGAAGCTCTCGCGAGCTTTTAGTGTTCTAACGTAATAGGTAAAAAAACTACACCAATTTTAATGATTTAAATTTACCAAGATCGTTGTAAAGGAAGAATGATAAAAGTAACGATCGAGGGATAGATTGAAGAATTTAATCGATATAAGCTTCACATTCATCGATCCCTCTCCCCCAGCTTGTTTTTCTGTAAATAAAATACATATCCCTGTCATCATGAATCCCCTGACAAGTGAAAGCTACACTATGTAGAGATAGAATGCTAAAATTTAATCAGTAAAGAGAACTGCAAAATGGAATAAACAAGAAAAAATGGATTATTTGACCACAGAGGAATTAAAAAAACATGATCGAGTGAATGAGTAGTAATTGAAGTAATGAGTGAAGTAATTGTGAAATAAAGCAAACGAAAAATGTTTGAGTAAGGAGGAAAACATCTCGACACATTACCCCCCACCAATATCGATAGAGAAATATTTGATAGTTATTAATAAATAAAGTATATAAATAATATACATATAAAAATATATATATTGTAAATGTGTATCGAAAGAAATTAAAACACCGTTTGTTACAATTTTTTATGTTATTCTTTATTGATCGTGAACTTTTTATGTAGAAAATAAACAGAGGTTCATTTAGTACAATCGTTGGGGGGGTCCCATGGAGGACTTGATGTGCAGGGAACGAACGTTCTGCCAGTGTTTCTTCAGGAGTGAGACCAGGAAGTTGATGGCAAGGTGAACATTCTGCACTAGCTCGTCCTCGTTCATGTCGACGTGGCCAACAGCCACTGAGAGACAAAGTACTTTCTTCATCTGGAGCTTGATGGTGGCTTTCACCTCGTCAATCTTGGCGGTCATTGATTCCTGGTGGGTCAAAAGACCAGGGAATTTACCGGCCTTGTTGAGACCTGGACCCAGCAGACGAGGGATCTGCTTGATGAGGGACTCGCTGGCCAAGAAAGCGTCGTATTTCTTTGCTGAAATGGGTTTTCATTGGTTAGGTGTTGGAGATTTATTTTTCTTAATATTTTAATAATGAAGATGTTTGGGAAGAAATTGAAAAAATACCGAGTGAGATTTTTCTCTAGACCTAGTAGTTTCAGAGATATTATGTTTGCAATCGATGCTTTTATTGCTAGACTGAAACATTTATACTATTTTATTTTAATTTTTTTTTTTCATTTCCGTCTTCACAATTAGATTAATTTAATTTTATCCATTTTTATTCTTATTATATGTATATATTTTTTCATCAATTCATAAATTACAACATTGAATGACGAGGAATTATGTTAAAGTGCAATGAAAAGTGTTTTTTTTGTGAGCAAAACAAAATAGAAAAATCTCCCTAATTTCGTGCTAAAAACCTTTTTTCTGGAAAAGAGGTTTTTGATTCAAGAACCCCTGGGTTCTCATTTGAAGAGGCCCAAAATTTTGAATTCTAAGATTCCTGTGAAATAAGAGGAAATTTTCCATAATTTATGTAAAATTATTCTAGATTTGAGTAGAAAATACGGAATGAGAACTTTTATCATCATCTTTTTACAAAATTCTCTTAAAATGAACAAAAACTTCACGTTTTTCTAGAATTCTTTGCTTGCGAGATGCTAAAATGATACAGATCTGAAATTCAGAGGTTTTTACCGGCAACTAGAAACTTTTTTCTTTGTGAAGGAAGGACTGAATGGAATCTTCCGAGATAATTTTTATGAAAAATGTCTAGAGTTATCAAAAATGGTCTCAAGTGATTTTTCTCTAGACTTTCAGTAGAGAAAATCTACAATACTAGAGATGACATTTTTCAACTTGTTTTTGTTTCGTACCGTCATGATGATGAAATGGATTAAGTGTATTATCTGAAAAAATGTATCAACACTGATTGAGGTGCAAAGTAATTGAAAATCAATGCCCACACCCAGTGAAGAGTTAATCTCCTTCACATTGACGACCTGCATTGCTCTTCATCACGATGCAGGTGCTTTTAGGAAGGGATTGATTCAGAAAAATTATGTGGCAACTCGTGGAGTATTTACCTAGTTTCTTGACGAGCTTCTTGTTCTTGTTAAGTTTTTTGAGAGCTTCGGCATCCATGAAGGGAACATTTTGGGCTTTGGCCTCGTCACAGTGCTGCTGGTCTCCAAGGATGCAGACTTGCATTTTGGGCCTAGGAATGTTCTTCAACCTGTTAGAAATTGAAAGAATATTTATTTTTCATTGTTTCCAAAATTTTAACCATTTTTTCAACAATCCAATAATTTTTAAGCTTGCAGGGGGGACAAAAAAAAATATTTTGGAGCAGTGGGAACATAATTCAATAGTTATGTAGTGAAAAAATACTGGCTCAAAATTAATTCGTAGTTTATACTTCAAATAACTCCATAAGGAAGAGGTTTAGACCAAATTTTCGAAAATAATTTTCATAGGCAATTTTATTGCCCAAAAAAAGACTTCTCAAAAATTTTCCTAAATATTACTTCCAGAAATATTTGTGAAATAAAATACAAATGCAATTTGTTTCACCAAATGTCACCATCAAAGATATCTTGCGAATATCATTTGAAGAGAAAGTTTTACGAAAATTTATTTGTAAAGAAGATAATTGCAATGATTTTAAAGTTTGAAGACAATTAAAAAATGAATTCTTGAAGTAATGAACATATAATTCAATAGTCAAGCAGCAACAAAAGAATAGCCCAAAATTAATTAGGAGTTTATTCTGCAAAAGAAATTTCATGAGGAAGAGGTTTCGAGGAAAACGTCAAGAGATATTTTCCTAAACCTATTACTTCCAGAAACATTTGTGCAACAAAATTCCAAATCATTTTGCCTCATCTTATTTTATAACAAAAGATATTTTGCACGTGAAAAGTAAAGAGAAAGTTTTACAAAATTAATTTACAAACAAAAATATAATTTTATCAAAAAAAGTCTCGAATTTATCTACAATTCACAAAATAATCTGTTGACAGTTCATTAAAAATAACTCAAAATAACGAGGGAGTGTTCAAAAATGGATCATCAGCACGAAATTCATTCTCCAGTCGTCCAAAGACTTACCGTCAGGACGATAATCAGGACCACGAAGGTCTCTGGATTACGCCTTAAAATTAACGGTAAATACCTCCCCAATATTTAAGACCCTGGGTGAGGGTCCGCCGAGATAAACTCAGCTTCCTGACATAATTCCAAGACAGACATTTTCGATTTGAAATTTCCCGAAAAAAGCGTTTTGAGTTTTTTTTGGGATTACATTCCAAAAAGAAAAAGAATTCTCAGAGTCAGGTGGAAACATACTTGACGGTACCGCTGAAACGCTTGTCCTTCTGGGGGTCGTAGTTCTTCAAACCGATTTGGAGTTCAACGGTCTCGAGGAACTTCCTCTTCTTCTCCTTTGAGTGCGTGAGGAGGGCATTAACGCACTCGTAGAACGTATCACGCGATACTTTGGACCTAAAATTATTCAGAGAATTAATAGAATAATCTTTTATTAATCAGTAGATATTGAATGAGAGAAGAATACAAAATGATTCGACTACTATTTATAAAATTCTCTCGAGGCTAAAGTAAAACGTTGCGGTTTCGATAGGAAATGATTTTGGAACTCAATCAGAATTCTATTGAAATTCTATTTGTCTTTTGTCCATTTCCATTAAAAAATCTTCTGCCTTTTCACACGAGTTTTGTGAAGATATTTGATTGGAAAGAATCTATAATTTGTTTGTTCTATATTAGTTATTTTCTTCAGATTTTTCATCAGGAAAATTTTTGGGAATTCATTTTCTATAGGAACAGGGCGCGCGTACTGTTTTCCATGGGTGACAGAATAGTAAAACATTTCCGTTTCAGCAAAGTTTTTTACAATGAGAATTTAATTGTTGAATAATTTAATCGAAGCGTCATAATCCTCCAGTTAAAAAAAATTGACGGATGAAAAAATATATGTACATATATACGACATACATGTGTTATATACCATATATTGTATATATTATATAATATATACGTATATACTATTGTATACATATTTTCTACAGAACTATATATTTTCTTATCACAGTAAAAAATGGATTTCTGTTTTTTTACAATTACTGTGAAGAAAAGATTACAGTGCATAAAAAAATATGCATAGACATCATATCACACTACTTGATAAGCGGAATAAAGGCTCCACAAATCGTTACACTGAATTTTTTTTAAGTGGACGTTTTTTCTCCTTTATTACGATTGATTTCTCATCAAAAAATGCAGAAAAAATTGCATAGAAAAATAATTCTTTCTTCGCAAATACCGACTTTAATTTTTAATAGAAATTGGCTAAAAACAGATGAAATTTTTAATAAAAATGGCATAGGCTTTTTACAGAGTTCAAAGAACAAAATCATTAGGTTTTCTATTAAATTTTCTTATACGTGTGGTTTTGAAGTAAAATATCGCGAGACAAAAACGTCTCCAGTAAAAAATCATGCAATTGCATTTTTTGCAAATATCTTCAACAGGAAGATACGAACAAAGACGTCATATTCAACAGATGAAATTTTATAATTGTAATTCCGAAAGAAAAGAATATAAATTGTAGGATAAACGCGGAAATGTATCAACACTGATTGAGGTGCAATGTAATTGAAATTCAATGCCCACACCCAGTGAAGAATTAATCTCCTTCACATTGACGACCTTCATTGCTCTTCATCACGATGCAGGTGCTTTTAGGAAGGTTTATAAATTATGAAATTCATTCCAACCATGTAAAATTGAAACTAGAGAGATTCTCACAATTGTTACAATCACTCGTTCGAACATCTGGTCGCGACATTGGGATTGGAAAACTAACCTCTCAACCACGTGGCGTTAAATAAAAAAACTCAAATGTGAGAATTTCCGACGAATTATTTTGAAGAATGAGTGGAAAATTTGATACATCAATTTTTAATTGATGCAAAATCTTAAGGCAAAGTGTTTTGAATAATTATTGTATTGGTGCAAAATAAAATGGAACATCGCGTGGACCATGCTTTCTCCGATAAACAATCGAATATAAACTGGGTTGAAAGAGGAAAAAATATTAAAACATATTTGATAATTCGGGATGTTGGAATTTTGAATATGATTTTGGGGTTTATTTTCATGGAAAATGGAAAATATGAAATACTCACGTCATGATGACCGAAACAAGCGGACGCTACACGACCGTTCGGTACGAGAGTCAAACCGGAAAGAGACACACAGTGAAATATCGGAAACGGCTTGAGGAGCAAAAATGCGCAAGTGGCTCGCTCTCTACGAATCGGAGAAAACCGAAGGAAATCGCGGGGTACGGAGATTGCCGATGAAAATTTTGAAATATCCCCAGATAGTAGTTCCTAATATACAAAATAGATATTGTTGCTCCCGAATGGAAGCATTATATTCGTCGAATCCAAAATTTCCAATTTTTTGTGTTAGGATAATTAATTTTTGTAAAACGGACACTGGACATTTTTTTATTTATTCATAACTCAGAAACAAATTGATCAATTGAGCTCAGTTGAGGCTCGTCACAAGGGGAAAGAATTGTTCTTTGTATTGAAAACAAAATTGTTAAATTTTATCAACATTTCAACCCTTCATTAACATTTTTAAAAAAGTCAAAAGTGTCCGTTTTACCCCGACGTCCCCTATGTGTGTATATTACCGATCGTTTTTCGACGATAATTGAAAAACAAAATAATCCCTTTCCCTTTAATAAAAAATCCAATGTAAGGTTTTTTTAAGCCAATTTATTCCGCTTCACATGTTCTTGCTGTAGCATTATACCGTCATATAATATATTATAATGTATTACATATAATATAGTATGCTATAATATATTTATACAAAATTATAATATATATAATATAATATGTACATACTAAACTAAATAGAAAAGAGAATTAAATTTTACTATTCTAAATTGCAAATTTTCAACACTTTTCTTAAAAATAAACAATTCACAATCGTATCTCAATTCATGATGATTTTGTTTTGGTTTTTTACCTAGACTGAGAAAGAAATTTTCTAATATCTGAAACGTTAGAGCCACACTCGTTATAGTCGCATTTCCATTCATATCGCTTTTTCGGCCCGCGAGCGCTCCCCCCACTCCATTACCTCCAAAAGCCTTTAAATAAATGCTCCAGTTTTTTCTGGAGGAGTCATTGTTTTTGAATTCTCAGAAATTCGCAAAATATAATACTGAAAATATGAATTTACGATGGGTAGACATTTAGTCTGCTCCTGATCGTCACAGAGTGAGGTTACACTTTTATTGTGGTAAAATAAGTTAAAATTTGATTAATTAGTTGATCGAGTGAAAATTTAAATGAATTGAAAAATGGATCCACATGACAATAATTAATTATTAATAATAGCTAATTAATTTTTATTTTATTGGTCATTATAATATCATAATTGTTATGATAATTATTATTATATTTTCATTTTTTCATCAATAAAATAGACAGGCAAATTCAGTATTTTTATTTTATCTATGTCGATTCTGAGAAATGACGCCCGGAGTAAGCGCGTGGTGGTGGATCGTAAATACAGTCGCAGATCCGAATTCACTTCCCCAACAGCCCCTTGAGTGTGACTCTAACGGGAGTCTACTGTATATCATTATTTTTGTAAAATGCGGTCGTATGGATGTCCCTGTTCGACTGGATAAAACCGTGAAAATGTTGCGAAAAACATCCGCTTTTCTCAGTATATATCGTTACACTAGAATCATGAACATGAGAAAATGTTTCATCAAATTGTCAATGCTTTAGAATTGACATATCTTCACGCTGAATGTATTGTCCTCTCGACAAAATTTCGGTGTAATAGAAGAAATATAATAAAAGCAAGCTTAGCCTTTAACGTCTTTGCGATCTATTGATCAACTGATTGAATCTTTATTGGTCCAATATGTGGGGGTCAAGTTCAATCTTTCGAAATGCAGACGAATTCCCATTCAATTAAAAATTTTTATCATTTCAATTATAACGCAATAGAATAACATGAAGAAACAAATCAACTGAGTACTCGAGGCCTCGCACGAGTGTTCCCAGTGAAGACAGTTGACCAGGCGAAAATCGCCGAGATTCAACAATTGGCTGAAGCTCGCCCAAACCCGCATTACCGAGCATTGAGAAACAAGTGTGGAACGTAATTCAACTAGTGGCAAAGCCAGGGTTCAGTAGAGATAGTCATATTCGTAAATTATAATTACCGTTAAATTATGAAGTATTCAATTCGTTAATATCACTCTTCATTTTTTAATTATTAAAGTAATCATCAATTTAAATATTCAAATTCCGAATTACTTTATTAATCAGTAATTTAGTTAGGAAGATTGACGATTATTTGAGTAATCGAAAATGTACTTTACGAAATTTACTATAAATTACTTGATGGAAAATTTACAGTTTCTTATTACCAACTATTTAATTCGTCAATAATTGAAATTTAGAGTATCAAATATTTTACTATTTTTTAATTTTGAATCGACATACGAGACTTTTGACCCTCATTGTGACCCTTATACCCCTAAATTTTATAAGAAATTCTGTTGAAAATTTCATATGAAATCCGATAGAAAATCCTATCAAACATCCTCTAAGAAATACAATAGAAAAAATCTGATGAGGACTGCTATACGATTTTTTTATACGTGAAATCCAATAAATAAGATTCGTCCAGTCCAATAAATAAGATTCTTTGGCTGAAAAACATTGAACTTATCGAACCATGTATTGATAATATTTATTGGGTTTGATACCTATCCCAAATTAAAAAATCATGTTTTTGAATTTCTTTCGGATATCCAATGAAAGAAAAAGCGAATCAATTGAGTTCCTTATCTGCTGACTATACGACGCTTTTAAGAATTTCATCAAGTGTTTTTCTGACTGAATAATGATATTCAGTCGTTTCATGATGCGTTTCATGATGAATAGAATAAGTTTCAATCATCAATGATATTCAGTCGTTTTACTTCAATCTGTTCGAGATTCTTTTATCAGCAATGGGAAGTTGAATCTTATCTTATTTCTCAGAAACAACTGTACAGCCATCCTTGGAAGTTTATAAAAAATCACGTCTGGAGTTGAATTTTGTTTTTCGAATCCAGTCTACATTTCGTATTCACTCGTGCGAGATCATCTACTATTGCGCGAGCAAGTTGCGGATATTCGTATTTAAAAGTGAATAAATAATTTTGAAAATGGCGTCAATTTTCGAAGAATTGAGTCGGATCCTTGACGACTACCTGACTGAGGAGTTTTTCGAATGTCTTGAAGCGTTCGGTAAATAAAATTTGAAATAAATGTAATTTTCACCAAGATCATTCCACTCGTTTCCATTCATCTTTAAAAAATCTGCTACTTCTCAGCTATTAATGGTCATCACAGTAATTTTAATCAAAAAACGAAGAAAGGAAAAAATCAAGAGAAATAATTCATTCACTAATTGTCAACGCTTCGAATACACGAAGTGTTCTTCATCAGTGCATTAATTTATTCTACATTTAAAAAGTTTTTCTCGAATGAATATTACAAACTAATCTATTTTCAAATTATTGCAAAATGAAATTATTAATAAAAATTGAAAACCCACATACTGTTCAACTCATTAATTGTTTAAGGGTTGTACAGAAATATGGCGACCAAAGAAAATCATTAAGGAGAGACTACTATGAGTTTTAAAAGTCACGGGCTATTGGAGTGAGATTTCTCATGCATTGAAGATCGATTATATATGTCTAAAAACGAATAATTAGGGAAAAAAATTAATTGCTTAATGTTGGCTTGCCTACAGATGCTTAAAATGTTAAAAACAGTCAAGGCCCTCCAATTTTTGAGCTATAGAGGTTTTTTTCCAAATTTTTGTAACAATGTGTACAATAACAATTACGATTTAGTTTTTTGAAATTTGATGTGAAATTCTATCGCATATTTGATAGAAAAAAGTCAATATATTTTGAATTTCTGTTGGAATTTTTCTCTCGAGATTTTTTCTATTAGAATTATTGGGTACAAATTTTCTGTTTTTTTCCGCTGGATTTTGTTTTGTTTTGCATTACAGAATCCCAAGAGAAAAATTCAAACAGAAATTCAAAATCTATTGACTTTTTCTTATTAAATATCAAATAGAATCAGTGGAAAAACATATAGAATTTTTCAATAGAAATCCTATAGAATTCCAATAGAATTTTCTAGCGAATTCGTTAGGTTTTGAAATTTCAGTTACAATGTCATCTGAATTTTCAATGTTGTGAGTTTGAATCCAATTTCAAATGAAAACGTTCACCATATTTCTTATTCATCTTGAAAATTCAAGAAAATTGGGTTTTCTATGATGAAAAATCGTTGATTTTTCAATGAAAGCTTGAATTTCCAGACTCATCGTGATAATTGAACATCACATACAACTCAATTTTCAATAGATTGAAAATTCCGAGAAGTTATTACCTGAATTTTCAAAATTTTCAAGGTTTTTAAGTGCCGTACGGACCTAAAAGTCGAAAATTACTTGAATATTCAAGAAATTAACTAGTTCGTCAATGACGAATTCTACAGAAATTTGATGTAGCTTTGTCGTTGTTAAAAATTTCAAGCTTTTTCACTTCAAATTTCAAGAGTAATTCTCTAACAGCTCCAAATGTTTCACACTCATCTCATCCATGACTCTGTAGAACATCATGTTACTTTTCTTATTCAATCTCATGATGCTATCGATTATCTGAATATTTATTTATATTTTTTTCTTCTTTTGTTTTTCTGCACACTAAATTCAACACTTTGTATGTAATATGCAGATATCAGGCTGAAGGCCCTCGGGCGATGACCAGTCACAAACTTCTTGTGACGAATTATCCTAAACATTGAAATTAATAGTATATTTCAGCACGTGTGGGGCAATTTCGTCTTTAACGTGTGTGGGGTTTACAGCATGAGCCGAAGGCGAGTGATGTAACCACACACGTTAAGGACGAAATTTCCCAACAAGTACTGAACAAAATTTTATGTCACGAAGCCTGAAACCGGCTGAATTAGACACGAGACGCGAAGCGTCGAGTGTGTAATCCAGCCGGTTTCAGGCATGAGTGGCATAACAAATTTTTTCTAACAGTGCACCTGATAAGTTGAAATTAAGAAAAAAAATGCTTTTAGATCCACGTATGGAAAAATCCTATAGGATTTCCTATAGAAAATCCTATGGAGACTTCGAAAATTTCCTGTAGGATTTTTCTGGTGGGATTTCCTATAGGATTTCCTATGGAATTCACTATAGGGTTTTCTATAGAAAGTAACACACAAAACTGAGACTCGAAACCAATCGGTCACAAGGGTCAGGATTAGGGTCATAAATCTGAAAGGAAATTCTACAGGAAATCCTATAGGAAATCCTATCAGAAAAATCCTATAGGAAATGTTCGAATTCTCCATAGGATTTCCTATAGGAAATCCTACAGTATTTTTTCATACGTGGAAGGAAAAGCGCAGGATGGGAGTCCCGTACATATCGCATGTATCGTATGATTTTTCCAGCGTACGTCTCCCCACGCACCCACGAGACAAGACAGGAAATCCTGAGATTGATTGAGGCAGGAGATGACAACAAATTACTCGAAAGTTTGCAGAAGATCGGAGACGACGAAGAGGTGCATGATTATCTGCCTGCGAGCCTGGCCGATGCTATAATATTATTTTTATGAGAAGAAGAATATTGCAAAAGCTGAGGAACTCGTGACTCGATTCAAAACAAAATGCCGGGGCTATGCTTTGGACAAGTACAAAGTCGTTAAATACACGAGACTATTGATTGAAAATAATCGCTTCGGGGATGCCCTTATATTTCTCAAGGGAGAAAAATCATTGGGAAAGGGAGAAAAAGATGGAATAGATCGTATGATCAGGACTCTTATGAGAGTTGCTCTGAGGACACGAGATGAGAAGAATATTTCGAAGCTTCGGGGAATCTTGAGGGCGAAGAAGTTCATATAAAGATTAGAGAATGTACAGTCCAATCTTCGTAGAAGATACCACGGGGACTGTAGGGGAAGAAAAATCCGAAAATTACGTAAGCCTCAATTTACTTGCGCTCGAAAGGGAAAATATTTTGATTTGGTATTCTTCATACGAGATCACGTATCAAAAAATTCAATAGAAAAACTTAGCGAATTCGCTAGAAAATTCTATTGGAATTCGCCAGAAATTCTATTGGCATTCTGTTAAAATTCTAGAGAATTCTCGTTAAATTCTATTTATTTTTTGCACCGATTCGATGAGATATTTGAAAGGAAAAGTAAATAGATCTAGATTTTTCTATAAGAATATTCTCTTGAAATTTGTTCTATAAGGATACTTGGGCATGAATTTTCGAAGTTTTTTTCACTCGGATCTTATAATGCAAAACAAAACAAAATATACTGGAAAAAACTTAGAAAATCCGTGTCCAATAATTTTAATAGAAACAATCTCAAGAAAAAAATTCAAACAGAAAAATCGAAGTCTATCAAATCTTTTTCCTATCAAGTATCTAATAGAATCTGCGCAACAAACAAATGGAATGTTAATAAGAATTCCGTAGAATTTTAATAGAATCCCCATAGAATTTATAGAGAATTTCAATAGAATTTTCTAGCAAATTCGTTAAGATTTTCTATTAAATTTTGTCATGCGTGATAGTACACGATTTCCATTTCTCATGATCATTTTAGTACCATTCCTGATGCGAAAGACGAATATTTGATTAGAACGTATTGCTCCTTTTCAAAATAATTCAAAAAAAAAATTTGAAATTCGGAATATATTAGTTTGTCAATAGGGGTCTACGAGGCAAAATTGAGACGTTCATTGGAATTTTGGTTTTCATAAAAATTGGGCAGAATTTTGTTTTGTTTTATCTATCTATCCATCCACAAAATGAACATAAAACACATGGCGCAATACGTCAAAATAAATAAATATTTTACCAAGTTTTATGACCAATGTGTTGAATTTTTTTATTAACTGTAACGAGTGCTCATTCGTTGTGAAATTCAATTGGTGCGCAATTAAGTTCTAGATCATAGATGCATATATTTCCAGTAATTGAATATATGCCTCAAAATGCTTGATTTGATTACAAAACGAGAGTTTTGAAAAAAAGACGAGAAATATAAAACGGGACATAATCTTGAAAATTCAAGTATTTCAACTTTTTTTTTTGAAAATTCGGTATTATGCGCACCTAGCAGTTGAAAAAAAAACAAAATATTCTTATAGGTGATAGAAAATCGAATATTTTGACGTGTCATAAATAAAAATCCGATGAATAGAACTGGAGTTATTGGAAAAAAAAAAAGGAAAAAAATTATATTTCCGACATGGGCTGTTAAAAAATCTGAAAAAAATGGAGAGATAGTTTTTCTAGTCCCCTAATCGTAGAAAAAATCAAGATCAATTTCCAAGAGGGTGAGTGTCAGCAGTTGACTCATTTGAGATGGAATACCTCATATTTTTATAGAAAAATCGAAATCTACTGACCTTTTCCTAACAAATATCTCATAGAATCAGCGCAAAAAATAAATAGAATTTTAATAAAATTCCAATGCAATTTTCTATCGAATTCGCTAAGTTTTTCTATTCAATGTTTTCATACGTGATGATCAAGAAACATTTCTAAATAAAAACATTGATGAACTTCATACTCATTTTAAATAAATTTTTTTTTTGGAGATTACTTTTCTTCATAAATAATTTATAAATAAACAATTGCGTACCCCCAATATCACATTTTCAAAATCGTAAAACATCTGTCCATATTGAAAATTTTAACAGAGATCGATTTCCTGCAAAAAAAAGGTAAAGTTAATTTTAATTTAGTCATTTAAATTAATTTCGAGACCTCCGAAATTCATTTCCTCCAAGGCAAAAGGGTTAAAATAAATTTTAAATTGAAGACAATTTTAAGTTTAATAATTTAAAGAAATTTCGATGCCTCCGAAATTGATTTTCTGCAAAATAAAAGGGTTAAAGTTAATTTTAAGTTGAAGTTAATTTTAACTTTAAAAATTTAAAGAAATTTCAATGCCTCCGAAATTTATTTCCGGCAAAGAACGGGTTCAAATTAATTTTAAGTTAAAGTTACTTTTAATTTTAATAATTTAAAGAAATTTCGATGCGTTCAAAATTAAATTCCTGCAAAACAAAAGGGTTAAAGTTAATTTTAAGTTGAAGTTAATGTAAATTTCAATAATTTAAAGAAATTTCGATGCCCCCGAAACTTCGTATCGGGACTTTACTATTTCCCTGCGCATTGAATGTTCCACGTTGGTAGTGCCGCTCCCAGTGACTCGTTATTCCTCTCACTCTCTCTCTCTCTTCATCCACCGCGCTCTCTCTCCACAGATTGCCTCACACATTTTAAATACTTCACTTCTCCGTGAGCGATCGCAACAATCAGCTGGGATTATTGAGTACCGCGAACCGACGAAACCAAATCCCTTTAACATTCATCATGATTTTAAACACTTGCGTATTAAAAAGTTGATCAACTCGACGCCCAATCACCATCATTGATTGATCTTCCTGGAGGAGGTAAGCAACAGCATTACTCATCACGTGTCATTAGTGATTGATCGATGCCGTCAATCGGAGGTAGTTTTTGGACGAAAAAAATTGTTTGCAAATCAAACAAACGAAGGATCTCGACGTATCTCCTCCGACGCAATGGACGAGTGGTCGCACTTTCATTCAAAAAGATCATTAAGCCCCCTTCTAACTAGTCCAGAGTTGTTAGGTATGACTAGAGAAATTGTATCTTCGTCCGTTTGAGTAGAACCTTGACTATTATTCATGTGCAGACCAAAGTTCGACATTTGTTATCTCTGAAAAAAAGAGTAAACTCTATGAAAACAGTTCAGCAGAAACAGACTCCACGAGATCATTTTGCACATCTGTTTTCTCTCATTTTTCAGGCTGGATCTCGATTGGGGAATTTCGTTATTAAATCAGCAGAATGTTTGGGAGCATCAATAAGGACTTGGTGCCTATGAAGGCGCATTACTTTCTTTACAATGCAGGTGAGTGTGATAATTAAGGATAACTTGATTTAAGGGTATCCAGGTACTTTGGCTATTTCTTCTGTAGTGGAATATTTTTCTACTTTTGTAGTCGAATATCAGAGCTTATTTGAGCCCCATTTGACCGTAAGTTTCCGAATATTTTACGGTGATGGTACACTGAGAAAAAGAATTGCTTTTGCCAAGTATATTTACTTGCCACAAGTAAATGTATATAAATATTTGCATAAGACATGTATAAATTTTCTTGTAGTTAGTAAATATACTTTGGAAAAGCAATTTTTTTTTCACAGTGTATTATTCAAACTTTGCAGGTTTGAATTTGGAGCTTGATATTGAAACGTTAGAAAACAGTTTCAAAATCTGAAAAAAATAGAAAGTTTGTTTTTAGAGGAAGATTGATGAAATAATTTAGATATTGCAATTTTTGAAAATTACGAGCATTTTCTATAAACAATTTATAAGCAATCAATTTTCCACCATAAAAATTATTTGTTCGGAATCGTAACAAATTCATTCATATTCAGAATTTTACCAAAAGTGAATTTCATGCTTGAAAAAATAAGGTTTCCGAAATTATAAAGAATTTCAATCGTTTATTTATAAACAACGAATGTTTACAAAAATAATAATTTTGTGCAAAATGTAATTTGGATGACGCTAAATATTCACGATTTTTTTCAAATTTTTCTCACGCAATTTAATTGACAAATTTGATGATCGAAAGTAGTTGAATCTATAGTGTGGTCTGTACCGAACTGTAAAAGATACTTGGAAAAAATTAACAAATTAACTTTTAGAGAAAAATTTTTGAAATAATTAAAAAATTGCAATTTTTTAAAATTACGATCATTTTCTATAAATAGTTAATAAACAATCAATTTTCCACCATAAAAATCATTTACTTGGAATCATAACAAATTTATTCATATTCAAAATTTTACCACAAATCGATTTCATACCTAAAAAAAATCAGGTTTCTGAAAGTTTAAACAATGTCAATTATTTATTTATAAACAACGAATGTTTAAAAAAATAATAATTATGTGCAAAATATAATTTGAATGACGCTGAATATTCATGTTTTTTTTCAAATTTTTCTCACGCAATTTAATTGGGAAATTTGTTGATTAAAAATGATTGAATCTGTAGTGTGGTTTATACCAAACTGTAAGAGATATTTGAATAACGAGAAACAATGTCAATGGAGAAATAACCTTTAGGGCCGATATCACTCGTTTTTAAATAAGTTTTAGATTATCTTGGGAGTGAACCCTGTTGGAAAAATCTTCATGGGAATTTTTTCGTAGGAAATTTTTGAGCTACAAAAAGGTCTTGGTATTTTCCATCAAAACCTATCGATTTCCAGATAATGACGTGTTTATCTATTGAATATTCGATTTTTGATCTTTGAACTTTTGTAATACGATATTTTCACTGAGATCGTTGGAGGTTTGTTTTTAGTCGAGAACATTTTCCACAGATAATGGCTTTCGGCATTTCTGTGGAATCGGTTTATTACCTAGATAATTGCTTAAGGGCATGATGGCGTGGATACTTTGCTCCAATAAATGAAATTGATGATATGTCGAGTTTATTCTTTCGCAGAGTCGAACCAAATTTTTTAGTACAACTTGAAAAACTCTTCTATCGTAATGAAAAATCTCAATATGTCAATAATAATTTTTAATCAATTGATTTACAAAATTTTATATTTTTATATCCTCAAATTTTTTATATATTTTATACTTTTATACTATTAAAAATAGGAGTTTGCCAAGTTTCAATGTTTTATTTGCCTTCTCGAGGAAAATCCTCATATTCTCAAAAGAGCCCATGTTAAATTACGAAAACTATAATTGAAGTTTCTCGTAATTTTGAATTAACTTCTAAAATCTTTTCATCACAATGAAATATCTCAACATGTTAATAACGATTTTTGATCAATTGATTTACAAAAATTTAATATTTTCATGCATTTAAATTTTTCATATATTTTACATTTTTATACTATCAAAAATAGGAGTTTACAAAATTTCAAAGTAATATTTGCCTTCTCGAGGAAAAACCACATATTCTGATATAAGAGCCCATCTTAAATTCCAACAATTATAATTCAATTTTCTCATGATTTTGGATTAAGTTCATGGTTTCAATTAGCCCCTCAAAATTTTGTGGATGATTTTAAAATATAAAAATGTCAAATCTTCATTTTTGTTCAGAGTTTTATTCGCCTTTTTAGCACTCCATCATAGAATCCTTAATCATCTTTTGATTTTACATTTTAAATTTAGTTGATTATTTAATTATTGTGGTAATTAGTGATATAGAAAGAAATCGTTTACAAACATTCGTTTTCAAAAATTTTTCCAGCCCAAAGCTGTTAATTTTCCCAAGATAATCACGCAATGAACAACGGCTTCATATCTAATGCATGTAATGCGCTAATTAGCAAATTATCTAAGTAATGAATGAAGTCATTAAAAATCATAATAGGGTATGATTTACAGAAAATTCGTTCAACTACACAAGAAACTTCCATAATTTTCAATAAAATCTGTTCATTCTCTAGACCATCACGTCATTAACGTGGGCCGCCATGGAATTACACATATTATCTAATTAATCGGTAGCGGAAAGGTAAAACGGTTCAAGGCGAAAATGTGTCTTTCCTTAGAGAACTGAAAAAATTATCATGGTCATCTTGAGAGTCGATTTCACCGAGAATCTCATTTTTGAAAAAAATATCGACCTAAACCGATTTACTCTCATTACTTATGGTAGACAAATAATCATAAGAACTCAGCGGTGAAGCGGTAAAACGGTTCAAGTAGATTTTGACTATTGGTTAGTTTTCAATGAATTTCTCGGAATCTAACGCAGATAACAAAATTTTTGTTATAATCTTTTTTGTAGAGCGAATTGAGAGCTACGAAAAAGATTATTACGAAAATTTCGCCATCTCCCTTAGATTCGGAGATATGCCTCGAAAATTTAGCTAAGAGCCAAGTCGACTTAAGGGGAAACTACTATGAGTTGTATAAGTCGCGGGCTGTTAGAATGAGATTTCTCGTGCATCGAAGATCGATTATATATGTCTAAAAATGAATAATTAGCGCAAAAAATTTATTGTTTATTGTTCGTTCGCCCCACAGACACTTAAAACGTTAAAAATAGTCCAGGGCCTCCTTTTTTGAGCTACAGTTTTTTTTTTAGAAATTTTTGAAAAAGTGTGTACAGTAACAATTACGAGTTAGCTTTTTTTAATTCGACTCCTACACAGCTACTTTCGTTTTCTTTCATTAAAAATTGTACCATTCATCTAAAATATCCAAAAAAATGTTTCTGAAAGAATCGAGAATATATTATATTTTACATGTTATAAGTATAATTTTTTTGTCTATTTCACATGAATGGCGTAAATTTTTATATTATCGCCGCGCGCATAATTAAGTTAGTGCACTGTAAAAAATTTGGTGTTAAATTAACACCGATCGGTCCCAATGAGTCCCAATGAGTACACGCCGTTTTTGGGGTGGAGTTGCGATGTTAAAATCACACCGCAACATAGGATATCGCATGTAAAATCTGGTGTTAATTCAACACCAAACGGTGTCCCAAGAAGTCCACACCGGATTTTTTACTGTGTGGTTTATCGTATTTTTGCTTCCGAATGGAAGTATTGTAATCGTTCAATTTCAACATTCTCGAATTTTGATTAGAAATGATGTAGTCTGGTCTGAAGCGCAAAAATACGAATTGAAGCGATGTTCTCGACCGTGCATTTTCAATTGTTGGAAGCGATTTTTACTGCTGCTGACCGAAATATGGCCCAAAACCACTCGTTTTTTATGAACACAGTTTTTTATGAACAAACAGAAAAACCGGAATATCTCGCAAACTTGGTATGAACGGGTGTATATGTTTTGATTGATTCAAATGGAAGGTATTGAAACAAATGTTTTGAAAATAAAAAAGTCGAAATCGGTTCACTAATTCTGAAGATATTTGCGGAAAACCATTTGAAAACGAATCACTTTTTCTTAAAAATCTTTAGATCGATCGGGCTGAAATTTTGCACAGAGTTAGTCCTCATTAGGACCTATAATCTGACAGAATTTCAGATTTTTTGGAATTACTTTCGCCCCTTAATTCCTCAATTTTGTAAAAATTTACCACACTGTTAAAAATTTTTTTCTGAATTTTCCGAACCAAATTCCGGAACTTTTTATCGTGTTCAAGTTCCACTGAAATTTCAGGAAATCTTGTCATTGAAAAATACAATATTCCATTGATTTTCTGTTCAAATGATCTGGAGACCAATAAAAACTTGATTTTCCAATTCAATTATTCTGTGAAAATTCAGAAACATCAGGAAAATTCCGGAAAAAATTGAAAATTCATGTCATTTTATTTCTGAATATTCATGGCCCAGTGAAATTTCAATCGAGTTCTGAAATTTCCATCTCACGCCCACTCAATACTCATGAATTTCTCTGAATACTACTTAAAACTTGAAATTTCATAACCATTTTTTCCTTAAATCCGATTCAATGTCACTCTCATGAGATTTACTATAATATCTTCCATGAAATTTCAAAAAATTTCCAACAGTGCACCAGGAAGGTACCGGTGGACATGCCCACATACAGACATGGTCGTCAAACTTCGTATTTTTTCGTTTCAGACCATTCTACGTCATTTCCAATCAAAATTAGAGAATGTGAAAATTTAACGATTGCAATGCTTTCATTCGGAAGCAAAAACGATCAGAAGACATTATATTTTTTGTTCAAAATTTTCCCCCAATTCTGTTCATCCATCAATTCTCCAAGGCCAACAAATTGCTCACCCTCATCTTTTCTGTTTCAGCAACGGGACCAATAGTGCCATTCCTCCCCACAATAGCAAAACAACTCGGTTTCTCCGGTTTCCTCGTGGGATCAATATACACAATTCTCCCAATATCAGGTCTCATAGCAAAGCCTCTGTTTGGTGGCCTGGCGGATCGATTTCGCCTGCACAAAATTTTTTTCCTCATGTTCCAAGCCATACTGGCCATAGCATTTTTCTCCATCTACTTTATTCCACCCATTGAACCAGAGGCTCCACTAGCACAGGCTGATGTAACACTGACCTGCGACAACGCAGCTGTCTTTTTGGAATTCTGTTCACGAAATGGATTCACCAATGACACAATCAGCAATGTCATTGATCATGGGGATCCGAGGACAAAGTGTCAAATTTCTTGTCAATCTTCGCTGAAAATGTACAAGACAATCTGCAGTTGGGGAGTATCGGAGTACTGTTTCCTGGCTAATGCGCCGAAAGCATTGCAGGAACGAATCAATTTCACAGCCATGTTCAATATGGATAAGAACGTGAACCTGATGAACTGCGCAGACATGAGACTGAAAAATGCGACATTTTTAGAGGGCCATTATAATGTGAGCAAACCCTCCTGCCAGAGCCTGGTGAGGGCTTCATGCGTTGCTACTTGCTCAGGAGTACCAGTGATGGAGGCATTACTTCGGGAGGCTCGTGGAGTGCCTGAAAATACTAGGCGTGATGAAACGACTTATCAGTTTCATCTATTCCTGTGGGCTGCTATCATCAGCTGGATGGGGATGGCTGTCGTTGTTAGCATTGCTGATGCCATTTGTTTTGATCTTCTCGGTGAGAAGAAATTTTTAGTTTTTCTGGTCAATTGAATCATTATTCTGTTTGATGTAATACGAACGAATCGATGAATAATTTGTTCATTTGAATGAATGAATAATTCATCATTTTGAATTTTTTCTTTCAATGGAACGATTTGATGGAGATGAGGGAACTTCATTCGTATGATCATGTCAGTAGTGAAAGAGACAAATTTATCTGGTGAAAAATAGAAAGAGTGAGAGTTTTCATGATAATTTAGAGTTAGAAGGTTAGAAGGCTTATAACGACTTAACTTTTAGTTTATTTTTTGTTAAATACTTTGATAACACTTTGCTATAGGGCAGGAGCTTTGCAAACATTATTCTATCTGCATTTGCTATTTATTATTGCAGGTGATGACGGAAGAAAAGAATATGGAAAGCAGAAAATGTGGGGCAGTATAGGCTTCGGTATATTCGGTATAAGTGCTGGTTACCTCGTTGATGTATTCAGCCGTGGACAGAGTGTCAAAGATTATACTTGCATTTTTTACATAATGCTGATCGCGATGATATTTGATATGATCGTCTCAGCGACATTGAAGAAGGTGAATAACAAGCAGATTTGTAGCGTCGATTCTAATGCGAAACTTCACTGTAATTCAATAGAGAAGTGATGAGTCTATTCAAGTTGGGGATCGAATGTTTACCAATTACTAACGTCTCTCGATACCAAAATCTTCTATTGAAATCTGCTCGAATTAGTATTTAGGGAAATGATGTCGTTATAACTTGTCGATAGAATATTTATCGACTTGCATGGTTTTATCACTCACTATTAGAAATTATATTTTTTGGCGAATTTCTATTAAAAATCACGCAATTTTTTTTATATATATTCGGTACAAAAACGTCAATAGAAAAATATAACGAATTCCCTAGACAATTGTATTGGATTTACATTGAACTTTCTATTAGTTTTTGGCCGATTCTATCGAAAATTTCAATAGCAAATATGTTATAGAAAAAATGAATCGAATTCGATTTTTTTATATAACTTATTCTATTGAGATATTTTCCATAGAATTTCATTGGTTCAAATTTTTCATGTTTTTTTCTTTCTTTCTTTTTTTTTCATTATAAAAATGGAAGAAAACAACTGTGAAAATTCGAGTCGACGAAATTTTACAGAAAATATCTCAATAGAATAAGTTGTGTAGAAAAATCTAATTCTCATTCGACAGAATGTTTTCTGTCGAACATTTCAATAGAATCGGTCCAAAAATTAATAAAAAGTTCAATAGAAATCCAATAGAATTGTCTAGGGAATTCGCTAGATTTTTCTTTTACCAAAGAGTTCTTGGGTATAAATTTAACCATTTTGCCTTCGATTTTGTAATGAAAAATAGAATGACAGCAGCAAAAATATATGCCCAAGAGTTTCTACTGAAGAAAAATCTCGAGAGGATAAGTCTTATAAAGAAAAAACTAAAAACATTGATATTTTTCCACTGCATATCTGTCAAAGAATTGCACGAAAGCGCGGAAAATACTCTTCGATGATTTTCTCTCACATTAATCATGTCTAAAATAGTTCTCTAATTGTAACTTGTAGATGTGAAATATTCTTCGTAAATTCCACATTTTATTAATAAGTATTTTCTCTTGACTATGGCCTCTCTAGAAATCTGTAGAATATACAGATCATGATCCATCCGTCCTCTGGGAACTGGGGTCAGTGGCAAGGGAAGGAAGAGTCTTAGTATTCGCATTTTGGTGCATCGGTGCAGGAATGTGCACGGGAGTTGTCTGGAATTTCTTATTCTGGTACACTGAGGATATCGTCAAGGATGACACTGCCTGGTTGAAAACTATCCAGGGTTTACTCACAGGAGTTCAGTGTTTTTTGGGAGAATTACCATTCAATTTCTTATCTGGTAGAGTACTCAAGAAATTGGGGCATATTAATGTCATGAGTTTAGTTCTTCTCTTCTATGCTGCCAGGTGAGTCAAGGAATACAGGGTTCAATACCGAAATGGTGAAGTGTAACATTTCAAATTCAACATTTTATCGTGATTATAAGTCAATGTAAATGATCTTTATTTTATTCTTCACTAGAATAATTCTTGAGAAGTCAATCTTGCGTTTGAAAATGATCAAAAAGCGAAGTGAAGTGAGTGAAGTAAAAATTCTTGATGAACATCATTAAATCTGAAGCGAATAATAAATCCTGGTAAGGATATTTCTCGTAGATTCAAGAGAGAATTATGAAAGACGTTTCGGTTAAAGTTCTTCGTTGGATCTAGAGATATCCCCAGAAAATGATGTTAAATTCGAGCTGTTTATCTAGCTTTACAATTTCACTAGGAATTTTTTAAGATTTAATGAAGTGTTAATTTTTTGAATACATGTACAATTGACAGGTATTCAGTTCAATATTTGATAGTGATTCAGTTTAGTTGCAATCGAATTTTCTCACGACTTTAATTTAATCAAATTTTTTTCAAGAATTTAATTTAAATTTCATTACTTTAAAATTTATTTGACTTAAAATTGAATAAAATTTAATGAAAATTCAAGTTCAACTCAAAGTTGAACTTAAAATTGAGGTGAACGTATATCTGGTGATGTGGTTCAGCTCTCATCTGGGTATCTTCGAGTTTTACTGACTTAATTTCCTGTAAAAATTAATTCGCTGGGACGAAAATTCTTTCAACTTTGTTGTTTTGATAATAAATAATTCAATTTGAAATGATGATTTATTGCAGATTCATGGCTTATAGCCTTGTCAGGAATGTATGGGTATTCCTGATAATCGAAATACTCCATGGGCCCACGTTAGGCCTCTGCTGGCCAACAATGGTGTCTTATGGAGAAAAAGTCGCTCCGTCTGGTACACGAGCAACGATGCAAGGTTTCGTCGGTGCTGTTTTCGAGGGTATAGGTAAGTCATAAAATCAACGCTTCTCGAAATGGATACAAAATTACTACTCACCTTCATCGATATTTAGGAAATTGAGGGATGTCATACTTTCCATAAAAAAGGCCTTATGGTGATTCCGTTTAACTTTGGGGATTACCAAGATAATTAGGGTTTACATGATTTTTTTCTTGCCGGATATGGGAATTAAATGTAAAATATTAGACACATATTTTAGTGGTTGTCATTTCTTAATTTTTCATCATTTTTTTAAACGAAAAAATACGGTTCTGACATTTTTCTCCAATTTTTGTACTTCATTTTGTTCGATAAACAAATTTCGTGCAACAACCCAGTTTGAGCTTCAACGGTCGAGACACTAATGTTTCAATTATTCCAGAATTTTGTACCTTTCGAATGTTTTAAGTTTAAGAACCCACAGGTTCTTAATTTAAGGATGTCAAAGTACTTTAGCTATTTTTTCTCTTCAGTGAAATGCTCTTCTACTTTTGTAGTCAAACATCAGAGCTTTCATTTGAGCCCCATTTGACGCTTAGTTTCTGGACAGTTAACAATGATTTTATTATTTAATCTTTGTAGATCTGAACTTTAATCTCGATATTGAACCGTTAGAAAACATTTCAAAAATCTGAAAACAAATTAGAAAGTTTACTTTTGGAGGAACATTGATGGAATAATTAAAATATTAGAATTTTTGAAAATTGCGAGCATTTTCTATCAATAATTGATCAACATTCAATTTTCCACTACAAAAATCATTTGTTCGGACTCGTAGCCAATTTATTCTTATTCAGAATTTTACCAGAAATCGATTTCATGGCTGAAAAAATTAGATTTCTGAAAGTTTAAACGATTTCAATTATTTATTTTCAAACAACGAATGGCTAAAGAATAAAAATTCTGTGCAAAATGTAATTTAAATGACGCTAAATATTCATGACTTTTTTCAAATTGATGATTGAAAATGGTTGAATCTATAGTGCGGTCTGTGCCAAACTGTAAAAGATACTTGGACGTTCTTAAGAACCCAACGGTTTTCGATTAAAGAACTCTTCTGACTTAAAATGTATAGATTTTTGGTACTGAACCTTAGATATTTCTCTGCAAAAATTGAGTACACATTTTTCAATTCTCAATACAATGCTCCCATGAGTTTATTTAATTCAACAACTTGAATCTGGAAACTAGAATGTTTTCTCTCTGCGTTCCTATTTTCTTTTAACATCAGTTAATATCAAGACAATTGACCAGTCACCACAACCAATGGGTCAACTCTCCTCATTTCTCGTCGGACTTCTATCATAAAGTGACTAAAAATCCTTGAAAAAATTTCAGGTGTGTCATCAGGAAGTTTACTCTGTGGTTGGTTGATCAGTTCATACGGTGGAGTCGTCACCTTCCGCGTGTTCTCAGTTGGTGCCCTAGTGTGGCTCACAATTTACTGGATCCTACAGCTATTATTACAAAAAGCCAAAGCCTATCCCCTTCACCAGGGCCACAGTCGTAAGTGGTGGAATTTCTATTCGAAAAACTAAACTGTCGAAATGGTTTATAAACAATAAAGTGCACGCTAAAAAATGCCATTATATTTAAATCACATCGTGTTTTTTTATTTTTTTTTCTACGTTCCCTCTATCAGTGAAATTGATCAATTAAGCTAAGTGAATTAGTTGTACTGATAATACGGAACATTGTTCTTTCCAGACCTGGCGAGTTATGCAACACCCAGTGATGCCATTCTCATGACTATGAGCCAGGAACTCCAAACTTATTGAATCTCTGAACGAAGAATTGAAAAAGAAACCTTAGGGTTTTTCTTCTTGACAAAATGGTGCTTATAAGTCAATGTAAATGATCTTTACGTTATTCTTCACTTGAATAATTCTTGTGAAGTCAATTTTGCGTTTGAAAATGATTCAATAGTGAAGTGAAACTGTTGACCTGTCTTCAGAGCAGAAAAATTCTTGATGAACATCTTCGAATCCAAGGCGAATAGTAAATCCTGATAAGAATATTTTTCGTAGAATGTAGTGAGAGCTATGAAAGACTTTTCTGTCAAAGCTCCCTCATCTTCTTTGGATCTAGAGCTGTTCCCCAGAAACTGATGTTGAAGTCAAGTTGTTTATTTAGCTTTACAACTTCACCAGGATTTTTAAAAGATTTAGTGGAGTATTCTTCTGTTTCCACCACATTCTTTTCTTTTTATGGATTTTTGTTGCTTTTGTAATAAAAGAGTGAAAGAAAACAATTACCAATAAAGTCAGAAAATTGGTAAAATGATTTGTTTTCAAAGTGTAGACAATGAATCGACGAGGCTTTTTCGATAGAAAATTTTGGTAGCTTCGAAAAATTAATTTCCGAACTGATTATTTTTGGAATAAATGTGCAATTCACAGCTATTCCTCTATTTTATAATTTATTGTAGTCTTTGTCGAGATCAGTTTTGATAAGTGTCTCGGAATTTGTCCTCCTCACCGGATGAATTACGTATGACTCAGACCATTTTACCACTCAACTAGTTGAGCAATCTCATGCACCTGAATTTAATCACATGAATTGAGTGCAAGGAGAAATTGAGCGAATCCTGACTTGGAGTGAATGGAATAACGCATATTCATCAATTGTATTTCCCCAGTGTGATATATAAACAAAAACTATACTTAGTTGCCCAGTATTAAAAAATAAGAAAATAGAATGCAATTGTACTTTTTTCTAGTGCTGTAAGAAATAAAAGTTTTTATACCTCACTATACTAAAGAAAACCACAAATTTTACATTAAAAATAACAATTGTAACTACAATGGAATCAATTTTACAATCAATCAATGAAACAAAATGATGAAACTCATTGCAATCATTCCTCTTCTTTATTCAGAATAACACCTCTTCTCTTTAGTTTCTACAAAAAATGAAAAATATTATGAATTTTTAAAATTTCAAAAATTTATTCATTTATTCATTCTTCTTTAGTTCAACATATTTTCATCGTAACGTCAATGTATTATTTTCTTTCTTTCACTATTATTAATCGTTTTAGTCTCGTTTTGGTACGTGTCTATGACTGGAACGTGATGGCGTAGTGGCTTGACTCGATGTTGATGGGGCGGGCTCAACGATAGCCTGGAGATTGGCTATTTCTCCGGCAGAATCACAGCAATCACTGATTATTCCAGTGCCAGAGTGAAATGCCAGACTTCCTTCACTCGAGGAGGCCAGACTGCCTGATAAAGGGGGCGATCGTTCCTTTGGAGATGCTGAGGAGGCCAGGTTTACAGCTGCTGAGCCAGGGCCAATCGTCGCTGCCTCCAGATTTCCATGTAACTCCAGTATACGACTCTCCAGGAGGAGATTTATCTCCACCTGAGAGTTGTATTTGGATTCAACTGCCCTCAGTTCAGCTTCGTTTCTGTCCTTTGCTTCCTGCAGTAGACGCTGTTGTTCAATCAGTTGTGCTTCGGTACGGGCTTCACGGGCTTCTAACTCCACTAGGCGGACCCTCTGAGCTTCCACTAGGGATGTTCGAGAATCTAACTGGCGTTTTAAATCTGAAACAAAGAGGATGATAATGGTACATTCAATTTTGATAGCAATACACTGAGGAAAAAAAGTTTTTTGATAAGTACGTATTCACTTGTGGTAAGAAATATCTTAAGATCTTAAGAAATATCTTACACGGAGAAAGAAAAAACTTTCGTCTAGAGATTTTGTAGATGTTCCGAAGACGAGGATAACTTGTTTATAACAAGAAAGTAATTTTTCATACAAAGTCACGGACGAAAAAATTTAATAGAAAAACCTATCGAATTCGTTAGAAAATTCTATTGAATTTCTATTGAACTGTTCTATTAGTTTTTGGCTGATTCTATTGAAATGTTCAATAGAAAATATTCAGTAGATAAAGTCAATAGAATTCAATTTTTCTGTACAACTTATTCTATTGAGATATTTTCTATAGAATTTCCTCGGCTCAAATTTTTGTTTTTCGTTTGACTTTCTTGATGAGAAGAAAAGAAAAATAGAATGAAAAAAACAGAAAATTTGAGTCGAGCAAATTCTATAGAAAATATATGAAAAGACTAAGTTATATAGAAAAATCGAATGCTGCTGACTTTTTCTATTAAATTTTTTCGTGCGTAGTCTAGTTGATTCAATTGATTTAATAGTTTTTCAGTCTCAAATCCAAAATATTTTAATGCCAAAACCGCTTGACTTGTTTCCAAAAGTCACTTTCTATTTTGTGTTTAGTTATCATGGGACAACAATTTTTTGGAAAAATTAAAAAATTAATAGAATTATTAAATGAATTGAATTTTAATTAATGTCGATGGGTAGGGCTCAACAATACATACTTTTGAGAAAAACAAATGATTTAATTCCATCGATTCATTATCAAACAATTGCAGAAAACCTTTATCACACATATACGTACGGTAACGGTCTAAAACTTACGTTTTTGGGTCATAATGGGTCGATATAACTCAAAAAATCCGAAACTTAAACTGGAACGATTACAAAGCTTCCATTGGCAAGCAGAACGTGGGCGAATTTTGTAAACTCAGTTATGGAGACAAAAAATTATGAATTTTTTTTAGTAGATGAGGGAATTCTCAACGAAAAAGTTCTCTTCGAAAGTTATCTAGACCACATTTCTAATGATGTGGACAAAGCAGTGATTAATAAGTAGAAACAGTTGGGAGCAGTAGAATTTTCGAATCATAGTAAATATCTTCGAAGCTATTAGGTTTAGAAGTGAGTGTCAAGAGGCTTTGTTATTTGTAACCCATCAAACTTTCTCAAAAATAGCTTTCGACATTCTGTGTTAAACCCACTATCATCAAACAACCCACTATCAATAAACCCACTATCATCAAACAACAAATGAATTTTTAATTATTTCTATTTTTCATAATTACTTGATAGTTCTTCAGAGTAGGCTCTCTGAATCTGCGCTGCTTCCTGTCTAGACATTGGTACTGGCCCTGAAGAACGCTCTTGCAGTTTCGCTTGAGCCTGGAACAACAAAAATAATAGAAAAACAATTCCAAATGCATTCGTAAGATTACGAGTTTTTCTCGGAGGGAATTTACCTCTCCTAATAACAAAAATCGTTTGTGGATGAGATCCAGAGTTCTCTTCAACTCTTCCCCACGACCCGCAGCCTTCAGTGCACACTTCAGTTGATGTGCAGCATCGAATAACAAGGCCTCAGATGATCTGGCCTGTTGTTCACACTCAGTCACTCTCTTCTTCTCGTTCTTCAGTTCCAATTCCATTGCTTCGACTTTTTCTCTTAGGACACGATTCTGATTCTGCTCCTCGACACACTGAAATCATATTTTCATCAGGGTAATAATTCCCATGCATAGTTCAACGTTTGGGTTTATGCATTTTCTTCTCCGTACCTTTGATTGCCAATGGTGTAGAGCATCAGTGTATCTCTCCTCAGCATTCCTGCTATCCTTTTTACTGCGATCTATTTCGCTCTTCAGGCATTCTATCTCACTCTCTGCCATACGGAGTCGATCAGTCTGTAGAAATAATCATCTTCGTAAATACTGTGATAAATCAATGTCCATCTGTTCATAATATGTAACTGTTGTTATGTTTTCGTAGTGAGTGGTTTGAAAAGCAGTTAGCAGGAAAACTTTTCCATGGGAATAATGGAAAAGTTTCATGCGTTCTTCATGCGTTTTTGACATAAATGCATACGTAACAGTGTAATCACTATAATTTTTGATTATTAACATTTTCTTGATTATATGTGTACGTCCACGTGAAAAGGGCCCACTTTGTCGCATTTATTTTGCGAGATATTCACGTTTTTGTGTTCACCCCTTCCATTTAAACCAATGTTAAACTGATTTTTTGATTTTCTATACCGACGTCATTTTTCATACTATCGTGTTAATTTTGGGCTCAAAATATGAGGAATCTCACTAAGATTATCGGAATATACGTAACTCCAAACCGACAAAGTGGGCCTTTTTCATGTAGATGCCCACATATAATTGCGAAAAAAAGTCTCATGTCATCTTCAAAATCAAAATACTGGGAAATACAGATTTATTCCGCAGATTATTCAAACTGCAAGGAATTTCCAAACATCTCGAGTGGCTTCGAAATCGATTTTTTTCCAGAATTTAATGACTGCTGCAGTTTCGGAAGGAAAAAAATGTTGAAAAATGGGAGTCAACCCAGTGTCTCATGAGAAAATTAATCGTTTTTGATATTATGGCTGCAGATAAAGACTAGAATCTCACTTTTTTCATTAAATGTGACAATATCCCATAATTTATTCAGCAAGTTCCATTAGTTACTCATGAAAAGAAAATGTTTAAGAAAATCCTAACATATTACAAGATGTCATTTCGATGATACTGATTACGTATCAATTTTTTCAATTTTTTTCACGCAATTTGATTGGAAAATTCGAAACAAACAAGTGAAATTGCTTTCGTCACAATATAGTCAATTAGTTTTTGCTAGTAAATAGCAATTCCGAATGAAATTCGGAATGGAATTCCTATGAACCATGTATTTTAAATTGAATTCAATGATTCATTGAATCAACAGGTGATGCACTCAATCTCATGATCGAATTCAGTCAAGATGGCATTGGGAAGAATATTTTAAATCATAATTGGATTCATTTAAACAATAAGTTTTCAAGTTATCGTCGAAAAACGATCAGTCATTCATACATACATTCCTAACGAATTTATAAGGCCAGACTTAGTTATCCTGACACAAGAAATTGGAAATTTTTTTGACGAATACAATGCTTCCATTTGGAATTTAAAAAAACAAAACTGTTGTTGAATGGTATAACTACGTTAGCAACAACCTAATAATAACACATCTTAATTCTAGGAATCATCATCTAAATCTTACCAATGCAGCATTCTGCTCCTCTAGTGCCCTAGAGTCCCTCAGCTTTCCCAGTAACCTCCTGTTCCTCTCAGCATGAACTTCCCGCCTCTGTCGTTCAAACAACAGCTGCATCTGCATCATCTGCAGCTGTGGGTTATCACTCCCAAAATCCTCCATGCAATCCTCCCCGTCGTCCTCCCTCTTCCTGATTCTTTTCCTGTCTCCACTGGAAGAACTGATACGTGAACAAGCCTCGATGTAACGATCAAGCATCGAGCTTGGAGACAATCTCGATTCAGCACTCTGTCTCGAGGTCTGCTGCTCGTGATGCCTCTGCTCGAGTAAACCAAAGAGCAGGTGCTCATAAGGAATAAGATCCGAGGTTTGTGTTCCAACTTCTTCGCTGCTTTTCGCTCCAACGATGCTTCTAAAATTCTCCATAACTGTGCTCAATTTTTTTTGTGACTCTATGTCTGGACAGGACTTGGATCTTCGCACTTTGCAGACGTCTGGCTGGGGGACTGGGCATGGCTGCTGAGGCTGACATTGCGAGTGAAATCTCAGTCTTCTTACTTTCTTTGATAGATCCACCCTTGCGCCACGTACTTTATCATCATTGTACGGTTGACGTTCCAGGAATGTCAAGGATCTGCTTGCCTGGGAATTTACGATTTCTACCTGAAAATAAATAATTTTTTTTTGAAATCCGTTATCTCGAATTACTGATTAACCCTCTACGGGTTCACCTTTTGGGTGCTCCTTCTACGGATACTCTGGGATAGTCAACCACTCAGAGACATGTCGAAAATTTGAATAATTCAATTTGTAAAAAGTTTCATAACTTCATTTCTATTGACCTTATTAGAAAAAATCGAACGGTATTTTCACGTACAAACTCCATATCCCAAATTGAGGAATGAACAAGGTTGATTTCTCAATGGAATGAAATAATGTGAATGCAAAAACACCAACAATTGAGATGAAAATGTTTGCCCCAATCTACACCTAAAGCAGAACCAAGGATATCCATATCCATAAATCATAACTACCGGTAAATTTTGAAGTAGTCAATTCGTTAATATGAATCTTAAATTTTTAATTGTGTGAGTAATCATCGATTTAAATATTCAAATTCGGAATTATTTTATTAATCAAGAATGTAGTTGGAGCGATTGACGATTATTTGGTTAAGGTCCCATTATCTTTTGAACGTTATTTCTATTGCTTGTCCATCTTCATAATGTAAAATATATCACTATTTCCATTGAATTTTACATCACGCAGGAGTCCCCGAAAATTCCGACTGGACAATAAAAAAGATTAAGAAAAAAAACTGAACATTTTCAAAGAGCTTTTTTAATAAAGTTTAAGAAATAAGTCCCATAGAGAGTAAATAATGAGTGGATAATTTATCATGGTAACTAACGATCTGAGTCATTGACTACTATGACAAATGACGACCTAACAGTCATTACACGTATGAAAAAATCGCATAGAAATTTTCTATACGGATTGCGTATAGAAATTCTATAGGATTTCCGTATATGATATTCGGATATTTCTATACGAATTATTTCTATACACAAATTTTGACATAAATTTTTGTTTTCATACGAAAGATGTTTAAACGCTCCCGGGAAAAACGTAGAGAAATGTCGCAACTCTCTTCTGTTTTTTTGATTGTACAATTATAATTTGTGAGAACTCCAGGGCTATGTAAAACTGAACAGCAATTGGAGATCATTTCAGATTATCAAAATAAAAAAAACAATCAAGATCACGTTCGAAAGATAATCTACCCGGGCCTTTAATTAAAAATTAAAAATTGACCAAGAATGAATCATACGATTCAATGAAATAGGCATATATTGAGGACCACCCATAAATACCTCTTGATCCTCTTTCCAACTGTCATTCTTTCCATTTCGTCCTGGGCTGTTCTCCAGGCCTCTCCCAACCCCCTCAAAATTGAACGATCTCTGTGTCTGGAGGACATTCTGACGATCAGCAACAAGTCTGTTGATTTTCTGCGAGAGAATTCCCCCATCTCCACCGCCTCCAATCCCAGAGAACGCAGAGGCATGAGAATTGATGAAAGTTGGGGTAGAAGGCCTGGAGTTTCCACTCAACGATCCATTCCCGAAGGCTCCCAAGGCTCTAACTGCAGCAGAGCCAAGAGGTGGCTGTCGTGAAGAGACTTGTCGAATATCCTTCACAGGAGTGGTTTCAGGTGTAGCTTCAACTGCTGCCTCAGGTGGTGAGGAACTGCTTCTGTTGTTATTTGGAGTCGATGGCGTGGATCGAGCCTCGAGGCTAGGGGCTGACAGTGGTGGTGGACTGTGGGGAGGAATGGCCATGCTGGGGGACCAGAAAGAGTCCTCTTCTCCATTGGTAGCTCCAGTCCCTGACAATCCCTCAGCAACACTCACTGGGGTGTATGGGCACAGATGATCTGGTATGGGAGTGGCACGAAGATTGATAGGAGCCAAAACCTCCTCTCTACTTCTGTCCAGGGCGAAACGACCACACTCTGCCACCACGTCGTGGTGCTCCATCTTCTTCCATCTCGCTGCATTGGTCTCTGCGTCCTTGGATGCAGTGACAAGCAGTGGGTGCAGTCGCACAGACTCCAACATTGGCTTGATTGTGAGTTTAAATACATCGTGATCCCTCTGGGAGCACTGCTGCTTCAGATAAGCGATGAAGTTGCAGGGGTACATTGCGTATAAACGGTGGAATAAACTGTACAATCCAACCTGGAAGATATATTTTTTATTAGAGGAGTGGCAAAAGCTGATGGAATGAGTCGATTTTCTTCAATATTGAACTCGCGAACGAACTGGATTAATTTATACTATTTTATTTCTGTTGCCGTCTTTACAATTAGATTAATTTAATTTTATTCATTCGTACTGTTATTATATCTATATATAACAGTACGAATGAATAAAATTCATTCGTAATTTATTCATTCTGTTATTATATGTATATATAACAGTACGAATGAATGAAACCCTTCCTTAATTCACAAGTTGCAACATTGAATTAAGAGAAATCATGTTACAGCTCAATAAAAAGTATTTTTTGTGATTAAAACAAACACACAAAACAAGTCATTTGAAGTCTCATTCAGGTGATAGAAAAATCTCTCCATATATTCCTGAAAATTTTTAAAATCTATTTATCCCCTCAAATGGTAAAAGGATATCGGTACTCCTCATTTCTATAAACGGATTCCAATTATTAATATGAAAAGGAAATAAGAAAGAATCAGAGAGAGGTAATCGGCTAGGAAATGGAGTTTTTCTTAAATTGACCCTTGAATTATTTGATTAAAGCTAATTTCCCTTAACAGATGGGAGTTTTTATCCAATAATTGAATTTCACGATGTTTATTCTAAATTCAGGTTGATTTGGATTTTTCTGTAACTATTGGTCAAGTGAACGAAACTATTCGTATACCATTTCAAAGGGTATTTGTTGTTGCAGAATATTAAAATCAGGGGAATTATAATTTAAATTGGAAGTTTTATCCGGATAAATTAATAAAGGGCCATGATTTTCATTTGAATTCTGTCAGATTTCAGTTATATCGCAATCTAGTTTCTGCACAAATACAACATATTTTAAAATGTAAAAACCAGAGTTGCAGAAGTTTTATTTCAAGAAAAACTGCAAAACGCCTGAGTCGATTTCGCTCAATATCCACTCTGATGTATTGCATACGAATATTCATCGATTGAATGGAAAACAATAAATCAATAAAAATAGTATCATTTCTGCTGGAAAAATGATCGAATTAGTCAAAGAAACATAATTTTTTGCGTTTTTTCACATGTTTTTTAGGAATAACTCGAGAACCGCTGAGACGATCGTTTTCACAAACTAATTCTTCAAAATTTGTCCAAAATGATTCTAAACGTCAAGAAATGTGGAAAAATCATGGAAATTCCACATTCAATTTTCGGGGTCATTACTATAACTACGCGACAGATCGGGAAGTTAAAAATTACATATATTGATCTCATGCAACCTGACTAGCGCGCGCGTCCCGCCTAGTCTTTAAAATTACCTGTAGATGCAGTAAATAGAGTTGATCCTTATCCATGCTGGTATTTCCACTGCCGATAGTAGAAGCGAGATTTGAAGATTGAAAATGATAATAGGAGGCCAGACGTCCGAAGACCTCAAATATTTCATGCAGATAGGGACCAAGCGCAGCTGGTAACATTGGCAACAATGTCACAAGTAGCAAAAGTCCACTCATGAGTGACAGAGCCTCAGAGTCAACTTTAAGCAGTTTGAGCAGTTCTCTGAAGAGCGGATGATTGGCCAATTTGTAGAGGGTGGGCTGTCTCCTGGCAACGTGTCCAAGGACGGTGAGTACCTTGACGCGTTGGCCACTGTTACTGGGCCTGGCCAGTGTCTCCGAGAGACGATCCAGAAGATATTTATCATGTGGCTCCCGCACACCTGCCAGGACTTCAATCGTACGGAGGGAATCCGTTGATAAGTAGTAATCAAAGAGCCCATTGACCAACCAGTTGTCTTTTGCTGTTGATAAATTGTCAAAATTTTGAGAATTAATTTATCTCATAGTCTCAGCAGTAAATGATTAAACCCTAGAATCCACTAAGGTGAAACGGAACCTCTATGTCTATATGAACTTTTAGAATTGTGTTTTCTTCTGCAATTATTAGTTTTTTATTATGAAACTACTTCGTTGACTCAACAATGCAATGATTGATAAAGTGATTTCATAGAAATAAAATATTAATTAATTAAATTAATAAAATATTAATTAGTTAATGGTAGGAGAAAACAATTCTAAAAATTCATACAGACACAGAGGTTCCGTTTGCCCTGAAGGATATCCAAGTACTTCGACTATTTTTTCTCAAGTGAAATACTTTTCTACTTTTGTAGTACATCAGAGCTTTCCTTTGAGCCCCATTTGACCCTCAATTACCGGACATTTTACAATGATTTTATTATTTAAACTTTGCAGGTCTGAATTTGAATCTCCATATTGAACCGCCAGAAAACGATTTATTTAGAAAATCAGAAAATAAAACTATAAAGTTCACTGTTGGAGAAAGATTGGTAAAATAATTAAAAAATTGAAATATTTAAAAGTTACAAGCATTTTTTATAAATAATTTATGAACAATCGATTTTCCACCATAAAATTTTACCAGAGATCGGTTTCATGCTTTAAAAAATAAGGTTTCCAGAAGTTTAAAGAATTTCATTTATGTATTTATAAACCAGAAAAGTTTAAAAAAATAATAAATATGAGCAAAATATAATTTGAGTGACGCTGAATATTCATGATTTTCTTTAAATTTTTCTGAACGCAAATTAAATGACAAATTTGATAACTTGGCAATTTGATTGACAAACTGCAAAAGATACTTGGATATCCTTAATTGAAAATTCAGAGATAAAGCAAAATGTGAAGTTTCAGTTTAACAAATGGTCTGAAATATTGACATTGAAACTGAGAGAATTCATCATTTTAATTCAACTTTCGATTCGGAAAGAAATTGGAAAATGTCATAAGTAGATTTGTCACCTCATGTTATGTATGGAACTATTTTGATAATAATAGAATAGACTACAATGGTTACTGATATTTTTTTGTATCCTCTGTAGTTATAAAAGAAGCTTGACATTATCGGCTAGAATCTCTTATTTAGAAAAATGTTAAAATAAATTAGCCATTAAAAAAGTATAAACCTCAAATATCAAATTCTCAAAATGTAATTACTTGAAATGCAATTCGTCAATAAAACAATATGTGGACGTCCGCGTGAAAAGGGACCACTTTGTCGATATGGTGTTATGTATACTCTGATAATATTGATAACATTCCGCACACTTTGAGCCCAAAATGATCTTCATCGGGTCAAAAATGATGTCGTTGGAGAAGATGGGAAAAACAATTTAATATTGATGCAAATGGGAGTTGCTGGCACAAAAACGTAAATATTTCGGAAACTAAAATCGACAAAGTGGTCCCTTTTCATGTGGACGTCCGCATATGTTCCGTAATTTGACGTCTAGTAATTTTTGAAGTAGTAAATCACGTATGCTGCATAAACTACTCTCGTTATCTATCATTTAATTTTATTATTCGTTAATTATTATGTGAGCATTTAATTCCTTCACACTATAGGTCTTGAAAAAAAGAATGAATAAACAAGATTGATTTAAAATTCTAATCAACTAATTTCAGGAGTGAATATCAGACGACTTTCCTTTCAGTTAAACAAATTTCCAACAATCCCTCACTATCGGGATAAGTACAAGAGCAAATTGTCACGTTCATTCACTTCACCCTCACCTCAATCACTGAATAAATATAAATTCCTCTACTCACTGGATAAAAAATGATCGTGAAAAACTTTTTTGATTTCCTCCACATCGCTCAGCTTGTTCGACTCGAGCATGTGAAAAAAATCAGCCACACCAGAACTGTTGACACTCATCCCGACTGTTATTGCCGTTCCTTCCACTCGACATAAATCAAATTCTATTGTTTTGTTTTTTTGGTCTTTGAAGGTTGACGATGGCTCGAAGTTAATCTCGCCATCTGTTGATCCTGTTGATTGGCCACCCCTGGATCAATGTCACTGGACCTGAGGCACCACAAAATCCAAAAAATCGTTAAAATCCTTCACATTGATAATTTGACGTTTACAGTTGTTTCAGTCAGGTGTTACGAGTTCTGTTGAGGAATGAAAAAAGTCCAACTATTCAATTTTCAATATGTCTAAGAATATATCCGACGCCTACGTGACAACGCTCACAGTGCAGAAGGGTTGTTAGTCAATTAAATGAAATGTCTTTTTCTTCCGATTTCATTGCATGTTGTTTTTGATACCAAACATAAAAAAAACTGTCGGCCTGCGCGTGCGGCATGTTATCGTAGTGGGGGACGATATCAAGAAGATCCCCAGGAGTTGAGGTGGGACAGGGAGTACATGCGATTGATTCACTTTAACTCCACAAGTGCATACTGATAATTGATTATGAGTGAGGAGGGACAAATGGGTGTGGATATCACTGGAGCTTTTTACTCACCCGAGGAACATCGAGTTACAAAAATCGACGTTGCACTTCCTCAGGTTCACCACAGGGTGTTCGGACTTTATGGCGGATTAGTTGCGCCAGGCTGGCGCCACTGTCGCCTTTGGCACTTCATTTCTCACTGATACGGGCGCGCACGTGTGTGACCGTTGATATGTAGAGTAAACACGTGCATTCGAGTTGTGTAGGTAATTCCGGGATGAGAAAAACAACCCGATACATTGCTTCGACACGTGTGGAGAGAGAGTCATACGATTGGATGCTAATTTTTTTTTTGTTATTTTTTTTGTCGTTTTAAAGCTTGTTGTTGATGATTGGGTGAGGTAGATACGGACATATGCAAATCTTCATGGTAGTTTTAAATTTTCATGGGCTTATTGGTCGTTAAAGTGTTTCGTGCGGAAAATGTAAATAATGACATTCATCCGGGATTCATGTAGAATGTTTATAGCTACCATTGAATTATCCATGAATTTTCCTAGAATTTTTTCAGCTTTCTCTTTCAAGTTATTAGCGATTGAAGTCGTTTCTTATACATAGACTTTTGTGGAAATTTTTCGCTTTAACACGAAATTGCGTTACCATCTCAGCAGATAATATCAATAGCGAAGTTGTAAAACGGTACATTTAAATTTTGACCATTGACCAGTTTTCAATGAATATCTCGAAATCTAAAGCAGTAGCAAAATTTTTGTTATATAACTTTTTTTGTTGAACCGATTGAGAGCTGTAACAAATGTAATTACGAAAATTTCGCTATCTCCCTTAGATTCGGAAATATTCCTCAAAAGCTAACTGGGAGATAAACTTAAACCGTTTTACCACTTCGCTACTAATATAGTTCCATGTTAAACAAAAAAATTTCTGTGCGAGCCCATGAATAAGCAGCGACTTTAATCGTTAATAACTTGCAAAGGAAACCCGCAAAAAATCTAGGTAAATTCATAGATAATTCAATTGTGATTATAAACATTCTATATGAATTTCAGATGAATGTCATTATTTACCTTTTTTGCACAAAACACATTAAGGTATATCCCAAAATTTTCATAAAATTGGCGGCATTTTTTGAATATCCTACTCCTCGCCCGATTATCCTTCATTTATTGCATTCTCATAAGTAGGTGAGTTGTGTTATGCCCATGTGAAGTTGATGCAGGCAACAATAATTGTTTGAATCAAATAAAAAATTATGTTGGTCAATCGGTTGATTATCAACCGGTTGACTATCGACTAATAAACGAATGGGCAACAACATATGGAACTGGTCGGTTCCTGAATCGACGGTCAATCAATTCTGAATCGAGGGGTCCGCCAGAGAAGTTGTTTCTATATGAATGAAAAATGACTCATAGTTTATTGGCAANGGGGGGGGGGGGGGATTTTGACAGGCGTCATAAGTTTTTCGGCACATAAGCGTCATTGAGGTGTTGTCGGGAAGGTAACAATCCGCTAACAAATGCAATTAAACTAATAATTACAGATTTATTATCCGCGTCAAATTAATACAAATGTGAAGAGAAAATAATATGATCCGATCAAGTGTGCGATACGAGTTGTACTATTATACTAAATTATATTCGCACGAAAAGGTGTCAGCGAGGCTGCCGAATATCTTTACGATTTTGGTTCTATATGTTAGTCCATACGCAATACCCCCTTCCCGTATGCACTCCAAGTGCGGAAGCAAGTTGAGGGGTTTTCTTATGTTTTTTGGGGTGAGGAATCCAAATCTGTCAGTGGTTTTCGCCTAGGTGCGTGCAATAAAAAGATATAAACAATTTTTATGGTTTTTTAAATGAAAAAATGATTTCTTCGGATGACAACAAGAGATGGAGCAAAACGTTTTGAACAAGGGTTGTTGTCTTTCATTTAACGAATACGTAGAAATTTATTTAATTTAAACCCGTCAATTAGCCTTCGAGATATGGTCTAATGAATGAGCGCGGAGCGATGCGCCGCGCACGAAGCCATGCGTCACACACGGAGCGAGTCGGAGTATTCTTCATCGAGGCTAATTCAACAACTTCTACATGGTTTTAATGTTTTTGTCATGAGTAAAGAAATTGAAATAGTCATTCAATGAAAATAGTAATCGACAAAAATAGTAATATCATTCAATGAAGGTAAAGAGAATGGACACATGATCCATATGATTTTCATTGGTTGGACGATGGAACATTTTTTGTTTGAAACATTTTGCTCTATCTCTTATTGTCATCCGAAGAAATCATTTTTTCATTTAAAAAACCATAAAAATTGTTTACAACTGTTGATTGCTCGCACCTGGATGAAAACCACCGATAGATTTGGATTCCTCACCCCAAAAAACATAAGAAAACCCCTCAACTTGCTTCCGCACTTAAAGTGCATACGGGAAGGGGGTATTGCGTATGGACTATGTATACCCTCTCGAGTTTTTACATTTTACTCCCTTCCCTATCTGCATTACCATGGGCCGACTTACTTTATCCCCAACTGCACCCCATTCGGGATCGGACTGCCAGGGAAACCATGGAAAACCTCAGTCGTGCAGCCGGCCGATAATGCAGGGATTCCACTGTGTCCATTGGTCACACTGACTCAATGGGCACGGTGGGTCTCTACATTCGTGCCTAGCGACTGTAGTCCCACGCGGTTACATGTGCCTAAGCGGACACCCATCCAACTACTGGGCAGACTGAACGCTGCGTAGCTTGGATGACCGCCGGAGCCACACACTCCCCGCGTGACCACTACAGCCACTCGAATATCTTTACAATTTGACGAATCAGAAAAGAATACGCGTGACACTGAAGGTGCGAGTGAGACAGCAAATGCCTGTGCTCGTCGTTAGCTAGTGTTCGCGTGTTAGGATGTAGCGAGGCGCTACAAAACTCCCCTGCTTGAAGTAAAAAATGTAGATTTTTGAATCTTGTTGGAATGGAAGTTTTATCTACCTGCACCGTAAGGTGCTGCCAACCTACGGGGTGTGCTGAGTCTGCGCGAGTCGGCTACGCGAGACCTCACTCTGTGTTAAGTCACGCTACTCTTCACATCGTACATTATATTGATTACAATAAAGAGTTCATTACAATTGTTGAAACAAACAAATCGTTCCCTGCATATTATTTAATAATACTCCAATAAATCTGCAACAGAAAGTGATTATTCTAGGAACAGGAAAATTGTCAGATTTGGCAAGCAGGTGAAAAAAAAAATTTTTTTTTTTGAATGAGGAGAGTTAGACGTGGTAGACGTGAATTGTCGGTCTGTTGGCGAATGTTACGCCTCTCCTCCCTCTTCCAGCAGCGGGTGCCGTGCTCGTGCTCGGCTGTGGCTGGTCCTGTTGTTGGGGCTCGTCAGGTACGTCTTGGTGCTGAAACTGTCCTGGAAGCTGATCCATGTCCTCCGGCAGTATGTACGCTGGTTTCAGTCGATCGATGGAGATCGGTGTGTTCTTGTAGTTTCCCAAAACTCCGGACTTGAACCAGATGACGAAATACTTGTCGTGGCGACTGATGACGCAAAATGGGCCGATGTATGGTGGTCGGTATGCCATTCGCACGTGGTCATCGCGAACAAAAACATGCGTACATGTTGATAAATCCTTGAAGATGAACGTTCAACGGGTACCATTTTGTGCAGCTGGAACAGGTGCGATTGTACGAAAATGTTCGTGTAGATTTCTCACCAATTCCGGTGCTGCCGTTTGTTGATTTGCTGGCACGATGAACTCTCCGGGTAGACGGATAGGTTCCCCATACGTTAGCTCGGCAGGAGTCGTTTGAAGGTCGTCCTTCCATGCGGATCTCAACGCTAAAAGTACCAGTGGAAGTGCGTCGTAGCAAGCTCCGCCGTGACATCGCAGTGCTGCTTTCAGTTGGCGATGTAGCCTCTCAACCAAACAATTTGACTGTGGGTGAAAAGGCGTGGTCATGATCCTCTTGGTGCCTAGGATTCTCGTAAGCTCGTTGAACGTGTCTGAGAAGAATTGACCACCCTGATCAGATGAAATTCTCGGAGGTATTCCGAAGTGTGCGATCCAGTGGTAGAGAATCGCGTTAACTACTGTAGACAACTTTGCATCAATCAATGGAACTGCTTCTAGATACCGCGTGAATCGATCGACGATGGTCAAACACCAGCTGTGTCCTTTTGAGGCAGGAAGAGAGATAAGAGCGACGTGTATGTGTTCGAAACATCGCGATGGTGTCTCGATTCCAACTATTGGTGTAACCGCGTGTCGCATGACTTTGTTTTTCTGGTATTCCAGGCAGTGTTTGGTCCATTCAGAACAGTCTTTATTCATGCTGGGCCAGACGTAGCGCTGCGTGACGAGTTTCCGTGAACCCCTACATCCAGGATGAGCCATTGAGTGCAGCGAGATGAATACTTGGTGTCTCAGTTGGGCAGGCACATATGGGCGGACTGTACATGATGACATATCACAGTACAGTGATTCGTCCATTCCTGGAAGTTGTAGGCGGTCCAGTCGTAGATTCACGACCGGTCGTTGGAGTAGGCGTTGAAGCTCTTGATCGTCGCGTTGNTTTTGAATGAGGAGAGTTAGACGTGGTAGACGTGAATTGTCGGTCTGTTGGCGAATGTTACGCCTCTCCTCCCTCTTCCAGCAGCGGGTGCCGTGCTCGTGCTCGGCTGTGGCTGGTCCTGTTGTTGGGGCTCGTCAGGTACGTCTTGGTGCTGAAACTGTCCTGGAAGCTGATCCATGTCCTCCGGCAGTATGTACGCTGGTTTCAGTCGATCGATGGAGATCGGTGTGTTCTTGTAGTTTCCCAAAACTCCGGACTTGAACCAGATGACGAAATACTTGTCGTGGCGACTGATGACGCAAAATGGGCCGATGTATGGTGGTCGGTATGCCATTCGCACGTGGTCATCGCGAACAAAAACATGCGTACATGTTGATAAATCCTTGAAGATGAACGTTCAACGGGTACCATTTTGTGCAGCTGGAACAGGTGCGATTGTACGAAAATGTTCGTGTAGATTTCTCACCAATTCCGGTGCTGCCGTTTGTTGATTTGCTGGCACGATGAACTCTCCGGGTAGACGGATAGGTTCCCCATACGTTAGCTCGGCAGGAGTCGTTTGAAGGTCGTCCTTCCATGCGGATCTCAACGCTAAAAGTACCAGTGGAAGTGCGTCGTAGCAAGCTCCGCCGTGACATCGCAGTGCTGCTTTCAGTTGGCGATGTAGCCTCTCAACCAAACAATTTGACTGTGGGTGAAAAGGCGTGGTCATGATCCTCTTGGTGCCTAGGATTCTCGTAAGCTCGTTGAACGTGTCTGAGAAGAATTGACCACCCTGATCAGATGAAATTCTCGGAGGTATTCCGAAGTGTGCGATCCAGTGGTAGAGAATCGCGTTAACTACTGTAGACAACTTTGCATCAATCAATGGAACTGCTTCTAGATACCGCGTGAATCGATCGACGATGGTCAAACACCAGCTGTGTCCTTTTGAGGCAGGAAGAGAGATAAGAGCGACGTGTATGTGTTCGAAACATCGCGATGGTGTCTCGATTCCAACTATTGGTGTAACCGCGTGTCGCATGACTTTGTTTTTCTGGTATTCCAGGCAGTGTTTGGTCCATTCAGAACAGTCTTTATTCATGCTGGGCCAGACGTAGCGCTGCGTGACGAGTTTCCGTGAACCCCTACATCCAGGATGAGCCATTGAGTGCAGCGAGATGAATACTTGGTGTCTCAGTTGGGCAGGCACATATGGGCGGACTGTACATGATGACATATCACAGTACAGTGATTCGTCCATTCCTGGAAGTTGTAGGCGGTCCAGTCGTAGATTCACGACCGGTCGTTGGAGTAGGCGTTGAAGCTCTTGATCGTCGCGTTGGGCGTCTATGAGCTATTGCGTTGTGACAGCGGTTGAGACGGTTTCGACTTGTGACAGAGCATCTGCCACGACGTTGTATGGGCCCGCGACGTACCTGATGTCCGTGGCAAATTGGGCGATGTAGTCCAATCTTCGGTATTCTCAGGGTGAAGCTAGTTCTGGTTTTTGCTTGAACGCGTGAGTCAGCGGTTTGTGGTCAGTGAAGATGATCACATGACGCCCTTCAAAGATGTATCTGAAGTGCAGTACCGCTTCGTAGATCGCCTGCAGTTCCCTGTCGTAAGCCGCGTATTTCTGCGAGGAAATCGTGAGTTTCCTGCTGAAGAATGCTGGCGATCTCTGGAAGGCTTGATGCCCTTGCGTTGATCGTGTGACTGAGAAATAAGACCTCTGGCTGTCCCAGGTCCGATTTGGCGACGTTTACTATCAACCCGTCCTGTAGGCGTTGAAAAAGTATTCTCAGGTGTTTGCGATGTTGTTCTTCGTTGTCCGATGTTACCAAAATGTCATCTATGTATGGAAACAGAAATGGTAGATCGCGTATCACTTCATCTATTAGACGTTGAAACGTCTGAGCCGCGTTCCTGGGGCCGAAAGTCATGTATGGTAATTCGAAAAGTCCAAAAGGCGTGATTATCGCGGTCTTTTGGATGTCCTCAGGTGTAACTGGAATTTGATTAAACGCTTTGACCAGATCTATGGTAGAGAAAATTGTGTTGCCGTACAAGTTGGCAGCAAAATCCACTAAATAACGAACAGGATACTTATCTGGTATAATTCTGTCGTTGAGTGCGCGGTAATCTCCGCATGGTCTCCATTCGCCGTTCTTTTTTGGGGCCAAATGGAGTGGAGATGACCAAGGACTTTCACATCTCCTGGCAGTTCCCAGTTTTAACATGCTCGAAAATTCAGCATGCGCGATTTTGAGTTTATCAGGAAATCAACACCAATGATGGGCCTGCTGACGTCTGCTTCGACGAAACGCTACATTAAGTCTCTGCGGAGACCGAGATCTGGCGAGATGGATGTGTAGCCGTACGTGTCGATGAGGGTGCAGTTGACTGCGAAGAGTTGATAGTCGCTGGTGTCCCTCTGGTTTGCTGGCCGCCTGCAAGGCGTGACGGAGACGTCTGAGCCTGTGTCCACTAGGTATCGGGTTCCAGTGGTTCTATCAGTGATAAATAAGCGGCGTGAGCGGCGTTCGAGTGAGACGAATTCTACGCAGAATTCTACGAGAATTAGAATTTAGAGAGAAAAAATTTCCGCTTCACCCAGCCGGGAATCGAACCCGGGTCTCCCAGATACGCGCCGGGCACTCTTACCGACTAAGCTATCGGGAACTACAGAAATTCACTCTCAAATTCCGCCACTATTGTCTCTCCCTGGAGGTTTCCTGAAACTTGCAACCGGACAAACAGTTACGCGCTCGATTACCAAATTTAAAATGGTACCAGCAAATGTCGAATTTGTTTGGTACTTTCCTGGAGTTTTAGTGTCTGCGTCTGGAGTTGCTGCTGTGGCCACGCGAGTCGTTTAGGCGTTCGCGGGAGCGTGAGTCACGCATCTGCATTGCAGCAACGGTTGCCGTCAGCTGCTCGAGTCGTTCCAGGAGCTTGTTGCCGGTTGTGTTGCTTGTTGAGCTGGTGATGGATGTGACGCTGTTCAGGTTGAAAACATCGTGCACCCTGTCTGCTAGCGTGGCAAGGTCCTCGATAGAAGCATTCTCCTGGGCGGCGAGCATAGCTCTCGTCTGCTCGGGGAGGTGAGACAACCAACGCGTCTTGAGGATCTCGTCGTCAATACCTGGAACGAAACTTTTCAAGTGTCTGAGATGTTTTGATGGAGAGCGGTCTCCAATACTCTCTTTGTCGGGTGCTTGGATGAGATTAGCAGTCCTAGATGTTGTAAAACATCTAATTAGCTCTGATTTTAGGGTTTGGTATGGATTTGTTACAGGTCTGGAGATAATTAAATCCACGTCTTCTGCAGTATAAATTGTATCGATCAGAGGTACCTTTTTATTGTACTTATCTGTCTCGGTGACAATTCCCAGGTCAACTAACTGCCTCTCCAGCTGCGCGAACCAAAGCGCGGGTTTTCCGGCGTTGAAGGGCCTTGTGATGAGTTTTGGTTTCATCGTAGCCATGGCAGTTGTCAGGATGTCGGGAGTCGTGGTCGCCATATCGATTTTAAAATTAAATTTCGGAGAAAAATAAAATTGAGGAATAAATTTGTAACCGAAATAAAGGCGTTAATAGTCTTTACTTATCACCAACACAACACAACGTCTCTGGGTGTTCAGCAATGTGTCGGCTCGAGGTCACAAATATTCACTCGGATATCACTTGTATACGGCACTTTGTTTTGATTTCACGAAAACACTGAGAAATCAATGGTTGGGCTTGGAATGTTCTGGAAGCGTCGGGATGCCGTTGGAAATATTTTATGATGAAGTGGTCAAGGCAATGAAATTTATTATTCTCAGGTGCGCGACACTAGTTTGAGATGCAATCGCGGGTTTTCTGCAGTACTCGAGAAGCTGAATCGCACGTGTTATCCAGAGAAATGGATGAAAACACGAGGACGCGAGGATAAAATTTCGGTTGCACTGCACGCTGGTCAATGTGTTATTAAATTCAAATTGACCATAATAAAGGATAACCTGGGGTTGAACTCTATACTGGGATGTATCATTCCTTCCGTAGTGATTTCTTTTGTAGATTCTGCAAGATTACAGCTCTCGACGCTAAAAATTAGGAAATCACACCGGAAAAAATATAAAATAGTATGAATGGACTAGTTGAATCGTCGAGTGGAACTGGGATGACATTATTCATCACAATGTGATGAAAGTGACTTGAAATCAATGATTTGAATTAAAATCACATGAGTCAAAAATGTATTCTTTCCGTATTAAAGTGACCGGAATGCTCCCGTCATGTTATCAAATTGTTATAAATGAGCTATGAAGTGATCAATATGAATAATCGAGAAAACGTCGATTTTTTCAAAGTGGTAAATGTTATCAGCGATCGCAGAAAACCGTTCCATTAGTTGAAAAATAGGTTTGACTCACTGTTGTATTCTTAAGCGTCATAGACCACATTCGGAACATGTTGTTTGGATAAAAAAAAATGACCTAGTGAATAATTACGAATGCAAAATGATAAAAGCGATAGCAAAGTTTCAAACGATGTTCAAACGATCCTTCGTTTTGCGGGCATATAAGCTTACGGTGGTAAATAGCATTTTTCATTCTTCAGTCAGCTTCGATCATGGAGTTTGCTATTAGCTTGTCTCTTTTCTTGCCTCTGGTCGGGTTTTCAGTGGCATATGATCCAGACCAGGTACCTTGCATCGAATAGTTCATCTATCGTCAAATACATTATATAGATTTATTTATTTATTTATTTATTTTCATGAAAGGGAAACATTTTGTAAGATAACTCGATTAGATTTTCTTTCTAATGTCAACGCTGTTTTTCTTGAGAATTGAAAGGAGTAAAACTTGTACTTCAGCATGCGAGATACTTGTTATCGAATGGCATTCGTCTTCGTTCTGAAAATTTTCCTTCTTTTTGAAAGCGGAGATAATAGAACATCTGTATAAGCTATTCCGTTGTAGCCTTGTCTCCTCCATCTACCTATTAGCTGTAAATGATTGCAGGACTTTGTCGATATTAAATGGTATTTTTCAGAAACCGATTCTGAGACAGATTAAAAATACAATTGCAATAGACGATTTTCGGATTCCGGACAATACAGTATTAAGCGGTAAGCAATCCAACTTACGATTTGATGAGTCTTACACGGGGTATGATTGGGTCAAGTTTTTCAAGAACATAAAGGAAACCAACAAAATGAGAGTACGTAACTTTATTATATTCTTCCATGCATATTTTGCTGATTTTTTAATTAATCGACTTCTTTATAGCTGGACTATACAGTTCAATATTTAAACAGCAAATTCACGGGTGATGAGTGGATAAAAATTTTCGATGATTCGGTGTTATTTTGTGACACCTCTGAAGATACACAAGATGCCAGTATTATTAATCTCGTACGCATACTTCTTGGTGTTCCTGACGGATGTCCAGTGCAAAAAGTAAGCATTGTTAGCTTTCCGGTAGAGAATCTTTTGAATTCACTTTGGAAAATTGAATATTAACTGTTTATAGTCATTTTACACTCACCTGCCGAAAAAATTCTCTTCCTATCCTACAATGTCGTGGTAGCTAGTTCTTTATTGTATTCCATTTCAGGGGAAGAAAAATACCGAGGACGTTCACTTCCCTTTAGAAGACGAAGAAATAATCTGGAATATTGACCCCCGAGGGAAGACAATCAGAATATTGACCAACATGTGGACTGATGATAAAAAACCTCCACAAAAGGTTTTCACTGCAGACTTTTATCCCATAGAGAAGGGAAATGGATTTATACCTATGGATGAGAGTGAATCTGACGAGTGAAGTTCCTACCGATTCACATCCATTGTATCGATCTATGATCCGTTATCTCCAGGCAAAATGTTCGAAGCGATTGATATGTACGTGTGCGATAAGAGGAGTATTATATAAAGCGAAATCATATTAGAAAAATTTCATAGAATATTTTAATTTTTTTGTTTCTCACTGATTTATCAGATGAACTTTTTCTGCAACCAGGTTTCAATATAATTGATATCTATTTTATGCAATTGTTCCAATAAAAACTCAAAACACCAAGCTGGCTGTTTTTTCTTCATCCCAAGCAATTTACAAAGACCTTAGAATAGAATTGATTCATTTGGAAAAAAGACGCTTTTTGGTTGTTAAATGTCAATCCTATCATTCCTGGGTGGTGGGTGAGGAAAATTCGCGGCTCGATCGAAGTTCTGGCATTGGGTTCAAAGAAGCGATCCTTAGATATGATCGGAAGTGTACGACTTCGATTTGAAGACAATCCTGAAAATCAGGGTTTGGAATCCAAGGGTCTATGAGACATTGGCTCACGGGAAGAATCTATTCTTCCAGATGGGTTGATTCATTCGACGAGCTCAATCAGCGAATCGGATTTCATTGTAAAGTAGACTTCCCGCTATAATCGCGTTCCTCCTCATCTCCATTTTTCGTCGCTCGAGCGTTTCCCTACCATTACTCCATCTACTTTCTCTTCAAGACAGCTTCAAATCTTATTTTCATTGCATGTTGGCTAATTTATGAATAATGAGGACCGATTCTGAAAAACTGATCGGGCACTGATAGGACAGATTGGATCCTGACATTCGGATCAGGCATGAATCCAAACAAAAGCGTTATACCAATCTGATTCAAAACTGATCAAAACCAGTTTTTACGAAACAGTCCCTTATTCCAGGCTGATTTGAATTTCCACTCGGGAATTGCTTGTGGTATATGTAGTTATTTTGATATTTAATGAACATTATTGCACACCACTGACTCTTCAGATCGATTTTCTATTGGATTATAGTATGTTGGAAAACGTTATGAACGCAAAACCGCAAGCCCGCATAAAAAAAAATATAAGCCAAAACTTATAAGTGAGATATAGTGATTTTGCCGGAATTATACCTTGAATATATCCGCCTTGTATATCAGGTATATGCTAGGTATACCCGGTGGCATATATGTACATACATATATCCAACAGATATCTCAAATATTGCATTTTTTGCCGGAAAGTATACCACATATGAGCGGATATAAGTGACATATATTTCTGTATATATATTTTTACCATGTGGGAGGTCTTAGAAAGTGCTGAATTGTTTTTTCATGCAGACGATAATATACTTATTAATCCTTATTAATCCTTTATACTTATTATTCCTTTTCTTGCAGTATACAGATGCTGCCGTTTTTTAACATTGAAATTGTGCAAGGTTTCGAAATGAAACTTTATCAGGTGATTCACGGAAAACCTGTTTCGACCATTGAAGCATTATTTTTCCACCAATATTGACGATGAAGCGCAAGCTAATCGATCGGATATAGTGAAACCGCACGTTTACCGTTGAAATTTTGCCATTTAATTGCAGTATGACCTACATAAATAATGACAGTAGTAGAGGGATACATGAAAAAATTGATAAACCGATGACAAATATGTACTTCAATGGTTAATGTGCATATCCCCGAGAGCATATAAAGAAGCATTGCAAATTACAATGCTTCATTTCTTAACGTTCGCCACAATCATGGAGTTCGTTACTTCGCTGTGCCTTCTAGTATCTGCGGCTCATCTTTCAGTGGCCTATGACCCTAATCAGGTATCAATATCAGAATTTATTCCATAGGCACTGTATTTCCATATTCTCCTCTTGAATATTACGACAGAACAGTTGTCCTCTCACTCTAAATCAACGATTCATTAACGTCATGTCCTTTCTCGAAGATTATCGGGTAGTTAAACTACTACATGGAGAGAAATATTCAATGAAAATTACGTATCTTTTCCGTAATTCTGGAGCGAAATGTGGTTGTAGGCAATTTTATGGAACTGTCACGGACTTTTTCCGGAGCGTTCCGTAATTTTTATCTGAATCTCCTGTGAAAAATTACGATACCGTCACTTAAATTTTCTGAGTCGATTGCATAATCGGTGAGTGAATTGTGAGTTCCGTAATTTTTACTGAACATTTCTCTCCGTGTATGTTAGAATTTTTTTATGCGACCCCTATTATCAAAATTTTTTCATCATTTGAGAAATGACATCTTCTAAATCACATGCGATATACATTTCAATTCTTAATGGAACTATTCTTGAGAAAGATGGAAAAATATGTTGAACATACGTTCTTCAACATACCTTTCCAACAAGCATTGTCATAAAGTCTATTTCATGATATTTTTCAGAAACCTATATTGAGACAGATTCACAATAAAATTACTGCAGATGGCCTTTACTTACCGAGCAATAGCTGGTGGCAGAGTAAGAGAAGCAGTATTCGGTGGAGTGATTCTTACACTTGGTATGACTGGGTGAAATATTCGAAAGACATACCAGAAGATAGTACAATAAGAGTGTGTATTCTTGTAATATAATACTCTTCACAGAGTGATTGCCTTGATCATTCTAGTATTGCTCTATTATCTCCCTTTAGCTCGATTATACAGTCCAATGGTTCGATGACGGTATTATATGGGACGACTGGGTGACCATGTTTCATGATTCAGTGTTCCTTTGTGATACGAGTGAAGATACCCAAGATGCCAGCATCATAGCTATAGTACGAGAGCTTCTTGGTATTCCTGAAGGCTGTCCAGTATCAAAGGTGGAAATCAATTTTTAACAGTAATTTCTGTTTCATCTTAAAAATTGAAACAGATCACATGAGTCAAATCATTATCCAAATTCAAAATGAAAATTCCCACTGCTATATCTCAAAGCGTTCTTCCAATTTTAGGGGACCACGAAAGATACCAGCGGTATCCATTTCCCTTTGCAAGATGAGGAATTACTTTGGAACGTTAATGTCAAAGGAAAGACTATAAGGATATTGACCAATATGTGGTCAAGTGATCAGAAAGGTGCAGAAAAGCTGTTCACGGGAGACTTTTACGTTGAGGGAGATAGCTACCTACCTTTTGAGGAAGATAGTGACGATGATTAGATCCTTAGACGGATACGTATGCATCGATAAAATATTCGATTGATTGATATCAATAAATTGATAATCATTGGAATAATGTATTGAAAAACAAATAATAAATCATAAAGTAAAGATACACGTATACTCCTATTCGCTTGATGAATTCCTACCGAGTTACCAAAAATCTGTTTCGTTGGATTATATTTCGCTTCATAATTACCTTTTGGACAGAAAAATTTTCCCAAAATTTGCCTAGATTATTTTTCCTCACTTTTTCTCTCTGTGTTAAATTTGAGGCAAGCATTGACATATTTTGACTCATTCTTGTCATTTGTTGTCACAATGTATGGAATATCCCTGTGCAAATTGAAATACGGGATGAGATAGATGAGACGAAGATGAGCATGACTGGGAAATCGCGAAAGATGGTTTAGGGTTTTTACGAGAAGTATCGCTGCTTGAGAGAGAGATGAATTAGGAAGGACTTTTTATCTCCCTTATCTGATCCTTAGACAGTTATTCATTTTCTCAAACCTGTCGGACTGTATCGGACATGCAGAAAATATTCTGATTATTTGCATCTCTGCCTCATTGGGTTTTAACCCTCGATCACTCGCGCTCGGCCGCCGGCCTTCATCCGTCGCGCGGTTAGCGGGTTAAACCGAGCGCGCTGTTGTCATCTTCACGCTTATCGCTATGCGTGCACTCCAAGTGTGGCAGTGATTTGTAGCAACACTGTCGCTCGAGGGGTCGGTAGGGACTCACTCGCACCGGGCGGTGCGGCGCCGCTTTTCTGTCCGTTGGACGTTTCTTTTCTTTTCTTAACTAAACAAATTTCTCGAAAAAACAGACAATGCTAACGCATTAATAAAAGGATTGAAGTAAGAACTCTAATCTTTTCTCTAATCTCTAATCTTTTTTGTGGAACTGACTTTTTGTTTCGGAAAGTATCCAAAAATCAAGGTGGGATTCCACTCTATTCTATTTAAACATTATATCTGCCCTGTTTTTCTTTTTTTTGATTTTTTTCATTAATGAAAAATGTTTTTTGTTATCTAGTATTAAGTATATCTACGATCCCTGGGCTCGAATTTTTAAACAGTCTTCTAATTGTTTTTAAGCAGACGAAAAACTATGTTCCGAAAAATAAGGTTCAAATGACCCAGACATATCTGAAACGTGGAAATTTCATATTCCCTGGGAAAGTGTTTATATGACATTTTGGCACAAATTTTCGGGAAAACCAAAAAAAATGTTTATACGACCTTTTAGCACAACTCACGCGAATTGTCCACTTCCAGGGGATAGTGAATCTGCACATTTCAGATGATTCTGAATCATCTGAACCCAACTTTTGAGGACAATTTTTTAAATATTTTTTTAAAGGAAATTTGGAAATTTGAAATTGGGCCAAAGTAAAAAAAAAAGTTTCTTTAAGGGATAATGAATCCACACGTTTCAGATGATGCTGAATCGTCTGAGCCCAACCTTTTAGGGCATTTTTTTTTTCAAAGGTTCAATTCAAAATTTCCAAAATGCCTTTCATTTTGAAAATGTGCTAATGAGGGGAACTTAATCCCCTAATTCGATAGATTCCAGAATATTTTTGCCTTGAAGCCATCATTTTTGGTGGATTAATTTCATTTATTTATTTTCTGAAATTATTATTTTTTTCTAGATTTTAGCCGGATGCAAGTTCCAAACTGCAGATTCTAGAATCTAGAAAAAAAATCTTGAATTTACATTCTTTTTTTCTCTGTGTAGCTATTGTTGCCAATAGATTGATACTTTGCTTCCGAATGGATTCTCATTTTTTTAGAATTATTTTACTATTCTCTTCTTTTCTTATTTCATGTCATAGTACACAGAGACAAAAGTTGAATAAATATTACCTAGAAAATCGTGGCAAAATTTACTGTACGAAAGGTAATCGTACAGCGAAGTGTAATGCAATGAAAAAATACTTGTTTGTGGAGGATATTTTATGATTTGTTCGGTAAAAAAACACATCAACGGATGCAAAAATTATTGAAGAGCGTGTTCGCTAAAGAATCATTCTCCGCTGCAGAAAAATTATACGAATATTGAGGAATGATTCACGTTCACTGGGATCATTTTTGATGGAATGCAAGGTAAATTTTACAGTTTCGGCACAAATTACCCGCACATTCAGTAAATTTTCCTGGGTGAACAGATAAAAATTCACCATTTGTCGCGCACTTTTTCCCCGATCTTGGGGAAAAAAGTATTGAAAATCGTGTTCGGTTCACGATTACTTGACTTGTTCGGTAATTTCTCTCCAATTTTTTTCTCCGTGTACTATCATAAAAGTGATACGTCGTCAAAATTCTTCCGTGGTGTTTCGTTCTTTCAAATCATTCTATAATCAACCCATTAAGACTCGAATTGAGTTTCACGGATGAAAAAATTTAATAGAAAAACCTGTCGAATTTGTTAGAAAATTCTATTGAATTTCTATTAAACTGTTCTATTAGTTTTTGGCCAATTCTATTGAAATGTTCAATAGAAAATATTCAGTAGAAAAAGTCAATAGAATTCAATTTTTTTATATAACTTATTTTATTGAGATATTTTCTATAGAATTTCCTCGGCTCAAATTTTCTGTTTTTTCGTTTGACTTTCTTGATGAGAAGAAAAGAAAAATAGAATGAAAAAAACTTAGCAAATTTGAGTCGAGCAAATTCTATAGAAAACATGAAAAGAATAAGTTATATAGAAAAATCGAATTCTGTTAACTTTTTTTATTGAACATGTCAATAGAATCAGCCAAAAACTAATAGAAAGTTTAATAAAAATTCAATACAATAACAATCATGAATTCATGAATTCATGAAATTGCAGAAAGTATTAACATTGAAAAATCCAATCTTCCATCGATTTTCGGTTCAACTGATCTAAAAATGAATAAAATACTTGATTTTTCAGTTAAATTATTCTGTGGAAATTCAGAAAAATAAGGAAAATTCAGTGAAAATTTGAAAATTCATGTTATTTTATTTCTGAACATTCATGTTCCATTGAAAATTCAATGAAGTTGTAAAATTTCCATCTCACTTCCACTGCAACTCATGAATTTCTTTGAATTCTACCTAAAACTTGAAATTTCATAACCTTTTTTCCCCTAAATCTGATTCAATGTCACTCTCATGAGAATTACCATCATATTTTCCATGAAATTTCAAAAAATTTCTAACAGTGTAGAATTTTCTAACGAATTCGATAGGTTTTTCTATTAAATTTTTTCGTGCGTGTTCAGTGAGGGTTTCATCAAAGTTCAATCAAGGTTCCGTTTTCCGGAAATTTATTCGATTCATGGAATAATGTAATGCTATTTTCCATTATCTGAGTTATTTTAATATAATTTAGATCGTCGAATCTGGAAATTTCCACGGCATTGATATAATGAACTGTAGAAAGGAGTACAAGTCAATATCGAGTCAAGCTTCACGAAGAATTTTTCAATGCGCATCGAAAATATCGATTGGGAAGTGCGTGTTAGAAGGCTGCCACGTATGAAAAAATTAAATAGAAAAAACGTAGCGAATTCGCTAGAAAATTCTATTGGGGTTCTCCAGAATTTTAATAGAATTTCTATTGGAATTCTATTAAAATTCTAGAGAATTCTCGTGAATATTCAATTTGTTGTTTGCGCTGCTTCTACTAGATATTCTGTAGGAAAAAGGCAATAGATTTGATTTTTCTGTTACATGAAAATGATAGAAAATGATAAAATGATAACAATCATGAATTCATGATTCATGAATTCATGAGTCATGAATTCATGATTGATGAATCATGATAGGAATCATGGATTCTATGATTCCTATCATGGTTGGATGATAGGAATGATAGAATGATGTGATTTTTCTCTTGACATTTTTTCTATTAAAATTATTGATCACGGATTTTATAATTTTTTTCCGCTGTATTTTGTTTTGTTTTGCATTATAGGATCCGAGTGAAAAAAACTTATAAAATTTATGCTCAAGTATTCCTATAAAAAAAATCCCAAGAGAATATTCATATAAAAAAAACGAAGTCTATTGACTTTTTCCATGACAAATTTAATAGAAACATGTGGTAAATTTTCGATTGACGTTCGTCAATTTGTCTGATGTATGCATATTCCATTTTCTGGAAGAAAAAAATAACAGAACCTACCATACCTCTAATACAATAAATTCAATCAATTTTTCCTACAAGGTAGATGAGGTTGAAATCCCGCAATCATTTATATCTTGACAATCGATCAATGTTCCCCCTAGAAAATATTTTCACAATAATCTACAATTCCTTGTTAAATTTGATCCATCAAGTAAATCGACAAACGTTTATTGAAAATTTAAAAAATGGTTGTCGAGTAAAATTGAAAAATCTGTTTCTGAATTTTAATTAATTAGTTGTTAAATTTCACCAACTAGTTGTTGACGTTCAACAACTGGTTGGTAATTCATTTTTTCAACAACTAGTTGGTGAAATTCATCAAATGATTTTCTCCGTGCAGTGTCTTCTGAGCAAATTGATAGCAAGAATAATCCAAAATTTTCTCGATAACCAATGGAGGATGTAGCAGTAAGAGCTGGAGAGAATCGTATAAGTTAAACCAACGTATCTTCTGTTTGTGCCATGATGCATTCTATCTGATGACTGTGAACGATTGATAGCGTATTCAGCCACAAAAACTGAGTTACCGTTTGGTATTGATTGGAATCAGAGTTGAATAATTAATGGATACATCACAAGGATACATCTTGTAATTATGGGAACCAAATTGGAAGACTGAAATGATAAAGTAAAGCCCACATCAAAAGAAAGCCTTTATCGATTGTATCCCTTTGAAAAAGGAACCAAGCGTCCAGACTTTAGATATGATGGCGTCTCGCAGTCGCATCGAGTGTTCAGTTACTGTCACGAAGGCTGAAGTGGAACTCCTCTTTCAGATTGAACAAGAACAGCAGACATTTCGAATCACTTCTCGATGAGGTGCATGCACTGAGAAAAAAAAAGTCTAATATCTGAAAGATATTTTCTTGAGAGAAGTAAATTATTTTCAATGGCTTAAATCTCAGAAAGTGTGCACTTCACGGAACTCGAATAAATTGTCACTCATCACTGTCGTTCCGCGTTACGTCATGAATATTTTTTTTACATATTGCAATATTGGAAGTGCATAAAGAAAAAATCATGAAAACAATAAAGACTAGAAGATTGACGATTCTTCTACGCGATTTAAGTGAGTTCATTTGCGTCAAAATCATACTTAAGTACAAGAATATTTTAAAGCATGAGGCCTTTCCGGGTCATGTAAGTTGAGATGCCTGAGAGAATTAAGCAATTGAAGAAAATTTACTTGTCTCAAGAAAATATGTTTCAGATATTAGAAATTTTTTTTCTAGTGTGAGTTCAATTTTCTCACTGAAAAGTATTTGATTCGAAATTAAACTTGTTCGTATCTTCAATCATATAGGAGTTTAAGGAAATGACATCAACAAGTGGCGTGCATACAACTACCAGAAATTTCTTAAATACACGTTTATCTGTCCGCCTTCACCATTTTTTACGTGAAACATATCTTACGGCTGTAGTTACGGGAGCGATCTAATACATCTATTTTGTGGCTGAATCCTGTGACTGTCTCAGGTATATTATTCTCCGAGGAATTGGTTGTGCACTGGATTTTCCGTTATATTCAACACGAGTGATTGTACGAGAACAATCCCGTTCTCTTGGTCCGCCTCATGTCGATTCATTGAAGATATAATCGCGTAATCCAAGAAAACCATGGACTTCCCCGCTCGGGACGGTGGAATCTTTTCTGCAAATGATTTGCAATACCGTGAGTATTACAGAATTTATTCCTTCATTCGTACACTGATAGAAAGAATTAGTTATTGTTAACGAATGGATTCGGTTGGAGACAAGGGTCTATTCGGTCTCACCAAGTGTTCATTCGTTAATAGTTAACAAATGCACATTTGAAGAGCCTTGTTTGACTCGATTTTTACTTTCCAAGTGAACCATTCGTTAACTATTAACGAATATTCATTTGGGCATATTCAATTCTACCATTCGGTAATAGTTAACGACTCTCGTTTGAAATGAATGAATCAGTCTATCAGTGTATTCATGTACCAATTTGTTAATTGATTCATAAAAAGTGAAAATGAACAAATCAATATAGACCAGGGAAGAAATTCATAAAAATTTTTGGTATCGCAAGTCATTTACATCACAAATTCTACCTAGATGACGATAACACGAATAAGCATATGAATCCAGACGAGGCGAACAAGGGAATCTGATTTCCGTCGTGACCTTGAATCGCAACCGCGCACCTGAATATTTTATAAGCATGTAATAACGCTTGAGTCATACACACCGACTATTTATCATCAAATATTCACTTTACAGTATTGAGCGGTAATTAACCACTTAGATGGTACGTTTAATCCTCTAGGAATAATTCTTCGTAAAACTTCTCAAAGAATAGTGAGTGAGAACAGGTGACAAAAAGTTTCTTCGTTTGGCCTCGAACGCTCGAACATCTGAGACTCAATTATGGATGATATTTTCAAACGCTCTGGCTTTTATTTTGACATACGGCTCATAAAATGGCTTGGTCAGTGGCCGTTTCAGTCCAAGAGGACGGACAATATTCGGAGACTCTTGGCAATATCACTCATGTTCAGTATATTCATACCATCGGTAGTTAGATAAAACAGAGAAAATTGTTTATTTCTGAGCTGTGAAAAGAAACATTTCAATTATCAATGATCATTAATTTCATGCAAATAGATCATCAAATTTTGCGAATTACGAGATAATATATACAAAATGGTGGATTGTATACCAATGCTGGGACTACATTTTGCAGGTATATCCAAATTCCTAAATTGGAGTTATCACCGAGAAAAGGTAAATATCGAGTCGTCCAATCAGCATTCATTTGATTCACGTAATTATATCGTAGGTTGTACAATTACTGAATCACATGCGATACGACTGGAATAATTTGAAAAATGAGTTTGATTCAAACGTGTTGGAAAAATTCAGTTCTTCTGGCCAAAGCTTATTCATCGCTTATGCAAGTACTGACGAAATTATAAATATAGCATATCACAGTAAATGCATGATTTGACAAAATAGCTATTTTCGTCACGAAAAACTTTTCTGACGAGCGTAAAGGTTGCACATCGAGGCGAAGTCGAGGAATGCAATCACCCGAGTCAGAATAGTATATTTCCATACCAGTGAGACAGAATTTTCACGAGGGTGAAGGTAGTGCCAATCACACGAGTTGAAAATTCCCGTCTCACATGTGTCAAACAATATTGTTTAACAGTGATGTTACGTTCAACGAGTGGTCGAACTGGGTCTTTTTCGTCTACAAGTAAACGAAAAGTCTTCGTTTACTTTTCGTTTACGAGTAAACGAAAAGGCACTTTCCGGCACCAGACGAACGTAGCAGCAGTATGTGTTATACGTGCGTGTGAAAAAGTAAAACTTTTCACAATAGTAACGCAGTATACCATTCTCGCTGTGAGGAAAAAAGAAACTATATGGAGAAAAGAAGTTGCTGGTTTTCAGTAAAAATCTCTGAATTTCGAAACTTGTACATCGAAATTTTAACGAGCAACGCTCCCAGAAATCTTTAAATCAATTTTTACTCATTTTGAAAAAAAAATTTCTCCTAAAAATCAGAGAAAAAGGTTTTAATCCTCATTCATTTTTACTTATCTACACTGTAGGTCTACTTAAATTACGGTACATTTCCCGTTATTTTAACCCTCTGAGCCGAATGGGCGTTTCCCCCACTCTGTAAATATTTATTATTATTTATTATATTTCATTTTGTTTTGATTTTTAACCAGTATAATGTTCCGGTTTCATTGGAAATAAAATAATTCAGAGATAGAAAGATTGAATTTACATGTACTCATTACAAATTATTATTTTTTTTTATTTACTTAGTTTTTACTTTGTAACTTGCTTCAATCAATGTCGAATTATCCTGTGACGTCACAAGATGTGGAACGCCATATAAGCTCCCGTCTTTAGTAAAAAAATGATTCTTTTTAAATTACATTCTATAATCACATTGAGTGATTCAATTTCTCGGTGTTGTTAGGGCATCATTTTTCTATCGAATTGTACTTTCTTTCTCTCTCAGATACGCAAGTGCTTAGCATGTATAAATTCAATGCATTATTTGTAATTTTTTCATGACTTCCAACCGGCAATACTCTCAATTATGTACTGTGCAGTAGGGATATATGGAACGACAGCAGTATATTTCATTATACCTTTTGTTCCAATCATCTTGAACATTATACTCCCATTAAATGAATCTCGACCACATCTATATCTTTATCATACGGAGTACTTCGTAGATCAGAATGAGTATTATTACCCTATCCAATTGCATGCGTATATGGCGGTTTCGGTATCTGTAACATGCCTCGTTTCCTTTGATCAAATGTGCGCTATGTTCATTCATCACGCCTGTGGAATGTTCGAAATATTGAAGTACGTACAATGATGAATTTCTGTGTTACTATATTCAGCAATGATATTTTGTGAGAAAGATACGTTACATGATTGCATTTTCAGACTACATCTAGAAAATATACATACTACTGTGGTGACAAACGATGATAAAAACTCATCAGTGAAGGAGGAAAGAGCTATCCAAGAAATAATATATTGTCTCCAGATACACAATCGAATTTTCGAGTAAAGAATAGTTTTGATTTTTTCTGAACCCTAAATTGGTCACCTATCTTTGGATATTTTTTTTACGAAAGTGACCATTTTTGACCATTTTTTAAGAAAATGTGTAAACCGTTTCATCGTCACAACTCTTGTTCACTGCACTGTTAGAAATTTTTTGAAATTTCATGGAAAATATGATAGTAATTCTCATGAGAGTGACATTGAATCAGATTTAGAGGAAAAAAGGTTATGAAATTTCAAGTTTTAGGTAGAATTCAAAGAAATTCATGAGTTTTCAGTGGAAGTGGGATCGAAATTTCACAATTTCATTCAATTTTCAATGGAACATGAATTTTCAAGTTTTCACTGAATTTTCCTTATTTTTCTGAATTTCCACGGAATAATTTAACTGAAAAATCAAGTATTTTATTCATTTTCAGATCATTTGAACCGAAAATTGATGGAAGATTGGATTTTTCAATGTTAATATTTTCTGAAATTTCAGTTGAAATTAAACACGATAAAAATTTCCAGGATTTGGCACGGAAAATTCAGGCGAAAATTTTCAACAGTGTAAGTTGAAATAGTGTTTTTCAGCCGAGTGTTGAAAATTATTTTTTGTCGTGACGGCCGTAGGCAGTAATTCACGGACGCTGGCTTTACGGGCGAAATGACATAGTACATTACATGCCCGAGCCTTGGAAAACAGATTACCGTCCCCCACGTGCAAGATTGCCTTCCGAGCCGAAGCTGGGGATGGTAAGCATGTGGGGGAGGGTGATATCTTTTCCATGGCAAGGTGTGTATATTAATTTTTGTCATTCCGGCCGTAAGGCAGCCTTTCACGAACACTGCGCTTCGCTCCGCGTCCGGAGCGAAGCACGAGCCGAAGTGGGGAGGGCTGCAATCATCTTCGTCAGAAAAGTTTTTTTTGGCCGTATGACGAACAATATTTTTTGTCATAACGACCGTAGGCAGAGATTCACGGACGCGGAGCGAAGCAGAGCGTCCGTGAAACGCTGCCTTACGGCCGGAATGACAAAATATACTATTTCAGGTCCCGTGACACGAAAAGAATATTTTCCGTCACTAGACCGAAAGAAACTTTTCTGGCGAATATGAGTTTTCAGCGCGAAGCGAAGACGAGGGTTGCAATCGTATTAGCTAGAAAAGGTTTTTTGACGGATATGACCGCAGAACTCGTCTTCTGCTCCTCCTGCGACCTAATATTCCATTCATCACAAAAATTTTCTTTGCCCTAACGATAGAGACTACCATTTAAAGAGGAAATTCACCTCCGAGGATTCTCTTGCCAAGTGATCGATTTAGGGTTGATGTATTGTCCAATGATATTTGTTACAAATTGAATATTTACTCTTCGTAAAAGATTTCTGGAGGTGGTGGAAATTTGGGATCAAATGATAATGCTGATGGTTGGAGCCGGGAATACGTTGATTATAACAGCTTGTGGAGTTGGAGTGAGTATTCCATATGAATTTTTAGCTCGGTTTCATGTATCGTCATACAGGCTATTTTTTTTCTGATTGAGAATATCAAGGTGGATGGTGATCATTACAAGAGGTAATTGTTAACTTGTCCTCTAGGGTATATTGAATCATCCGGATTTTTTGGGAGTAATAAGATTATTTCTCTTCAATTATGGCGCTATTATTCACTTTTTTTATAACTGTTGGCAAGGGCATTTGATTCTTAAACAAGGTGAAAGTATTTTCATAGCAGCGTAAGTATTTCATGCAGTAGAAAATTTTCTGACATTTCCTCGTGCTGCGCACTTGGAATTTTTAGCCTACAAAACGTGACACCTTCATTTGCTTGAAGCATTCGTAGAAAATCCGATAATTTTAAAAGTCTCGGGATATTACAACTGATTATTCACTCTATTCCTTCTCGATCAATAGGAGATGGGATTTGGCATTCTTTTTCCTACTCATTTTCACAAATCTCATCGCTCTTTTTGAGGGTTCTTCAATTGTGTCAGGTTAAAATGCGATGAAAAACTTTTGTTTATTGCTTACTAACAGCTCTGATATAAATATCATACACATCACGTGATTTCAAATTCAGTGCTTCTCTTGATCGAGATTTGAATGGACGCAACAATCAAAATAAAACTGATGTGAAGGTGTCATGTGACCCCAAATACTGTACTCTGATTCGTCGAAATTGGAATTGAGGAAATCATACTAAACACACACACAGAAAGACGTTATTACTTTCAGTTATCAGAATGAGTGGTATAAGTTACCCTGCCGGTTGCAACGAATGCTATTGCCTGTGATGGCGAAGAGCCTGAAGCCATGCGAAATAACAGCTGCTCACTTGTTTCCAATGTCATTAGCAACTTTTGGAATGGTGAGGGAGACGACAATGGATGAAAGAAGGAATTTATTAAGAATTACGAGAGCATGTGATCAATCCTCTCGTTCCGATATTGGTTATTTTTTCTAGGCCATGAAAGCGGCCATATCATACTTCACTCTCTTTCAATCGATGAAATGAAGGCATTGAGATACATACAACACTCTGAAAGGATACACATACCGTTATTTGTTGGTCATCCTCACTGGGCATTCAATAACAAAATGAAATTTCTCCGAGTAATGGGAGAGTATACGATTAATGCATGACTGACTCATCGCGATTATTGATGCACGTAAAGAATTGAAATGTTGTGCAAGAATATGATTGTACTTGCATTTGATAGCGGTAGTCTTGAATAGTTTTTAAATAAATTAATTGGAGAAGTCGGGTGTATGGTCGAGTCGGTACGATGTTCGCCTACAAGCCAGAGGTCCCGCATTTGATGCCTGGCACCGGCTAATTATTTCTGGAGTTTTTAATCGAATAATATGAGGACACCATCAAAAATGTTCGAAATAAAACGTTGAAATACCAAGAGGAATAGAATTAACCCTCCATCACTCGCGCTCGGCAGCCAACCTTCATCCGTCGCACAGTTAACGCAGCGCCGCTCCGTTAAACCGAGCGCGCTATTGCCATTTTGGCGCTTACCGCTATGCGCGTATGTCAAATATGACAGTGAATGTAGCAACACTGTCGCTCGAGGAGTCGACAGAGACCCACTCGCACCGGGCTGCGCGGCACCGCTGGTCTCTCCGTCCGACGCTTCTTTTTGTTTTTTTAGCTAAAAACATTTTCCGAGGAAAAAACAGACAACACCAACGCTTAATGAAATGATTACACTAGGATCTCGATTTTTTTCGGAATTTTTAAGCATCGATAAATATGCGAAAATATAAAAAAACGAAAACGAGCGGCGCCGCGCTCATTGAGCGAGTGATCGAGGGTTAAACATGTTTGAATCATGTACACACAACCTATAGTTTCCCGGATCTCGAGAAGCAAGCTCACTACAACTGATTCTCACTATCATGTATGACTACATTTAGATAATTCGTGTGTCTGGTGAACCTAATTGATTACAGTTGATTGTCATCATCGCCTGTGACAATCAACAATGTAATCGAGTTTCAATGAATTGTGTTCCTGGTGAATGCCTTCTAGGAATTTTGAATTTTATCGCGATGTGAGGTCCGCATGTTCACCATTTTGGATTTGCTCATCGCTCGGCGGGAAAAAAATCAGAAGTATCCATGAGTGCATTTCGGAATCAATTACCGTAGCTACAGTCAAGCAAAATTGGATAGGGTTGCAGTACTGTTACTGCGACTGTCTCGATCGCAAAAAGCACCCAATGACGCTCTTGACCTCAGTGGCGTGAAATTCAAACGTTGGTACAATTCTTTTAGTCATTCGGTGTAAATTTTACGGAGAATATTGATTGTATCAAAAAAATCACGAAGTGTAGTCTACTATTTTTCAATACGAGATCGGTCGCGCGTGCTATATACGCACGCGCCGTCTCATCTCCTCACGTTGTGGCGCTTCGGTTTCAGTCTCACGCTTACGCTTATTCGAGATTTTCGAAATATATCAGGATCGATTTCTTTTCTCCTTTTTACGATAGGACTTCTATTACTTTCAACTGGATTTGCAAATCATGTGTTTTCTCATTGTCTCCAAACCTACAACTCGTAGACTTGTACGCGTGACAGGCCGTCATTCGAAATTATGCAATTCTAATTTCGCTCCATTTCGAAGAAAGTGCGGGGATGCACAATCTTGCTGAGGATTGGTATTTCATTCTGTAAAAACTGTGAGTAATTTGGGCCGTTAACGGTTCCGTATAAAAATAGGGTCCAATGACTCAACTATCAACAATCGCACACCCAACGTTTATCCACAATCGATGATAATGATCAACCTGTTGGGTAGAACGAAGGTTTTCGGCTAACCAATAATCACAGTTATGACGGTTCAATGAACTACGAGCTGAACTATGAGCTACGAAGGCCTGGACCAAGATAATTTCATTTTGGTCTATTTTCGTGCGATAGTTCATAGGAAATTGATAGATAAATGACAAACTAGGATATGGTTGACTTCGTCTCAATGAGACGCACAACTTTCAGGGGGTCAAAAATGATGTTGCCATTTGAAAAACAGACTTTTTGCTTGCAGCATACAGACAAACAATGGAAACATGAATTACATCTGCACTGAATTTTCCCCTTCATACCCTACAACTTTCATCTGATGTTTTGCTGCAACAACTCTCCCTGGAGAAATTTTCAACAGTCCTGTTTGAAATGGAACGTCCTGCATATCTCATTTCAAAAAATATTCTTCATAGCGTTGTGACAATCTGGTTATCACAGGTTCTAATTATTTTTATTTTAAATTAAAATAATTAATTAAATCCTGAGTCTTGGGGGGAGCTCAAGCTCTCTTCCGTTCGATAGAGACCGAGGAAACCATTGAGAAAATTCCAATGAAGTAGAATTATTATTAATTATTTGGGAATTATGGTCGAGGAGAGGAATTGTCGAGGAGAGGATTTAGAGGAGAAGAAGAAGACGGCCCTGGGAAAAATCTCTTGGGGACAACTGGAACCCGCTGACCACCTAGGGACGGACCTGATTCGCTGACCGAGGAGAGGAGCCAAACTGGAGCGGAGGAGCTCCGACTTCCGACAAGGACAGAAAATCCCGGAGTGAAGGAAAATCCTGGACGAACCTGGGGAATCATCTCCAGGATGAGGAAGCATCGTGAGAGAAAATCCACTACGATAATAAATTCGAAGAAATTTTTATGTGGAGAATTTGAGTCAAAACTGAATTAAATATTGTAACGATTATCCAGTCCAGGTGGCATTTAGTTGAGGATTTGATTTGATTAGGTTGAAGTTATTAGAGAGGGGGTAGGCCCTCTGATTGAGTATGATTTTTGGCAAACAGGCCGCGTGGCGTCAGTTCTCCCCGAGACCTCGTAGAGTCTATAGAGTTATGGGTAGTAGAGAAATCTGCGTAACATATATATAGAGTCGAGCAACAGTTTAAAGTCGTAGAGAAATCTGCATAGCAGATGGTTAGAGTTGAGTTGAGTAAAGTCGAGCTTTGAGTCGTCTTGGAGATCTCGACGGTCTGGAGCAGCTACAGCGGATTCTGGGGCCCTGGGCTGGATGAATCGAGATAAGTTGTAGTTTTGAGCATTATTCAAGTTTCAAGGTCGAGGCCGCAGCCTCGAATCTGTTGAGTATAGTTTTGAGTTATATTAATTTCCTTGAGTAGATTTTGGGAGACCAGTGAGTCTTAGTAAATCATTTTCTATATTGTAGAGACGAAATTCATTTAATTAATTTCTATCTTTCGCACTGGTTGGGACCAGTGGTCCATCCAGATTCATTTTCATGGCGTAGAAATTCTTATATGTCTTTTCAAAATTATTAACTCCAATTTTTGTGATTATTTAGAATATATTGGATTTTCAAAGGTATAAATTGTGTCGCGTTGTAATTAATTTCCAAGAATCCGAATCCTGATTAAGGGAGTATTGTCCTCCCTCCCCCTTGTAATAAAGAGTCCGGGTTGGAGATTTGTTGAGTCTTTTTTGAGTATTTTTTAGTGTTGAGAGGAAATTTGGGTTTGGCATTCATCTATTTGGCCAAGGTGTAGAAATAATTAAAATAGACTGGCGCTTTTTGGGTAATATTGCACGTTGGGTTGTTTGAAAGAGATTTGGGATAGTTTGTGGTGTTAATTACAGAAAATTAAAGTCATTTTGGTGTTTTTGAGACTTTTAAGATTCGTCACAGTGTATTTGATTAGCCTCTTTTCATTTTCATGCAGATATTAGCCAGGATCGAGAACGTTGATTTATATCAAGCTGGGGCTCACTATCATCACCCGTGTTACAGCAAATTCTGCCTGCCGCGAAGACCTGCGGGAAAGAAAAGAGGACGGCCTCTGGATTTCGATGTTTCAGCTGCAATGGAAGAAATATTCTCAAGACAATCGTGATAAGAATCAGTTCTTGTTGCGTCCCCAAATAGGGTGCTAGGAGGTTGAGTCCAGATGGAGGGTTAAATGAATAGACGCAGACACCGGTGAATTAAATAGTTACTGTTATTTAATCACCACAATAATTCTCTAGTACAAAAGAGTATTCCCGTTGAGATTCGATATAAATATAAATACTGATAATTATCTAGCAGAGTGTACACACTCAACGTGAGTCCTCAACGATTGCACAATGAATACTGAATAAATCATAGAAAAGAGCGACGCCCATGCTTGATCACGCTGATAACTCAATTCGCAACTTTCAGAGTCGCTGACAGATGACGCGAAAACCCCGAAAACTCCTCCAAGTGGCGAAACCAGTCCGCAACAGTTCTTTATAGGCGAACTGATCAGCGTCGTTACAAAATCTTTGATAAACATTTATTTATTATGAAACCGACTAATATTTAACAATATGATGTAAAATAGCAATGAGTATAATTTAATGTTGAATGGATTTTTTAATCATTCAGACGCAAAAATCATCGATGAAGTAACGATGTGTCATTTTTTAGAAAAAACGATTTTTAGAAATATGGCTCTATGCCATGGTGGACTGAATCGATCGATCCAAAATTTTGTACAGAAGTGAGACCCGATAATACTGATTAGTAGGCAAAATTTTATGGGGTTCATTCGAACTTTTACACGGATTACGGGAAGTCAAATTCGCTGAGATGAAAAAAAATAGAAAAACGTGAATATCTCAGAAACTTTGTATGGACGGGTATTCATATTTTGATTAATCTCGATAGGTGGCAGCAAGACGAGTATTTTGGAAAAAAATTGAAATCGGTCCAGTATTTTAGGAGATGGCAGTGTCTATTCGCACGCTCCACGGTAGATTCTCACTCACATCTTGTCTGATATCTCTGCTATGAACTTTGGTTTTGAACTCTGGAAGTAGAGTTCAAAACCAGAGTTGTGACAACATTGTCCAGTGGGGTCTAGGCGTCTCTCCGGTTGGGAAATCACCCCTAAAATCATTTGCACCATATTTCGGCACCCACTCCTGCACTCATTAGACAAATATGAATATTGTTGAGAAAACGTTCACATAGAATGTAAAAAACTATTTATTTCATCTTTTATTTGCGTTTAGTCAACTACTTGTCAACTATTTATTTCATTTTTTATTTGTGTTAATCTAAACTGATATTCGTATTCAACGAATTAATATTTTGAGAAAATTATTTACTTATCTACTGTCTGCATATCACTTATCAATTGACTCGATGTGTCTAGTTTATTGTCTAGATTTAATTTGAGAAATAAAAGCTGAGGGTCCACAATCTCCCATATATTCACGGTAGAAGTTACCTTGAAACCACGGGAAAACGTCCCATATATCCATGGTCAAAGTTACCGTGGAACGTGTGAATAGACACTGTCTTAGGAGATTTTTTTTATTTTTTATTATGTACAAACCCTTCTCGGGTTATTTACAAAAACTGTGCGGCTATTTTAAATTCTAATTCCATTTTTCTTGACAAATTCATGTATAATTTCTAATGATTTTAAATTCGTGGATACCAGGAATGCATTTATGGTAAATGGTCTAGGGCATCGTAATTCAACCAATTTGTTAATCATTTGTTCCCTTCCTTCGTTATAATGAGGACAATACCAAATTACATGTTCTATATCTTGTGTCTCAGAGTTATCTCCGCAAATGCATTCAGGGCTGCTTACAATATTTTTCCTGTACAATGATCCATTAAGATAATAGTGATTGACTCTCACTCTATTGACCCAGACAATAAATCTCTCGGGAGTTTTTGTCCCCAGAACCACGGTTGTTTTTTTTTCTATTCCAGAAATGTCTAAAATAGTATGTCCCTTTTGGTTTCTGCTCCCTTGTAGATTCATCTAGAATAGTGTTCGTAGTATCTAGCCAACTTTCTGATTTGAATAGAGCTTTAAAGTCTGTGGCAGGAAGTAAAAAAGGTGTTTCACTTTCCTCCGTTGCGTTTTTTGCTAAGGAGTCCACCTCCTCATTACCTCGAACCCCCACATGTGCAAGAATCCAGCGAAAAACTATTTCTGTATTAGATCTATTTTCGTTCATTAAATGGTCGTATATTTTTTTAATTTCTAATATATATGGGTTGATGTGTGGGTCGAAACTTATGGATTCCAAACTCTGTATGGCACTGAGGGAGTCCGAAAGAATAAGGTGGTTAAGCTCCTTATGTTCAGAGACTACAGTGGACTCTGGTTAGAGGCATATTGGTTAGTGTCGAACTTCCCCTCAATTTTTTTGGCTCGCCGCTCGAGCGCTTCCCCCACTCTGTCCCCACGCAAGCCGGAGAGTAAACACTCCAATATTTTTTTCAAATTGCTATTATCTTCCGATTCGAGTAAAGACGAAAAATAAAATATTCTGCATTTGAATTGTCGATCAAAAAATGTAGTCCACTTCTGGCTGTCATGGGGGGAGAATCTCGTTTTCTTGGCATAAAATTAATTCGAAATTGGATTAAATAAAATAATGAAGCGAGGTAAAGAAAACGACTAACATTTTTGATTCACATGGTTCGTTAACTCCAGAAGAAATATCTGTTCTATGGAATGTTAGGTACAAAGCTTCTGTGATCAAATATAGTCAATGAAATTAAAAATATTGATAATAAAAAAATCGTCTATCTAATCTATATGAATATTGCTATTATAGTTGAAGCTGTGAACTAAAGTTTATCATTAAAATAAAGCGTTGAATTGAGAGAGAAAAGAAATAGTATTTTTCATTTTATCGTTTCCAGTTTCGGAAGTCGGGCTCGGCGTGAGCGCGTAGTGGGGGCAGGGAAATAGAGTCGAATTCTCCGAATTCGCTTCCCCTATCCCGCAAAACAGTCGACTCTAACCAGAGTCCACTGTATATCTAGGGCTAGCTTGAGCGCAATACATTCCGCAGTGTAAACTGAACAATGTTTATTAAGTATGATGGAGGTATTTAGGTTTAAATCGGGACAATGGCATGCAGCTCCTACAAAATCCGTGTCTGGGTCTTTACTTCCATCTGTATAAATAACATTCCAACCCTCATATTGGTTTGCAAGCTGAGACTCCAGGGCTTTGTCAGTGGAAGGCGAGGATTTAATATCTATACCCAAGTTCCTTGCTGTTTTAATCGATGTAAATACACCATCATACTCATTTATAAATATTTTAAAATTAGAATCCGCTTTCAAGAATTTTTCGAGGGGGAGCACACTGTTGATACACTTCGAAATTAATTTGTCTCGATGTCGCTTCGTGGTTCTTTTTTCTTTATATATCAGAGAGATCGTGTCATATATCTGTGTTAATTTATTGCTAAGGACTTTCATTAAATATATTTTCGCGAGAAATATGGCCCGATCTCTGACATACATTAGTTTTGATTCTCCAATCAAAACGTTAGTGGGGGTACTTCGCATAAAACCCAGTGAAAATCGAATGGCCGCAAATTGTATGGACTCCAGTTTTGCCATGTACTTTTTTGTACATGGAAAATAACTAATGAGACCGTAGTCCATGATAGATCTGACGTAGCTTTTGTATAGAGCCATTAATGTTTCAGGATCAGCTCCCCAACCTGTTCCACGTAGAAATTTTATTAAATTGAGAGCTTTAAGGCACCTCTGCTGAATCGTGGTGACTTGGTGATTAAAATTTAATTTTTGGTCGAAGTGTAATCCTAGAAATTTTGCTGTTGGTGATGAATTAATTTGGAGCTGACCTATTCTAATACGAGTACTCTCCGGTGGTGAGCCTTTCTTACTGAATCGAAGTACGACTATTTTTTCAGGTGTCTTAGGAGATATTGAGCAAAATAGTTTTTCACAAAAAGTTGAATATCTTCTAAACCACTTGGTCGATTTCGCCTATTCACGAACTCATCCTGTAATATCATAAGAGCTACAATCTCACTAAATTTCAATATCCTATCTCAAGTTTTTCGGGAGTTATCGTGAATATACATAAATTTTATCATAAAAATGAAAAATGCCAATTATCATCGAACTGTCTCTAGTTTCGTAGGGATATTATGGCTTGATTTGATAGATATTATCACAAGCAACACTTTGACGTCAAAAAAGTTCAATTAGGTCACGTAGTTTTTGAGATATTGAGGAAAACGATTTTTGAGAAATTGCTGTATCTCAAAAACTACTTTATCGATTGGGCTGAAACTGCGCCCAGAGCTGCTTCCATATGATAGCAATTATGTGACAAAATTTCAGATTTATAGCTGCAACTTTACTTGTCTTTTTGTTGACATTTATAAAAAAATTTCGAAAAATCTGGACATACACACGGACATACACACACACATTTTCTAAACCATCATATCTTCACGTTTCATGACATTCTACATGATTTCCAAGCAAACTTAGAAGATCGTAAAAATGACCGATCACAAGGCTTCTATTCGGAAGTAAAAAATCAGTAATGACGTGGTAAAAGGAGATAAGTCAATTTTGACTATTGACCAGTTTTTAATCAATATCTCGGAATCTAAGGGAGATAGCTAAATTTTCATAATTACATTTGTTGTAGCAATCAATCGACTCCACAAAAAGGGTTATAACAAAAATTTCGTCATTTCCCTTAGATTCAGAGATATTGATTGAAAACTGGTCAATAGTCAAAGTTGACTTATCTCCTTTTACCATTTCGCTACTGAATGTATTATGCCGAAATAATTAGGAAGCATACCATCAATTTATTGATGGCGAAGAAAGCATTAAAACATGACTCAGTAGCATACTCACTATTATATGCTCTCGCTGCCCCCTACTTGTTAATTTAATCGGCGTAATTTTTGAATTTATGTTTAAGTTATTTACTTAATTTGTGCTCTGGTGAAAAAATCGTGGCACCCGTGGGTGCAACCAAGGTTTACAACCCGTTTGAAATTCTCCCCCAACTTCTCTCTCTCTGCCCTCTACAGGAGCGTCGTGTCATTAACCCCTGGAAGCTCTGAAAGGTTAGAAAATTGAAATTGCACAAAGCCGGTGGTGAATTCCTGGCTGCATTTGATTCTTTATTTGTGATAATCGTTCCTTCTAAGTTGGAGTAAATTTAATAAGTTAAGAATAATTGTTGGCATCATGGAACTCGAAGGGGCCAATTTAATTACACTCAGCGATTATTTGCACCGCACACTGAGCCCAGATGTAGATGTCAGAAGACCCGGTGAGCGTTTAACCTCTGAAAATCCATCACAACCCCATCTGAAATATACAAACCGACACATTTCATTCCTTCTGACTCATGAGAACATGACATCCAATTGTTTTTACCATTTTGTTACTGAAAATTCAACAATGAAAACAAAATAATAATGATTTTCAGCTGAAAAATTCTTGGAATCAATTGAAGGAAATCAGAATTATCCGGCTTTATTGTTGCATCTAGTTGAGAAACAGCACATTGACTTGACAATTAGGATAGCTGGTGCTGTGGCCTTCAAAAACTACATCAAACGTAATTGGAAAATTGTAAGTAATCTAATTACAGTAACACAATTAGATTCATTTAATCATCACGGGGCTATTTTTATCACCAAAATATATTTTTCAAATTGTTTTTCCCCTCCATTCTGAGACCTGTGGAAGGTGTGAGAAAGCTCCCGACACGCTCATTCTGAGCGATTAGTTTTTATATGAGGTATTCCCCGCCAAGGGAGTCAAATGCTGACCCTCATGCTTTTGAAAATTGATGGCGATTTTTTCTATGATTGGGAGGGTTGAAAACTATCTCTTGAATGTTTTCAGATTTTTTCGACAGCCCAGTTCGGAGATATGATTTTTTCCGTTTTCCCATTTTTTTTTTCAATAATTAGAGTTCTAGCCATCCGATTTTAATTTATTGGACGTCAAAATTTTTATTTTTTGTTCCCTGTAAGAATATATTGAGTGAAAATTTTTGCTCGGTCTTTACATGCGCAGAATAAGGAAAATTTAACAAAAATTAAGAAAATTGAAGCGAATATATTCTTCAATTTTCAATTAATTGAAAATTCATCGTTATTTGGCACTACATATTCATAATTGCATTAAAAAGTGCAAGAGGTTGAGGAGTTCTCATCCCAATGCTGTTGAAAAATTCGGAACTTCATTGAATTTCGAGTGAAATCTGAAATTTCATCATTTTTTCTTCATTAAGGATATTTCCAAGTACTTTGACTATTCTTCTCCAGTAAAATGCTTTTCTAATTTTGCAGTCGAATATCAGAACTTTCATTTCAGCCGTACTTGAGCCCAAGTTTTCGGATATTTCACAATGATTTTCTTATGTAAGCTTTGCAGATCTGAATTTGAATTTCGATATAAATCCTTGGAGACTATTTAAAAAATCTGAAAAAAATAGAACGTTTACTTTTAGAGGAAGATTGATAGAATAATTCAAGAATTGCAATTTTTGAAAATTACGAGCATTTTCTACAAATAATTTATAAACAATCAATTTTTCATCATGAAAATCATTTGTTTGAATTTATTCATATTTATTCATATTCAGAATTTTACCAGAACTCGATTTCATGCCGAAAAAAATTAGGCTCCAGAAAATTTAATCCATTTCAATTATCTATCTGTAAATAACGAATGTTTAACAAAATAATAATTCTGTGTAAAATGTAATTTAAATGATGCTGAATATTCATGATTTTTAAAAAATTTTCTCATGCAATTTAATTTACAAATTTGATGATTGAAAATGGTTGAATCCAGTGTAGTCACGAAATCTATTTTTTTTTCTAACGGTGTATTACACAGTGATTTCTCCATGAAATTCAGAATTTTCAGTTACAAAAATCCCTGAAATTTCACTTGGACTAAAACATGATAAAAACACTCCAAAAAGTGTACCGGCAATTTCAGCCAAAAATTTTTAAAAACGTAAATGAACACGTTTTGAATGAACGTATTATTTGCCTTCTACAATTAACACATTTTTATGGGAATCGATACATTGTCGGAATACAGGGACACAAATTCTGATCGATCCTTCATGACGTTTGATAATGATTTCATTTAACTTTATTCAGGATGAAGATGGAGTTGATAAAATTCACGCCCAAGACCGTGAAGCAATAAAGAAACTAATAGTAAACCTGATGCTGCATTCGCCAGACTCGATTCAAAAGCAACTATCAGACGCAGTGTCAATAATCGGACGTCATGATTTTCCGAACAAGTGGCCAGATCTCATCGACCAGATGGTGGACAAATTCAACACAGGAGACTTCCACATTATCAACGGAGTCCTCCATACAGCCCACTCCCTCTTCAAACGTTATCGCTACGAATTCAAGAGTCAAACTCTCTGGGAGGAGATTAAATTTGTCCTCGATAAATTCGCTAAACCCTTGACCGATCTCTTCCTGGCGACGATGAACCTCACCCAGGTTCATGCTAATAATGTTGAAGCTCTCAAGGTCATTTATAACTCATTGACGATTCTGAGCAAAGTTTTTTACTCGTTAAACTTTCAAGATTTGCCGGAATTTTTCGAGGATAATATGGAAATATGGATGGGAAATTTTCACACTTTATTAACTACTGATGTTCCTCTCCTAAAAACCGATGACGACGAAGAGGCTGGAGTGATCGAACAGTTGAAATCACAAGTCTGTGACAACATAGTTCTTTATGCACAAAAGTACAATGAAGAGTTTCAGAATTATGTGCCTAAATTCCTGGAGGCCATCTGGGCACTTCTCAACAGCACAGGCCAGCAACCGAAGTATGATGCACTTGTTTCCAACTCACTTCAGTTTTTGGTGACTGTTGCTGATAGAGATCAGTACAGACCCCTATTCGAAGAGCCTCAGAACCTCAGGAACATCTGCACGAATCTCATTACACCGAATATCGAGTTCAGGGAGTCTGATAACGAACTGTTTGAGGATAATCCTGAGGAGTACATCAGGAGGGATATCGAGGGCAGCGATGTTGATACTAGACGCAGAGCTGCTTGTGATCTTGTCAAGGTTCTGGCGAAGTACTTTGGGGCTAAAGTTATGGAGATTTTCGGAGTTTTTATTATGGTAAATATTATTCCTTAAGAAGGGGCTAAGAACGAGAGTTGACTGGGATATCCATATTTTGTTCATTCTACACTGAAAGAAAAATGACCGAGTTCTCCAATAAATCTCACTTGTGCCAAAAAAATAGTTTTTTAAAAGTTATCAAGAAAGGATTTTTCTTTCAATCGTTAGAAAACATTTTAAAAATCTGAACAAAATAGACAGTTTACTTTTGGACTTTACTTTTTTTCAATCATTTAAAAAGTACAATTTTTGAAAATTACGAGAATTATCATGAAAACAAGCATTATCATTTGAAAATTGCGAGCATTATCATCTATAAGTAATTTATAAACGGTCAATTGTTTACCATAAAAATCATTTATTCAGAATCGTCACAAATTTATTAATATTCAGAATTTTACTAAAAATCGATTTCATGCCTAAAAAAGGCTTCCGAAAGATTAAACAATTTCAATTATTTATTCATAGACAACAAAGGTTAAAAAAAAATTCTATGCAAAATGTAATTAGGATGACACTGAATATCCATCATTTTTTCAAAAAATTTCTCACACAATTTAATTGACAAATTTGATGATTGCAAATGGTTTAGTCGATAGTGTAGTCTGCACCAGACTTTAAAAAATACTTGGATTTCCTTAAAGCAATGAGGAACTATTGTGAGACATTATACATAAAAAAAATAGTATTATGACCTTCATTACGAATATTCCGTCAGTCCTCTCACAAATAAAATATACTATTTATTCACTGCATTCTTGTGAAGATATCCACAGTACATATGGTGATAACATAGTAACAGTTAATAAATAAAAAACAAAAAGAATATAATGCAACAACACGCACGAAAAAATTTAATAGAAAAACCTATCAAATTCGTCAGAAAATTCTATTGAATTTCTATCAAACTTTCTATTAGTTTTTGGCTGATTCTATTGACATGTCCAGTAGAAAACAGTTAATAGAAAAAGTCAACAGAATTCAATTTTTCTATATAACTTATTCTTTTCATATATTTTCTATAGAATTTGCTCGACTCAAATTTTCTAAGTTTTTTTCATTCTATTTTTCTTTTCTTCTCATCAAGAAAGTCAAACGAAAAAACAGAAAATTTCAGCCGAGGAAATTCTATAGACAATATCTCAATAGAATAAATTGTATAGAAAAATTGAATTCTATTGACTTTTTCTACTGAATATTTTCTATTGAACATTTCAATAGAATCGGCCAAAAACTAATAGAACAGTTCAATAGAAATTCAATAGAATTTTCTAACGACTTCGATAGGTTTTTCTATTAAATTTTTTCGTCCGTGAACCATTTGGCACCAAGTAATACAAGAAAATACAATATCAAAGGTGTAGCTAGTAATTCTTATTTGGCCTATTTTCGAAAAAATGTTTTCAAGAGAGACACTAGATCTCAAAAATTAACTTCACTGGACTGTTTTTAAAGACTTCATCAACCTATTAAATTGCAAATGGTTGTAATAAATTTAATTCCTTCAATTCTAGGAACGTCTAGCAGAATATGCAGCAAAGCCGTCAGAAAACTGGCGCAAGAAGGACGCAGTAATCTACCTAGTGACCTCCAGTGCAAGTAAAGGTCAAACCCAGAAGCACGGAGTGACCCAGAGCAATGAATTCGTGCCTTTACCCCAGTTCGCCGCCCAGCACATTGAACCAGAGTTGGCAAGGCCAGACATCAACGAATTTCCAGTCTTGAAGGCAGACGCCATAAAGTTCATCATGACGTTCAGGTCCATCCTCCCACGAGTGCTAGTGGTGGGTAGTCTTCCCCACATGATCAGACACCTGACAGCCTCAAGCCCAGTGGTCCACAGTTACGCAGCCTGCGCCATCGAGAAGATCCTAGCTCTAAAGGGGCCCAACAACGTCGTCATCGTGATGGGCGAGGAGATTGCTCCACTCGCCGCTGACCTCCTCAAAGGCCTCTTCGCTCTCCTAGAACTGTCAGGATCAGGGGAGAACGAGTATGCGATGAAAGCAATCATGAGAAGCTTTGGAACTCTAAAAGAGAACGTTGTGCCATTCTTGGGAGATCTTCTACCAAAATTAACGGAGAAGCTGGCAATCGTCGCCAGAAACCCCAGCAGACCCAACTTCAATCACTACCTCTTCGAGACCCTTGGTCTGTCCATCAGAATCGTCTGCAAGACCAATCCTGAGGCTGTAATTTCCTTCGAGCAGGTCCTCTTCCCAATTTTCCAGGGGATTCTTCAGCAAGATGTCCAAGAGTTCATGCCCTACGTATTCCAAATACTGGCACTTCTGCTGGAGCTTCGCACTGGGCAAGAAGTACCTGAGCCCTACATGGCCCTGTTTCCTTGTCTCCTGGCTCCAGTTTTGTTCGAGAGACAGGGGAACATTCATCCTCTCAATCGACTGCTTCAGGCGTTTGTCAGTCGTGGGGCACACCAAATCATCGCGCAGGACAAGACCAGTGGACTGCTTGGAGTCTTCCAGAAGCTGATTGCTTCGAAGGCCAACGATCATGAAGGGTTTTTACTGATGCAAACGATCATTGAGAGTTTTCCTCCTAATGTTCTGGAGCCCTTCATGAAGCAAATATTTGTTCTGCTATTTCAAAGACTCTCTTCCACGAAGACTACGAAGTTTGTGAAGGGTCTTATTGTCTTCTTCGCGTATTACATCATCAGGTATGGAGCTTCGACCCTCGTCTCGATGATCGATCAGATCCAACCGCAGATGTTTGGGATGGTGCTGGAGAGAGTCATCATCGCAGATTTACAGAAAGTTTCCGGGGAGATTGAGAGGAAAGTTGCGGCTGTGGGAATGTCCAATCTACTTATTGATTGTCCTGCGATGATTGAGAATCCTTATAATGTGTTTTATCCGAAACTTTTGGCTACTCTGGTGGAGTTCTTTGAACTCCCCCAGGATGAGACTTCCCTGCCTGAAGATCTGCTCATGCCGGAGATCGAGGATAATCCTGGGTATCAGGCGGCCTACAGCCAGCTCCTCTGCGCCAGGAATCCGAGGAAAGATCCACTAGAAGGTAAGGAGATTTCTTCAATTAATGCTCGGTAGTATCGAACAATTTTTTTCGATAATACCTGTGGAACTAGTGGATTTCAGTAAAAAATTGGAGAAATTTTTCAAAAACCCCAGAACTTTTTATGCAAAGAGTGCTTTAACATTTTTTAGTCTATAATTACCTGAAGAGTTTGGCAATTATCGAAACAATATCATAATTACATCGACTCAATAGCTTTTTCAATTATGCCAATATTATGGAAATGAATGATTTCAAGGTAATTCAAGGGGCATCTAAAGTGTCGTACTGATTACACTGTTGGTTTGCATATTTTGAATTGAATTGAGTGGAAAAATGTTGATACATTCATGTAGTTAATGGTGGAAATTATTTAAACAGAAAACTCATTTTTCTGTCATGAAATAAATTTCTGCGAACACTGCATGTAAAATAGTTATTGGCAATTGATAGAGATAATTTCTAGAGTAAAATATTAATTGGTAATCAATCATTTATTAGAGAAATGTCTTAATTTTCAATAATACGATTTTCCCAATAATTTTATGAATATTCTTGCGAAATTTAGCTTTCTAATCATAATTTTTGATTTTTCAAGTGCTTCTTCCAAAAGGTTGAATAATAAAATAATTGCAAGATGGCTGGTAACATGCAAATGTTGAAAATTATTGTTACGAAAAAAAGAATAGTGAACGCTTTCGAATTTTGTATTAAGTATCCATAACTCGCAAATGAATTCACAAACGAATCTTCTGTGAACGAAATGAATTTCTGTGAATACTTTGAATAGAAACAAATTTATTCACAATTGATAGAGATAATTTCTACAGTATAAAATCAATTCTTTATCTATTATTGATCAGAGAAATGTCTTAACTTTCATGAATATGTTTTTCCCAATGATTTTATGAATATTCGTGCCAAATATGACTTTCTAATCATAATGTTCGATTTTTCAAATGCTTCTTTCAAAAGCTTGAATAATAAAATAATTGTAAAATGGTTGGTAACATAGTATAAAATTCAGTTTGCATGTACGTTTTCATATTCAACTGCAAATGTTGAGAATTATGTTTCCGAAAAAAAATAGTGAACACTTTCAAATTTTGTGTAAAGTATCCACACTCACAAATGAATTCACAATCATCCTATCCTACAAACAATTCGAAACAGTCATTAACTAATTAAGATTTGAAGGAAATGATTACAAAACCTTTGGTGTATACATGAAATATTCGAAAAAGGGTCTCCCGATGGATTTTTACAAACCTCGGCACCTTAAAAATATTCACGAAAAAAGCTGCATTCAAATTTTATTCCGTTATTTAAGAAAGTTTTCGCTAATTTTTGCAGCTGTTGGCGATGTTCGATTGCATCTGGCCCAGGGACTCGGTCGACTACCCCCTGGACAGCTTCCAGGTCTCCTCGGACAAATTCCAGAACCTAATGCCAATCACCTGAGAACTTACTTACAAACTGCAGGCATAAGTGTTGCATAATACGAAATTAACGTTCGTCAAAAATTGAAGTTACATTTAATGTCACGTAAATTCAATAATATCGAACTGAACAAGCTGTAATCGATGAGGGGAAGAAAACTGGAAAAAATGAAAAAACACAGTGTCAAGTTTGGCCGGATATTTTTTTAATGCTGAAAACCGTTGATTTTACATACTCGTTAAGTAAATAATTTTCTTTGCATTGCTCCCCGTATACTGTTGTAATGCTGAGCATTAGGGGAACATTGTAATCTGTAGGAATCAATTCTTGAGGAGACAGAGCTAATGATTTTAATACGAAATTTTCTCAGTGAAAGAACGTAATCATCAGTCTTTTGGCATGATAACTCTATGTACAATGAAAAAATAAAGTTGATCAAATTTTGATAATGAAAGGTCTTGCGTTATTGCCCTCTTCACATTATAGTGATGTCGCGAATGTCGAGCATTTTCAAAGGTGTTGAATCAGCAGAAAATGAAGAGGTGTGTTGCTTCAATGGCGCGTAAGAGAGGCGACGTTGTATTGGTGACAGGTAAATCATTCTAGTATTGAAGAGAAAATCGCATTTATAAACAACATTATTTTGCATCACTGCGTGCAGGAAGTCCGTCACATAAAATAATGCAACGCAAACGTTCGTAAGTGATGGTTTCTTCCTCAATTCAGCCAGCTATTTTTTCCAAGGTCTCCAAAAAATCAGAAAAAAATCAGTGGTTTAATACTCATCAGAAGTACTCTCTGTGGATTTTTTCAGATTTTTTAAACATCCGTGACGGAAATGAGTGGATCTGAACAAATTGCGAAAAAAAAAAATTTATCAGGAGATGCTGACCTCCGAGAAAAAAAAGTTTGCCCCACAAAATATAGATTTTTATCTGAATTTTTCAAATAATTTTTTTATTATAGGAAAAAAGTGATTTAGAGAGTTTAAACTCTAGAATTACCTGACAGATTCCATTTTTACGCAATCTGACATTTTTGTTTTTCTTGAAGAAAAAAAATTAGCCAAGATGATTTTTGTTCTCCGAAGCCGATGTCCATCCCATTTCTATTTTCATTGATAAATGTTGAATATAAATCATCATATTACCTCAATTTTTTTTAAGAAAACCAAAAATGTCGAAATGCGTAAAAAGGGAGTTCTTACGCTATTTCTAGAGTTTAAATTCTCCACACCCCCTTTTTTCATATGCTAATAAAATTCTTTGAAACATTCAGGGAAACACCGAAAAAATCTGAAAAAATTCAGAGGTACGCATGAAAAATTCCAATGAAAAACCTAGCGAATACGCTAGAAAATTCTGTGGAAATTCTATAGGAGCTCTATGGCTTTTCTATAGGATTTCTATTGAAAAATTCTATTTATTTTTTGCGCTGATTCTATTGGATATTCGATAAGAAAAAGTCAATAGGATTTCGAATTTCTGTTTGGAATTTTCTCTTTTTTTGTACAAGAATGTTTGGGCATCAATTTTCTAAGTTTTTTCCACTCGGATTCTGTAATGCAAAATACAACAAAAACCAGCGGAAAAAATAGAAAATTTGTGCCCTATAATTCTAATAGAAAAAATCTCAAGAGAAAAATTGGAACAGAAATTCGAAATCTATTGACTATTTCCTATCGAATATCTAATAGAATCGGCGTAAAAAAGAAATAGAATTTTTCAATAGAAATCCTATAGGAACCCCATAGAATTCCTATATAATTCCAATAGAATTTTCTAGCGAATTCGCTAGGTTTTCTATTGAATTTTTCTATATGTGGAGTACTTTTGATGAGTATTAAACCGCAGATTTTTTCAGATTTTTTGGAGACCTTGACAAAAATAGGTGGCAGGATTGAGGAAGAATATGTCAAATGTCGTTTTAAAGAATGTGATTAGAGACCTCGCATTTGACTCGATCTGTAAACCTCATATTCGCCAAAAATGTCATTTCGAACCAGTGCGATAATGAACTATTGGAATCGGTCCTATAGTTTTTCTCGATTAATTTGACAGGTTCAACCGGTTTTCTGGGGCAACACGTGTTGAAACAGCTACAGCAAGATGTAACAGTGTCAGAAATTCGGGGGTTGGACAAAGTTGCTCTTCGAGACTATTCAATCGTTGGATCTGGTGGAATTAAACGTTCTTCCAAGTTTAAACATTTCATCAACGATTTGTTGGATGTTGAGAGCTGTCGCGATGCTTTCATAAATACTGACGTTGTTATTCATTGTGCTGGATTAGTGTCTTACGAATTTCCTCCGAATTATGGGAAATTGCAAAGAAATAATGTGGATGGTATGTGATTTTTTTTTAAACAACTATCATAGTTCATCGGAAGGGATTTAATACTTACTGGAATTCTACTATTCAAAATATTATTGATTATCGCAGTGGGGAACACTTAGGGGAGAACGGGGCAAAATGATTTGACGCAATTCAAGCAAAAAAAGTCTTTTCTATCTACTTTTGTTCACGGAATATATTAAACAATCAGAGTAGGTTCTCACTCCGTTGTATCCAAAAATAATTTCTCCCTGGTTCTGGGTATGAAAATATTTACAATTTGTCAGTTTTTAAATTTTTCATTGGAAAATTTAGCATATTCAGTAAATAAAGGATAAAATTTGGAAATAAAAAAAGAAAAAGTTGAAAAATTGAAAAAATTTCAAAAAATGAGTTAGAAACAATTTTTTTTGATAGAATGGAATGAGAACTCACTCTCCTTTTTTAATATGCTCAATCAAAAGAACGAAACATTTCCATCGGAAATCCCTATTGGAAATGAAAAAAAAAATGTTGTCGACAAGTCAATAAAAAAAAATTAACATAATGAGCGTAAGGAAAATGAAAAAAAATGAAAAACAAATTTCGAAATTTTTCTAATGATAAAACCATATGAGAAGTCTCAAAAAAATAAAAATTTTGAAGGTACAAAACCATACCACTAATTGACAAGAACACCTCAAAATTTTAGTTTGTTTATCAAAAAGGTCATTCGGACAATTTTTCTATTTCTATCAACTATGAAAATATTCTGTTGGGTACTCTGTTTAAATAATTGAATTTTTCCAGTTACAGAAAACGTGGTGAAGCTCTGTATAGAACAGAACGTGCAACGATTGATCTATTGTAGCACCACAGAGGTCACATTAAGATCGTATATCAAAGGTGGAATTGTAGCAATGGTAATTTATGAAAAAGAATCTAAACTAGGGACTCCAGATGAGAATAGATTGATGATGGGGGCGTATGCTGTATCGAAATTAAGAGCTGAAAAGATCGTCTTGAAAGCCAATGGAAAACTTCTCCGTAATGGTACAAACCTTCAATCCACTAGTCACCGATTTATTGTTTTAAGTTTTACGTTTTTCCTAAAAAAAAAACTCATCAGCAGAACCAATTTTATAATGATGAATTCAAAACATCATATTTCAACAGAAACCAGTCCTCTACGAGAAATTAATAAATTGATTATCTTCCATCGACTAATACTTTCATTTTCTTTTTTATTTTAGGAACAGAAAAATTAAAAACAGTCTCCATAAGACCAACACTACTTTATGGAGAAGGAGACACGAAATTCATTTCTAGAGTTCTAAAATATGGAAAGTCACGAGGAAATATTTTGCCCAGATTAGCTGGGAAGGGCGGAAAGCAGCAAATGACTTACGTAGGTGAGAAAATAAAAATATTAGGTATACAAATAANGACACGAAATTCATTTCTAGAGTTCTAAAATATGGAAAGTCACGAGGAAATATTTTGCCCAGATTAGCTGGGAAGGGCGGAAAGCAGCAAATGACTTACGTAGGTGAGAAAATAAAAATATTAGGTGTACAAATAAGCTTTAGGACACTTCGATTCCGTGTCATGAAAGTAATTCAAAGTTACCGCTTACATATGATATGGTGGTATATTATATTAGTGTTTCCCGATACCCAAAAAAATATCGATACTCAGTATCGCATCGAAGCAGTTTGCTTGGTATCGATACCGCAAAGTATCGCCTTGGGAAATATCGATACTCGTAATATCCATCTTTTTAAAAATTCTGGATGACAATGGCAAATAAAAAAAAATTAAAGTTGAAGAATGTCGCGTTAAAAGACCCTAAACATTCAGATTCATTCACGTGAGGATATCCCAGTATTCTTTACAATTTGGTACAGACCATTCTATAGATTCCGTCACTTTCAATCATCAAATTTGTCGATTAAATTACGCGAGGAAAAATTGAGATAAGTTATAAATATTCAGTGTCATTCACATTACATTTTGCACAAAATTATTATTTTCTTCATTCGAGGATGGAACGTCATGAGAGTCACTAGAGAATGATCAAATTTCACGAGGGTCAAACTCTGCGAAAGCCACAAGGGAGACGATTTAGCACGAGTCACACGGGGATGGTCAAATTTCACGGGATGGAACGGCACGAGGATCACAAGAGACGATCAAATTCCACGAGAGAGACCCGACACAAGGGTCACAAGAAGATAGTCAAATTTCATGAGGGTCAAACAGCAAGACGGTCGCGAGAAGATGGTCAAATTTCACGAGAGTCAACCGACACAAGAGTCATACGGGGATGGTCAAATTTTACGAGGGTCAAACGTCACGAGGGTCACAAGGGGTCAAATTTCACCGGAGTGAAACGCCACGAGATTGACTAAGGGTCGGTTAGATTTCACGAGTACCAAACCTCCCAAGGGTCACGAGGGGATCGGCAAATGTTTAAGAGGATCAAACCTCACGAGAGTCACAAAGGAATAATGAAATATTATGACGTTTGAATGTTCCAATGGTCATTTTCCACGAAGGTCCAACGTCAAAGGAGCGAGGAGCAAACGATCACAAAAGTCACAAGGAAATACGATGCTTTAACGATCTTTGAGAATCACATGGAACAATCTCCAACTCTTTGTAGGAAGGATAATGGTGTTCATTATTCAAGTTTATTGAATTTTTTACGGAATCATTTCGGGCCCTGGAAAGTTCAAAAATTGGCGATCTCCCTGTGACTTTCGTACTGTCCGACTCGTAAAATTTGATCGTCCCTTTGTGACCCTTCCAGTTTGACCCTTGTGAAAATTGACCGTCCCCTTGTGTCGGTTAACTGCCGTGACATTTGACCATCCTCTTGTAGCCCTCGTGACGTTTGACCCTTGTGAAATGNAAATTGACCGTCCCCTTGTGTCGGTTAACTGCCGTGACATTTGACCATCCCCTTGTAGCCCTCCTGACGTTTGACCCTTGTGAAATGTGACCATCCCCTTGTGACCCTCGTGCTGTTTGACCCTCGTGAAATTTGATCGTCCCCTTGTCTCGCTCGTCACGTTTGACGCTTGTGAACCTTGTCTCCATGTGACCCTTGTGAAATTTGATCATCCCCTTGTGACCCCCATGACCTTTAACTTTCATAAAATTTAGGCATTTCCTTATGACCCACGTGACGTTTGATTTCCGTGAAATTTGACCATCCCCTTGTGACCCTCGTGCTGTTTGATCCTCGGGAAATTTGATCGTCTCCATGTCTCGCTCGTCACGTTTGACCCTTGTGAAACTTGATCGTCTCAATGTGACCCTTGTGACTTTTGACCTTCGTGAAATTTGATCATCCCCTTGTGACCTTCGTGACGTTCGACCCTCGTGATGTTTGACTCTCTTGAAATTTGACCATCGTCTTGTGATCCTTTTGTCCCTTCAGATATTTTGACCCCGATGAATCATCTTATTCTTGTGACCTCCCTGGTCTTTAAATCCGTTATGAATATTTTTTAGATTAATTTTTTTTTTCATTACTTGTCCCTGAGAAAATATCGATCCCAACCCAGAAATATCGATACACCCAATATCGATACAAAATATCGAATATCGGAACAAAAAATATCGATACTGGATCGCGGGAAACTACTATACTATATCAAAACCAATCAAAACATAAGGGAGTCATAAACATAACCTTAAATTCTGTGAATAAAACATGCAGACCGATAAGCTATTTATTAGACACTGCATTCGCTATGAATTCTATCAAGGAAAAACTGTTAGGGAAGCATGTCAATCCATTTGTTCTATTCTTGGGGAGAACATTGTATCTAAAAGTACATGTGCGTATTGGTATAAGCGATTTAAAGAAGGTAATTTCGACGTTAGTGACCGTGAACGTACCGGGGCCCCTGTAAGGGTGAATGCCCAGAAACTGCAAGCGTTGCTGGATGAAAACTCTTGCCAGACAGAAAAACAACTTGCAAAACAGCTTGGAGTAACTCAACAGACCGTTTCCTATCGCTTAAAAGTAATGGGAAAGATTCAAAAACGAAGAAAGTGGGTGGCACACTTTTTGACTCAAAAAAATAAAGATAGCCGACTTGAAATATTAGGTGTACAAATAAGTTTTAGGACACTTAGATTCCGTGTCCTGAAACTAATTCAAAGTTACCGCTTACATATGATATGGTGGGGTTTGTTATGTACTATCAAAACATAAGGAGTCATAAACATAACCTTAAATTCTGTGAATAAAATATGCAGACCGATAAGCAATTTATTAGACACTGCATTCGCTATGAATTCCATCAAGGAAAAACTGTTACGAAAGCATGTCAATCGATTTGTTCTGTTCTTGGGGACAACATTGTATCTAAAAGTACATGTGAGTATTAGTATAAGCGATTTAAAGAAGATGACTTCGACCTTAGTGACCGTGAACGTACCGGGGCCCCTGTAAGGGTGGACGGTGGATGACCAGGAACTGCAAGCATTGCTGGATGAAAACTCTTGCCAGACGGAAAAACAACTTACATAACAGTAACTCAACAGACCATTTCCTATCGCTTAACCGTAATGGGAAAGATTCGAAAAGGAACAAAGTGGGTGCCACACTTTTTGACTCATGAAAATAAAGATAGCTGACTTGACATATGTCTGAATCTTTACAATAAGCAACATAGAGTCTTTTTTGCAGAAAATTGTGACCGGCGATGAAAAGTGGATTTATTTTGAAAATCTAAAACGCAAATATCATTGGGTTAACCCCGGCGAGCTGGCAACATCGACACCGAAGTGCAATATTCACTGTAAGAAGATCATGCTGTGTATGTGGTGGGATATGAAAGGCGTACTGCATTATGGACTTTTGAAGTCTGGCGAGACAGTTACTGCCGATCGTTACCGTCAACAATTAATAAGATTGAACCAAGAAATTGCACAAAAACGTCCATTTACTGGCAAAGGAAAACGTCCAGTAAAATTGCTCCATGACAACGCCAGGCCTCATGCGGGTAAACCGGTCCAAGATACGTTAATAGCTCTTGGATGGGAAGTTGTGCCACACCCGGCGTATTCACTAGACTTAGCTCCAACTGATTTTCACTTGTTTCAGAAGATGCAAAACGAATTGACTGATGTGCGATTCAAAACATTTGAAGAAGTGCAAAAATGGGTCGATAATTTCCTCGCCTCGCAAAATGAAACTTTCTTTGCGGAAGGCATCCGTGAATTACCTAACAGATGGCTGAAGGTCATTCAAAATGATGGAGATTATGTTGATGAATAAATGTAGTTTACTTTTTTCGAAAATGAATTTTAAATTTTTTGCAAAGTGTCCTAAAACTTATTTGTATACCTAATATCATGCAATTTGTCAAATTGCGAATTGTGGTCGCCCTTCGTGATTTCAGGTAATGCAGCATGGGGCTTAATTTGTGCTAAGAATACTCTTCGTGATCGACCGGATTGCATCGCTGGCCTTCCAATCACAATAACCGATGACAATGAAGTGAATGATATCGCCAGATTCTGTGAGAGGATCACCAAAGACAGTGACTGCTACGTCAAACGATCGTCCTGGTGTATTCCCCTCCCTGTTTCCTACTTAATTGCTCTTCTTGTCGAATTCATCATGAGTGTCAGTAATAGGTTTATCGGGAGATTACCAGTATCACCAACTAGCTTGATAGCATATGTGGGATCTGTATTTTTGTATGATCGATCGAGGGCTTCGATTCATTTGGACTATTCTCCCATCTATTCTCCTGATGATTCGATGGAATTGTCAAGAAAATATTATCAATCGCTTTTGACACATTAAAAATCTATTTTGATGGAATTGAGGACATTTGATGAAATAATTATGAAAATTAAACCATTCTGTTCTATTTTTATTTGATCATCGATTTTTTATACTTGTAATTTTTTTAATTTAAGGCCCGGCTCCATTATCTTTCGAACGTTATCTAAGTTCAGTTTTTTGAGAGTAAATTATTCAAATATTCAGAGTTCATATGGATTTCCTATCAGGAGCTTACGCAGTGAGACCATTTCCCAACCAATTATTCAAATGGCGCAATAAGATTACCAAATAATTATTGTAGCTTTGTTGGACTAATTAGAAAATGACTGAACAACTACATAAATTCGAAAATGGAAATGTAATTCTTTATTATAAAACTGAAAGTAATTGTAAGACATTCTCAATAAATTCAATGAAACATGGATGAAGGGAGAATATTCAAATATCTAGTTCGTCTTCGAGGGCCTTCACTTGAGCAATCATGTTAGCGATGCTCTTTCCCCTGAAAATAAAATTATTTATTGAGAGTTCTCTAACAGAATGAAAATAAAAGTAGAGTTTAAAGTGTTACATACATTTGTCCAATATTACTCTTGATAGCTTCTTCTTGCTTTGCGCTAAGAATATATGAATTCTTCTTCTCGTCTTTTTTGAAGGCCTCCATGTGCATCCTCTGCTGCTCGACTTTCTTCTTCAATTGCTCCAGACGAAAAGCGAGTTCCTTCGATACTTTCTGGTTCAAATCTTTTAGTTCAGTGGCATCAGCTCTCTCGGCACTGGATAGTTCCTTGTAATTCACTAGACGTAATACCTCTTCAGCTCTAATTAGAATTTATGGAAGAAAAGTACAAATTGATAATTATTAAAGTAGTATGACTGGAGTTCAGTCGTTGAGTATAACGAGAAAAAATAAATTCCAAAATTAAAAAAAAAATCCCATGAATCCTAACTTTGATGAGTGTAAGAAATTAATCCATCAAATTTTTTCGTCAATTATTTTTTTAAGCCATAGTTTCTCATTTGACCAGGGTTTTTCGACATAACATCAATTATTTATTACAAAAGTTTGACACTGACGATGATTTCCATGTTAGAAATAGAATAGAATTTTTTTTGATTTTTTGATATTTTTTTCTAAATTTTAATCTTTTCCCTAACGTCGAAAAGTTAATTTCCTCATAAGACTCTATGGTATTTTTACACCTGTAGATTAATTAGCGCCAATGGTACTAGACTACTGATTGAGCAAAAACTCAACCAGAATGTTTCTATTCAGATTAACTTTCTTTTAGAATGTATTTCAGATTTTACTCTCCAAAATTGAAGTTATGTTAGTACTATTTTAAATCAGATTTTAATAGTCGAGAGATAAACGGTGGTGGTTAAAAAAATTGACGCATAGATTATCTTGCAAATATTACTATGAAAATATATCGGAGAGACTGAGATTCATTCAATATCCCTGGGAGAATAGACAGCAAAATAAGGACAGAGAGCGAATTTTTCTGGCATTTTTTTAACCCCCCAGTTTCAGAGATATTTACAAAATAGTTCATATAGAAACTTTGGACTTATCCCTTCTTATTTCTATCTTACAGATTTTTATGCTTATTTCAATTGATATGATTTATACTCACCTCTTCGCTAGCTCTTCTTGCTTATCTTTGATGTCCTCGTAACGTTCAGCCAATTGCTCAGCTTTTCCTTGCAGATCTTTCCTAGTTTCCATCAAATGATCGAGTTCCTTCAGCTGATGATTCTTCAAATCTTTCAAGCCACGAACTTTTTTAGCAATTTCTGCACGCACTTTATCGTGCTTCACGAAGTAATTAGAACGGAATACATGAGTTGCTCGATACAAAAGCTGAAATATATGTTACCATATTATAATGTCGAGTTGTTCAAGTCGAGAAATGACCGAGGGATTATTGGAAATTATCTATTTTGAATTTTTAAAAAGATTTTACCTCCAAATATTCTTTTCCGGAGAGTTTTGTTGTTGTACCAAGTTTGGTGATCGGCTGGGAGGCCGAGTCATGTTTTAGAAGATTCCTGATGTACATGTCGAAAGGCTCTCTGGTCATCTGAAATCCAGCAGAATATAAATAAGTTGAGAATTTGAATAAGTAGAAAATTTGGATCTGATAAATCATGACGGTAAGTGGAGGGGAGGGGGTATTTGAAGGCGAAAACTAATGAAATTTCCCATTTAAGCCGGGTGGATGATGGCATTGGATGTCCAATCGATTTTAATCAATTTCATTCCTCGATATTGAATGAGTGGAGATGTGAATTTTTTACGTTGGCTCTGATTTTTAGGGCTATGGAGTCATTTTCTTCGGAGAAATAATTTTTTTAGACCACCGGGGGATTAGTGGCCTGGAAAAAGATATTTCTCCAGCCCACTAATTCCCCGGGGGTCCATATCCATCTTCAAATGTTACTGACACTCAGAGAAAAACAAAAAATTATCAAAAAAGGATTTTTTTTGTGCTAAACATGCAGAGAGTGCGCCGGAATGAAAAAATTTTGTCGCAAAAATAGATTTAGTAATTGAAAGAAAATTGCATTCTCTGTATACGCAAGAAATGCCATTTCTAGCACTGCTCCTTCGTTATTCGATACTCCCATACGTATTTTGCTCCCGGAAAATCTTTGTTTTATGCGGAACAAGGGATAGTAGTTTTTCGTTTTGGTTGTCTAATAATCAAAAACAAGAAATGACCCCTTTCAATGAAACAGTAATAATGATGTCATACCAATCTTGTAACTTAGGGATAAAATATTTGTTGATAAATTTTCCTCTATATGAGATATTTTCATCCTGAAAAGGCATCGTCTGGTGTGAATTATCCGTCTCTGGAGCCAAATATTTCGTTGCTGTCGAAAGCAGAACAATTATTCACGTTTGAGACTTTCAAATTCGAACCAAACAAATTCTTGTTTGTGAATTTTCAACTAGTGATTTTGTTGGCCCAAAAAAGACTTGTTTGACAAACGTGTTTGTTTTTCTCTCAGTGTATTGTTGAAATTCATTACGGGTTTTCTCACCCCAGCATGATGATGGAAAAACAATTTTCTGTCAGATCATTGTGCTTTAAATGTACAATCGATTGCCATTATTGCCATGTCTCCAGCCTAAGGGAGAGAGAAGATATGAATTTTCAAAAAGAGGGTGATTTGCAGTGGATTTTTGCTTTGTTGACGAATAACTTCTTAACAAACTCCTAACGTTAGAGACCAAAATTTTATTAGTTTTCATCTCCAAATAAGCCCCCTGATATGTCAAATCAACTTTGGAACACCCTGGACAATAATACCTTTTTACTTGAACTGACTGCTGGTTCTAGATGATCAACTTTCGGGAAACAATCCCTGTCAACTACTGATAAGTCAACAATAACACCTGAATAGAGTAGTGCAATTAATAATGAACACGGCTGCTGGAGTAATCCGAATCCAAGGACAGGCGTAGCTTCTTCCTGTCCTGAGTATTTTGTTCTTGTGCAGAGTAAATACTGGGTACTTGAGGGGAGGAGAGAACTGGGTAAACTGAGATCCGCATTTTCTACAATGAGAAGAGCGAAAAAATGATAAAAAATTCGAAATCAATGAGTTGATCACTTCAAATAATGATTGTCTCAAATCGAAATCTTTCACTATAAAATTCAGTAGTTGAGATTACAAAGTTTTACAATTTCGCTATCGATTTCAATCATTCTAGAGAAATCCTAGTAAATTGTTTCGTTCGTAAAGCATCAACCCTTACGCGCACGCTTTCTTTTTTCAACTAGAAATATTCAATAGGAGTGAGTAAACCCCTCACGTACGGGGCCCTTCTGTTACCAAGCGCAGTGTGTACTCAATACGACTCGAATTCGATTATTTCTAATGAATGGAAAATGAATGGAAAATTATGAAACCGGTATCTAATTGGAGCTACAGTATTCCGGTTTCCAATTTTGTTTGTCTGATCAATTCTTCATGGATTTGGAAATAATCAATTTTGAAAACAAGCGTGCACATTCGCGTGGGTCGATACCATGCATCGAGCCCGTACGTAAAGGGTTAATAGAAAAAAAATTTGACGCAAAATCCCTGAAGTCTATACATTCATGATCTTCCCTATCATCATTCCTACGCTATCATTCTTTCGTTCATCGGAATTTTTTGTTTTTCATAATTTCTCAAAATTTCATAGAAGCTCGCCACTAAAAAATATAAGAAGGGAAACGTGGTAAATTTAGTGAGATTTACTATCCGAAAATTGACTATAGATCATGTGTCATAAAAAATTATTAGAATGTATTTCTTCCGAAGTTGCTCTTTATTAAATTCTGTCTGTCTAGAAAACATTTCGATTATGATGAAAGCGAAAAAATAGCCAAGAATAGAATATAAATTGTCTAAAAACAATAAAATTCTAGGCTAAAATTTGCGAGTATTTTTTATTGAATGTTCTCGTGCATGATCGACAATGAAATAAACCTGCTTATTGAGTTACATTACGTTCATATAGAGGGTAACGTCAGTACCTTGCTTACAAAATTCAGAAGGATATAGAATAGAAAATCAGAAATTCTATGGTACAAGAATGATTAAACTGCGATAAAATAACTTTCAAATGATGAGCATTAGAATTTTTCAATGCTTCAGCCAATCACGTTGTGATTGGGTTGGAAACGGTGACGCAATTGTCAACGGGACTTGAGGTGATATTTAATATCACTCTTGATATTGATAAAGTTATAAATATGGAGAATAATTAAGAATAAGGAAGAATTTATTTTTGTAATTCTTCCTCACTTTTTACATTAGAAAAGGGAATTTATATAGCGATTCACATCTTTGTGACGTCATAGGAAATGATTGGATGTGATTTGGATGAGGTAGGAGGTAAGGAAGAATTTATTTTTGTGATTCTTCCTTATGGATAAATTTCTTAAAATTCTCAAAAGTAAGAAATGAATTGACACGGTTGAAATTTTAAGAAGGAACATTGATTATCATTATTTCATAATTCCCGTGGCTTTGAATTACTGATTTTGCATTCTATATCTCCTTACAATTTGTAAGCAAGATGCTGACGTCATCCTGTAAAATTGAAAATACCTTCACTAGCATTGACATATTCTTCCAATTGTGTTATCATTGGTAGTGTTACCATGTGAATCCCTGCATTATGTGAGCAGAAATATCTGGAAAAATAAAACGATATGAACATAACATTTTTTATCATCCCTACTCCAAGTACGTGAATGCAATTGTTTTGTTTCAATTTACCTCAATTTATTTCCCTTATCTCTGTGCAAATTAATTGGGCACCTGTACTTCTTATCAGTAGCAGTGAACAGAAGTCCAAGCTCCATTTCCACTTCTTCAAAAACAAACAATGCATCATCAGGCGTGTGTAGACTGTATGTGGACCCATACTGAGACCAGCTCTTTTCATCGTCAGCCTCTCCCTCAGGTTCGCGCATTAAAAGTGCATGATAGAGCTTCCCAGTGGTTGTTGCAATGACAACAACAGGAGGAGTCGTTGGGATGCACATTATTGAACAGGAATCTAGTCCATAGTTGTCAGCAACTGGTGGGTACATGGTCAATGCACCCAGGACGTCTGGTTTCGTCAAACTGAAGAATAAAATTGATAGATGGAAAATTCATTGCAATTTCCCCATAATTTTGTGGTCAATAATGAGTGAGTAATTAACCCTTCACTTATGGGGTCGATGCCTACATCGAGCCATGGAAATATGAATGACTCTACTTAAAATTCATTATTTCCAAAACTATAGAATTTAACTTGACCAAACAAATAACGAAAAACGGAATACTGTAGCTTCAATCACATATCGGTTTCATAATTTTCCGTTGGTTAGAAGTCATTCCATTCTAGTTGTATCGAGCGTACTCCACGCTGGGAAACAAAAGGGTCCCGTCGGTGAGGGGTTCAAAAAAGATGGAATTACGTACCTCCCAGAGAGAATGTTGCCGTGGACCATCAGAACATCACCGTCTCCACGAAGTACTAGGATTGGCCACTGGATCTTATGCCAATCGTCATTGCCATGGTAATCATCATCCAATTTCATAATTGGCGTCGCGAAGTCAAAGTCAACAGCTGTCTCCCCGAGGGATTCAACATTTGCGATGATCTTTGTGGATGAGAGTGAGGGTGTCGGTCCCACTTTCCAATTTCTAATCAATTTTGTAGTTTCGCCCGATTCACATTCGTATAATCTTGAAGCAGGGGAAAAAAATTAATGGAAGCAAGTATATACTTCAATATTCCCTGGATCATTTACTAAAACTATGAACATCTTTTTCTAGAGAGAAGCCTCAGACATCTTCACATATTTCGAGAGAACTTTATTCTTTACATAGAAAAAAAAACAAGCCATCAATTTTGTAACGAAGTCGTAAAAGAAAATATATCCAAAAGTATTCTATAAATTCTTGACAAAAATGCTGATAATAACAAAAGTTATACGTAAGATACAAATGTATATTAAAATGTATTAGGCCCGGTGCAGGAAGTCCAGTTAAGAAAATCCTCAGTCAAGGGTATCCAAGTACTTTGGCTATTTTTTCTCCAGTGAAATACTGCTCTACTTTTGTAGTCAAACATCAGAGCTTTCATTTTAGCTCCATTTTACCCTAAGTTTCCGGACATTTTATAACGATTTTAGAATTTAAACTTTGCAGGTCTAAATTTGAATTTCGATAGTGATCCGTTAGAAAACATTTTAAAAATCTGAACAAAAATTAGAAAGTTTACTTTCGCAGGAAGATTGATAAAATAATTAAAAAAGTGCAATTTTTGAAAATAACGAGCATTTTCTGTTAATAATTTGTGAACAATCAATTCTCCACCATAAATATCATTTTTGTGCAGAATCGTATCAAATTTATTCATATTCTGAATTTTGCCAGAAATCAATTTCATGCCTAAAAAAATAAGGTTTCCGAAAGTTTAAACAATTTCAATTATTTATTTATAAACAACGAATGTTTAGAAAAATAATAATTTCAAAATGCAAAATGTCATTGAATGACGTTGAATACTCATGATTTTTGTCAAAATTTTCTCACGCAATTGGATTGACATATTTGATGATTGAAAATGGTTGAATCTCTAGTGTGGTCTGTACGAAACTATAAAAGATACTTGGATATCCTTAAGTATTGAAATAAATGAAAATAATCTGCCGCAAGTTCATCGAATATATTTCACCAAAAAACACGGTGTCGATATGTCATTACGACTTGCCAATACTACCGCTGATTATGGAGTACTTAGTCAATATTCCTAACCGAATGGGTGAATTGAAGCACTTTATGACGAATTTATAAATGGTCTAACTGTGGAATAAATTGACTCCAGACATAAATCTAGTCTGTCGATTTATTTGGCTAACAGGGCAACCGTCTCTATGGCATTGGGAGGAATATTTTAAATCACAATTGGGCTCATATAAACAATTTTTTATTTCGTCATCTTCGAAAAACAATCGGTCCCAAAGACACTCATATATATACATACTTCCGAACATAGTCTGAAAATAGCATATTCGAACTCCTGAGGCCAAAATTAGTTATTCTGACACAAAATATTGGAAATTAGGGAAAAAGGTCGGATTTTACAAATATAATGTTTTGCTTGGGAAGCAAAAAAATAGTTTTCTTTGAAAATTTAACAATTTTACCGAGAAAAATGATGAGATTCGATCTTTCTGTACGATTTTGATTGAATATTAAGCAAAATCCTCCCAGCGGTTTTTTAGTTACCGATATGAAACTTTCAGGATTCGTATTTTTTTCTAATAAACAAAAAAAAAAAATAGGGACTTGGTCTAGAAGTTATTGGTTCGACTCATAACGAGTCACACCCACTGTCATCCACTCGCAATGGGAGCGAGTGACACAATCCAGCAATCCACTCGAATTTTTTCCTACATGATTGCATGCGTTAATCAAATAAACAATTCCAAATACTTACTGAAAAGTATTTTCCGACGTAAGCACAAGTAAATGTGAATTATTAGCCGACCCCGGATGCCACCTGACTCTCCTGACTTCAGTAGACGCCAACTGTGAACTATACCCCGTCAAATTGTGATTCCTGCAACAACAAAAAAGCAATTCTCTTTTTTTTACAGTTGACAAAGACACTGGCCGTTATTAATGTCCTCTCTGCGTCCAGTGATGAATGCACGTGTACGCGTCAGCCAACGCACCACCTACTATACATTATCTTCCCTCGACCGGGGATACCTGTGTAGTGAGTAACTGAGTACGAGAGGGGGTTCTTAATAATTGATAAAAATGTATGCACGCACATGGAGATACTTTTTTCAACGTTCTTTTTCCACAGCCCGACGTTGCAGGACATCAAAAACGGTCGAAAAAAGCGTGGGGAACAAAGGGCGCACTCCCTGACAAAGCTTACTGCGATTTATTCGCACTTTTCCACGGAGTACTGCGCCGACTGACTAGTGTAACATCGTGAACACCTAAATTTTTCTTCCTTCTGCCATGAAATTTTTTCAAATTTATCAAAATTAATGCTTTCTGCTCGACAACCTTTTTCATTTCTTCTTTTTACCTTCACTGCCTATTTTTTTGCGGTTTCAGAGGGTGAGAAGGTGTGGGGGAGGGGGGGGAGGGGGTGGACAATAATGAAGGAAAAAACCGGCAAGGAACAACACCGGAAAGTCGAAACGATTATCCTAGGCGTCACGGGACATTTGCCACCACCAAGTCATATTTCTAATTACTTTTTTTACCGGTCTTCAGGAGTTTTTATTTCGTTAGAAAAATTGTGGTCAAAGGGAAGAAGGAGATCCACGGCAACGCCCCCCCCCCCCTTACCACATGCTGGACCATGTTAATAATACGAATTCCCTCGGGGGTTGAATGGGATGTACAAAGAACGAGTGCAGTAAACTTTTTGCGCTTTTATAGAATGGAGCCTCTCTGTACATTAGATATACGGAATTGCAATTAAATAAGAACAAAAAATTATCATTTCAGGACTTTCGTTTTTTGGAGTAGGTTTTGTTTAGTTTTTTCATAGTGATTTTTTTTATTCTTTGAGACAGTTGGCATGAAATGGAAAGCGGGGGGTATGTAATTTATTTCATAAGAGATGACAGTGATTTTAGTTGCAAAAAGCTCAGTGGAATGGATGTAAAAAATGATTGTTAAAAGTATTTTACTTGAAGATATCCAAATGCGTTTCAGTAGCAAAGTGGTAAAACGGTTCAAGTTGACGTATCTCCTAGTTGAGTTTTTGAAGAATATTACCGAATCTAAGAGAAATAGCGAAATTTTCGTAATTACATTTGTTGTAGCTCTCAATCGACTCTACAAAATAGGTTATAACAAAAATTTTGCTATCTCCCTTAGATTCCAAGATATTAATTGAAAACTGGTCAATAGTTAAAATTGACTTGTACCGTTTTACCGCTACTGAATTGTTCTCATGTTAAAATTAGGTTCAATATTTGGAGTTACTCGTCGAAGCTTGCGTTCAAGCCGAATTTCATACTAGATTTCCGAAAATTTTGCAATGATTTTATTATTCAAAATTTTGGAATCCATAACCTGATTTTTCAATTCGAACAAAGAGTTTTTGAAAGACTATTGCATGTCTACACAGACCAAAAAAAAAAATTTGCCAAAAAAAAACTTAGAAAATCGATGTCCAAACATTCTCATAGAAAAAATCTAAAGAGAAAAATTCAAACAGAAATTCGAAATATATTGACTTTTTCTTATCGAATATCCAATAGAATCAGCGCAAAAAACAAATAGAATTTTTGAATAGAATTTCTGATTGAAATCCCTCATAAAATTCTTATAGAATTCCAACAAAATTTTCCAACGAATTCGCTAGGTTTTCTATTGAATTTTTTCATACGTGCCCCTCCCCCTATGTCATCATATTCCCTATTTTGAGAGTAAGCTGTGTCAAAAATACTGGACCCCTCCCCCCACTTTCCATAACTATGTTTACGTAATACTTGAATGCCTTCTAAATCTATAGTGTGATCGGTTCAGAATTGTAAATAGAATTGAAATTACGTTAAGGGGATACGTCGGTGAAATTTACAAGTCTTCACTGGGCCTTGGGACCCACTGAATAGTTTGTGATATATGACGGAATATGGGAATAACTAAGGAAAATCGTGGACCCAATCGATTTTGCCCCGTATAATCACAAAAAACTTAATTTTTTGCCGTTTTTATCGTCACAAAATGCTGCTTGGACCGTAGTTTTCCTACGTTTTTGGATTTTTTAAAATGTTCGTTATACTCCACAGAACAGAGTTAAGCATTCGTTTTACTTGATTCGCAATAGATTATGAATAAATGAATTTTGAAGTTCATTAATTTTACACTACTCTAGAGACGCGAGAAATTTATAATATGAAACGCAAAATTCATTTATTCATGATCGATTGCGAATAAAGTAAAACGAATGATGAATAAATCTTTGGAGTGTAACGCACATTTAAAAAAAAGCTCAAATCGTAGGAAAACTACGGTGCAAAGAGCATTTTGAAGGTAAAAACGGGAAAAAATGAAGTTTTTCGTGGTTATATGAGGCAAAATCCATCGGGTCCGCGATTTTCTCTAGTTATTCCCATATTCCGTCATACATCACAAACTGCTCAATGGGTCCCATGGCCCAGTGAAGACTTAAATTTCACCAACGTATCCCCTTAAAAAATTAAATTATTCTCAAATTCCTTTACAACATCTATCGGCAACAATGGAACACAAGGGTGAGCCGTCACCTGTACTTTACATGCCATTCTTCCCTGGTACAGATACACTTCAACTTTGTGTGACTTTGCTTCGTGACCGAGCTTCGAAACTCCGGTGTAAAACGAGAGTTTACCGAACAATCCTCTCACTCAGGCTCTTTACACTTTTGGAAGACGGTGGAAAGAGAGGGATGGAGGGGGTAGGGGTACTTAGGTAAGCACGAGACGACGTGATATTAAATTATGTTGAATATAATATATTGTGTGGATGGTATAGAACGGGCCATAACGAGGGGCCATTATGATAATCCAGTGCCATAGATTACACTATAAAACTTCGTTAACCCACCTGTAAGTGACGTTTCGATCGATTTTTACGATCATTCAGCCAATTTAATTGAATCAATGAGATAATAAAGTGTTCCCCCCGAAACGATGAGAACAAATTGATTGATGGGGAGAAATAGTTATTACCATGACAAAATTTTTTGATGAAATTGATGAAGTAAATTTATTTAAAACTAAAAATATTGGTTTTCCATTTACAAAGAATTTTTCCTCGTGTGAAAAATCGATGTAATGAAGAGATAGAATGTTTTTAATTGGAAAGACAGGAAGCCAATCCTAAATTGAAAACCAACTTGATTTGCATCCAATTTTTCTGGTAAATTCTAGTAAAATTATGCGATGTTAATTGGATGTTAAAACAATATATTTTTATTCTTACAAGATCAAAGGATTCTGGAAACCATTCCCAAAAAGTCAATGTGATATACGGTTACTAGAATTTAAAAGTTATTTTTAATTTTCAATTTTTAATATCATTCTTCGTGTTGTTCCAAAATTCAGCCAATCTAATGATCCATCAAACCACCAAAATGTATCAATGTATTGATGGCAGAAAATTATAAACACACTCCTATATTATTAAAATTTTTCGTCTGAATTTTCCGTGCCAAATTCCGGAAATTTTAATTGTGTTCAAGCTCCACTGAAACTTCGGGAAATCTTGTCATGAAAAATCAAATATTCCATTAATTTTCTGTGTAAATGATCTAAAAATCAATAAAATACTTGATTTTTCAGGTCAATTATTTTATGAAAATTCAGAAAAATCTGGAAAATTCAGGAAAAAATTGAAAATTCATATCATTTTGTTCCTGAATATTCATGTTCCACTGAAAATTCAATCAAGTTGTGAAATGCCCATTTCACTTTCACTTAAAACTCATTAATTTCCTTGAATTGTACCCAGAACTAGAAATTTCATAACCGTTCTCCCCCTAAATCTGATTCAACGTCACTCTTATGGGAATTACTATCATATTTTCCATGAAATTTAAAAAAATTTCTAACAGCGTAAGTAAAAAAATCTCCAGTCACATCCTCGCTGACACCTGCTCGTTCCTCACTTGATCTGTTGCCCATTTTTATGAAAACGGAAAACTCTTCGTCTGATTGGAACAACCGTGAAAAATGATGATGAGAGTGAAAAAAGTATGATCTATTGAAAAAAAGAAACCGCGAAAGTTCAATAAGTAAAAGGAATGAAATAAGAATTCCCATTCTCTCTGAAAAGAGAACAAAAGGGGTCACAATGTAAATCCATCTCATCGAATATCGTGAAAACTGCTCAGTTGATTTTATTTAGTCCATAAGAATTCATCAAACCACCAAAATGGATCCATATTCGGATGCCTTCTGTTAATTTATTGATGGCAGAAAAGTATAAACACACTCCTGAATAAAAAATCTGCAGTCACATCCTCGTTGACACCTGCTCGTTACTCATTTGAACTGTTACTCACTTTTATGAAAACGAAAAACTCTTCGTCTGATTGGAACAACCATGGAAAATGATGATGAGAGTGAAAAAAGTATGATGTACTGAAAAAAGGAAACCGCGAAAGTTCAATAAGTAAAAGGAATGAAATAAGAATTCCCATGCTCTCTGAAAAGAGAACAAAAGGGGTGAAAATCCAGGGAGAGCCAACGAGACGGAAGTTTGTGCCCTTTTACCGTGGCTTGTACCTCCTCGGTTTGCCCATAAAATCGGGATGTTGCACAAAATATATATAACGAGGCAGAGCCTCGGTACCCAGCGTTGATATCCCGGATGGTCTTTGCGTCGTAATTCATGCACCAGGACGGTCTCACCTTCGCCTAACTAAGACCGTTAATTCTTAGACACTGTGGATGCTTTTTGGTGGGGTATATTTAATGACTCCGCCCCTCCTCCATTCCATAAATTTATTTCATAAATTTAATTGACGACATTTTTCATTCAACTTTTATTTTAGTCTAAGAAAAATAGAATAGATGGAAATAAATAAATGAGACAAAAGGAGAG